ATAACGCCTGTTGATGCTGCTTGCTTTGGTACATGATGTTAAAGTTACAAATGCCATGCCGCCAGTCTCTCGAGCAATCATGGGTATGCGCATCTATCTGCCCCCCCTGGTAAGCCTCCCGAATGTCAAGGGTTGCTCAGGATGTCTCGTCAGTCAGTCAACGGCTCCTCGGCCTCGACTTCGACCTCGAGCCTCTTAGCCGCGGGCTCGCTGTCGCCGTCGCTGTCCTCGACGTCGTACTTTTCCTGCCACAGCTTGCGCAACACCTGATAAAGGAACAAGTACTGCGACTCGGCCTGGACCATGCTGCGGCGCTGCTCGCGCAGGGTGTCGACGGTCGCGAAGATGAGATCGTCGCCCTCGGCGTCACCATCGCAATCTTCGAGCGCGCCTTCGTCTAGCTCGCGCATCAGGTGTTCCAGCGTGATAAAGGTTCCTGTGCGCCCGACGCCCGCACTGCAGTGGATGATGCGCGGGTTCTCCGGCGTCGTGTTGTACTCACGCGACAGGCGCATGAGCGCCAGGAAGCTCGCGAGGTCGTCGACGGCGGGGACACCGAAGTCGGGCCACTTGGTGTAAAGAAGGTGCCAGATCACGCGGTCCTCCTCTTCGTCGCCGACGCGCAACAGAAGCTTGCGGACCTCGATCGCACCGTCCTCCAGAACGGTGAGCGAGTCGAAAGTCAGCGTGGCGCTCCAGTCGTCGTTCCAGCCGTCCAGCTCGTTTAGTGTCCAGGGCTCTTGTGTCTCGTCCAACGGCAGGTAAGGGAAGCACTTGACCTGGTGATTCTCGAAAAAGCTTGTAAGCTGGACGATGACAACTGGAGACGTGAGCTGCTCCGCAACCATGCGCCAGACAAAGTCGACCGAGGCCTCGGTTGGGCCCTGCATGGCAATGTAGCGCAAGGGAGGGAGCTCTTTGTTTGAGAGCGAGGAGAGAGATATCATGGATGCGTTGACGTAGTCGAGCTCCTCGGCGGGCACGCGCAGCTTGATGCGGTTGTGGTTCCAGGGCTTGATGTTGAAGTAGCGATCCTGCACGCCCCTGCGCAGGTCCGTCTGTTTGTAAGAGCCCCATTTCGTGGTCTCGTCGACGTCGGGGGCAAGGCCGGCCGCCAGGCGATCGCGCTCCAGCCAGACGAGCTCCTGGAACTTGTTTTCTAGATCTGCAGGAAAACCAGCAGTTAGTTCCCGCCTTGCGCCCCTGCGTCTTCGAGGCGGCGGAGGTTTCGTACCTGGTACCGAAAGATCAAGGAAAGCTGGGATCCTCGGTTTGGGCCTGGTGCTTTCCTGGCTGTTCTTTCCCGGCGAGGACGCCGCGGAGTCGTCCTTGCTGCCGCTCCCGCTCCTGCTTCCCCCACTGTCCTTCTGTCTCGACGATGCCGGGGAGGAGGTGATGCCGTCGTGAGAGACGATAGCGGGCGGCGGCGCAGACTGTGGTAGGGAGGCGGCGGGAGGTGACCGCGCGCGCTTGGCTGGGCTGCGGAGGTGGAGGCCGCGGAAGGCGGACTTGCGCAATCCGGGCTTGGTCGGGGTCGGAGACCTGCCACCGGTGACGGTAACGGTAGTGGTAGTGGAAGGGAAGATCTGCTGGGGGGGTTGTTCGTCAACGACGTTTCGGGAGGGGGGACCCTTGACGTCTGTCGTGGAGATTGTTGGGATCTTTGGTTTCCTTCGGAATTTGGGGAGGTGGTCCATCTTTGGGAATTCGCAGCAACAAAGGCTGCTGCCGCACGAAATGTGACGTTGGAGTGTAACCAGATCGAACTTGATGTAGTGGGGGGGCCGAGGAAGCGAAATACGACAAAGGTAAAGGAAGGTAGGATAGGACTTTGCGACGGCGAGTTTGGCGACGATAAGGTGCCGAGCGTCGGGCGGCGTGAAAGGAAAGGTTGGCTATGTAGGCTGGAATGTCGTCAAATTCTTGGGGCGCAGAGGAAGGGTAAGGCGGCAAGTCGCAGGAAGGTCCTTTACTTTTTTTTGGATCAAGTGTGGCCTAGTAAGACGGCGAGCGGCAGCCAGCGAGTAGTAATCCAGGTTAAGCGCGGTATTGAGGCAAAGAATGTCGGAGTGTTGACGGGGGATGCGGTCGTTGGTAGATAGGTATGTAGCTGTTGGCCAGGTTGGGGATTTCGAAGGAAGGGAAGAACGAAGGGGCGAGCGCAAATGTGGCTGGCTGCAGTACCTATGGATTTCGGTAGGGAGCAGGGAGCGCGGCGGCTAGAGTGGCCGGCTATGAATATATTTGTAGTTTGCTGGTGAGATAGATAGCCGGGCGGAAAAGAATCGAGGACAGCGAGGGTCGGAACAAAACGTGGAAATATGAAGCAGTACCGTTCCACACGATCTCAAGTGGTCGCATGGATGGACCTCGGGGCATGTACCGTGTGGGCCTCTGCTTGTTCGCGTCACGTCACGAGTCGAGACTTGATTGTGTCACTCGGAGGGCACGTGCTGACGGTTGCTGCCCGTTAGGTAGATAGGGTGAGTCAAGCCAAAGTGCGTATGCAGTGTTAAAGACCCAAGTGCTAGACCGGAATGTCGCGTTCGAGAAGAATTAAAAAAAAATAAAAAAATAAAAAAAAAAGAAGAGAGAAGAGGGCGGAGGAAACCGATGACTACCCAGGTACGTAAACTAAGTAAGGCAAGGTGGACGGGAAGGAGGGGGCTCGTGATAAGAAATTGCCACGATTACAAAGATGGTAGAAATTTTTGATTATGATACGAATAAAAAAAAGGCGGGTATCGACGATCCAGAAGCTCAATTTTTATTTTATTTTTCTCCCTCCCCTCCCTTCTCGTGGGTATGGCACCATCTCACCGCGATAGAACGCGTCGGCGGAGGGCTAAGAAATGGTGGGGGGAAAAGAAATGTCAAGAGGAGAAAGGTGGGGGAAGAAGTGTGAGTGTCAAGATGAGGCGGGTGATATCAAGTGGGAAGAAGAAAAAGAGGGGGGAGAGGGCCAGGGACCAAGAGGAAGGGAATAGGAGGTGACGGTATATTCGTAAATGTTGGGAAGTTTTCTTGGTCGAGGTTAGGTAGCTTTGCTCTGGTTCGGCGCCGAGAACAGAGGGAAACAGGAGGTACCGTCGAGGCTCCGGATGATTGGGCGACAAGGTCCCTCTGGCTAGACTAGCTGGACCAGCTGGACTCGATGGAACGCGATCGTATACCCATCTACTATGGATGGCTGCCTTCGGAGGAGTCCAGGCACAGGGGGGCCAAGGCAGGGATGGTGATATTCTGGATGTTGGGTGAGAGTGGATGGATGTTGGATGAGAGTGGATGGATGGATGATGAGAGAGAAGGATGTGGATGGATATGAGAGTTCGCCTGTCTACCGTAATCTCGGGGCAGAGTGCACGGATGCTTCTCTTGTACGGGCACGTGTACCCGTGTAGGTACCTAGCTGCCTAGGTACAGGGTGACAGGGGTAAGTAAAATACCCCTATGATGTTACCCCCCATAACCGACATCATGATAGAGGGGGAATATTCACCAAAAGTGAAGCTCTGCAGGAGGGGGGTGGACGTTAGTTACCTAACCGGGGTATTTAACTTCGGCCTGGTACCATTGTATATACCATTTTCCGATATACTCGTCAGCATGAGACCCATCGACCGAGGTTGTTGATTGCCTAGGTAGGTAGGTAGGTAGGTAGGTAGGTACCTAGAAGCTAGGTTATTTATTTAGCCTCCGCCTGTCGCCGCGTCCCGAGGAGCTGGAAGTCCACCTGGGCACTGAGGCTGCTGCTTTGCTTGCTGCAGAACAGGGCAGTCCCGATACATGGGGAACCCCCCCGGGCCTTCGAGACGGAAAAAAGGTGCCACCGCCGCGGAAGCCATCTGGAATCGCCACGGGCCGGCCATGCAAGCGTGCGCCAGAGGTCCCCCACCTGACAGTACATGCCTACCTACGGTATCCGTACTACCTCTGTATACCTACTTGGGTAGGAAGCTAGGAGAGAGGTATCGTCAGCCATTCCCACCTATCAATTTACGAATTATATGCTCGTTTCGGTCGTCATTCGCCGTGTCTCGTCCGTTCGGCATGCGTGACCACGCCAAGAGACACACTCTGGGCAAAAGCAGATGATAGGCGACCAAGTCTGCCCCTACCGTGTACTGCAGTGTGCAGTTCCCGACCAGAGCCATGTTTTCCCCTCCCGTCCAGGTACTGTCCAGGATCATGCGCACACAAACGGTCGCTTTCGCGTCTCGAACCACTGCCAAGCCGACAACGCACTTCAGATGATTCACGTCTTGTGCCAGGCCTGGGCCACGCCACACGAGGATGCGGCACGCAACCCCGTGCACAGATGCCGTGCAATAAGAGTAGAATTATTACCTATTTGCCCGCCGACATTCGACAGCGTCACCGTGCCATAATAAGACGACGATATACCTGACGCTGCGTGAGAACACCCCCGGCCCATCGACGAGACCCCTCCCCTGCGGCTCTCTCGTCTCGGCCTGTGCCCGGAAAGCCCTACAGCTTTCTCTGTACATCCCCCCTCTCTCTCTATCCCCCTCTCGTTCTGTATAAATTTACAAGGCCATATCCTTACAATATCCTCCCGGGATACCTAATAGTACACCATCCTCCCTCACTTCTGACTTGGTAGAGCTCACTGTTTCTTTTCCCGTTCCGTGGTGAAACAAACATAGTTGCCACCCTAGTGCGTCCGGATTACACCGCCGAGTAGGCAGCCGTCACGAATCGCCCGCACTCGACCTTTTGCTCCAGAGTGACCTTCCTACCCTTGCCGTCCTTGCCGAGTCGGACCGTCTGTCGGGGCGTGAGCTGGAACCGGTGCACCTCACCCGTCCGGCCCACGAGCGCATCGCCCACTCCCCCGTCCAGCACGCCAATGTAGCTCGGCGTGTTCAGGTTGGAGCGCTTGCCCGTGCCGAGCTGGTAGTGCTCGTTGCCGCCCCAGAAAAGCACGTCGGAGCCCCAGTTGGTATCGTTGGCGGAGCTGCGCGTCGTGGCGCCAGTCCGCGTGACGTTGTCCATCGTCGCTGACGCGTGCGTGCTCCCCACACTGATGTTGGACAACCGGATCGGCGCCATCATGTTATTCCTCTCGTCGAACTCGAAGAGCGAGGAGAGCGCCTTGACCTTGACAGGCCCGGGCGTGATGTGCGTCCACTTGCCCGTGCCGAGAGTGCCGTAGACGCCCTGGCCGCACGCCCAGAAGTCCGCCGTGACCCTTGGCATGCGGCGGGCCGGCGCGAGGTCCTTGCTGACGGTCTCGTTGCCCTTCTCCGTTGCGTCCACGGTGAAGAAGGTATTGTTTCCTCCGGCGGCGATGGATGTGATCTTCGGGATGAGTCCAGTGTTTGCGTAGAGCTTGCCCGTGGGCAGGAGAGACGGCGCGTCGACGTTCTGGTAGGTCGACTCCGCCGGCAGTCCAAGTTGGCCGTACGTGTTGTCGCCAAAAGTGAAGAGCTTGCCATCCTTGGTCAGGGCAACGGAGTGGAAGTCGCCGGCGGCGATCTTGGCGACGTTGAAGCCCGAGAGGCCGGTGATCTCATGCGGCTGGTCGTAAGGCCCCTCCGGGCGCGAGGTCCAGCTCAGGCCTGGGATGCCCATCTGGCCCTTGGAAGGGAACTCGGCTGTGCTGGCGGCGGCTGAGAAGACTCGTCCCTTTGACGACAGCAGTAAGCTGTGCTGCAGGCCGCTGCTGATGTCGGTGATCTTCTCGCCCCAGCCTAGGTTCTTAGGCGTCAGGTCTCTGACCTTGACGGACTCTGAGCCGCCCGAGCTCCAAAAGGGGATCCAGGACGACGACGATTGCTGCGGCTGTCGCAGCGACTTTGATCCGGGGGTCAGACCGCTGCGCGACGCTGGGACCGAGTATACCGATCCGCTGGATGAAAGGGCGATGATTCGATCGTTGGAGATGGCAATCTTGGAAATGTCCTTGCCCTTGAGCGTCTCAACCGGCGAGGGGTCGGTGTTCGAGAAGCCCAGGCCCCATTGCACGAGATTGCCCTCCTCGGTGACGGCGGCGCCGAAGTCCTGGCACAGCTTGATGTCCCTTAAGAGCTTCCCGTCAAAATACTTGATCCTCCTCGGCTGTTTGACGACGGTTTCCTTGGATTGCGGGTCGACCACCTTGCCCACGTTGGAGCCCCAAGCGTAGACGCCGGGGTTCTCCCAGCTCTGCTTGACCTGAAGATGCTGAGAGCTAATGAGATCGCGGTTCTCCTCCTTTGATAGTGCCTCCTTTCTTGCCTTCTCGAACTCGATCTCGGCCTTTTGGTACTTTGTCTTGCGGGGCTCGGCTTCCTTGTCCTCATTGGGGCTGAAGAACTGCTTCAAGGGCCCGTTGAAGTAATCGTCGGCGTAGTACAAACCACCCGCGGTTCCCGCTGTGAGGAGCAAGGCAGTGGCCTTTCCGAAGCCCGACTTCTCGCCAGGTCGGCGGGGACCGGAGCTGGCATGGCGACGAGCTACAGCGGCGCATCTCTGAGCTGTGAGAGACGCGCGGGCGTGGCGCGTAGCTGTCCTGCAAGCCTTCATACTTTTTGGTATATCTATTTATGAACCTAGTGAAGAAGTGATTGGACAGGTGACTGGTAAGGATGAGAAACGTCGGTATGAGAGCCTTAAAACACTGTTGGTAAGTTGAACCACATGAGCAAGTAAGGTAAGATGCAGCCAAGGTCGTGAGGTCATGCACAAAAACTAAAACTTCGATTCGTCCAGCACTAAGTCTATCTGTACTACTAGGTAGGTACCTACCTACCTAGACTGTGAGAGGGGCCCCCTGACGTTGCAGGGACCGTGCGCCCCGCGGCGGATTGGCATGCGGACCCCACTTTCGCAGCTCCAGCCGGCCGCAGTTGGGGCCAATGATTTCCCGCCCAGTTAGGTACTGTACGCGAGGTAAGAGCTCGCTGGCTGAGCTGTCCTATATACTACTACACGGACTGGCGGGCGGTTTTGGTGGGAACATCGACCGGCGCCAGACTCGATAGGACCTCTTTTGCGCCAGAGCTCCTCACCCACGCCGCCGAGGCTAACCACCATGTACGACGACTCCTGGTACAGCTTCGTGCCAGATGTGGCCAAGAAAGCCGCATCGGCCGCCCAGGGAACCACTCACCGCCGCAAAGAGTCGCTGTTGCAGCAGTCCAACGTGAGCTCCAAATTCCGCCCGCCGTCTCCCTCGCGAGTAGCCTGCTGACGAAGCCTATCATGACAGGGCATTCCACTAGCATCCAGTGCACCACAAGCTCTTGACGAGATCTTTGAAGGGATCGAGGATCGCAACACCCCTCCCGAGGCGACTGTGCTCCGCCGCGCGAGCTCATACTCTGATTTCTACCACGTTGTCCGAGCTCAACTGGCAAAGGATGAGCACAAGAAGAAGCGCAGGCGGAGGAGGGACAAGACATGGGACGCGCTGGACATTGCGGCCGACATTCCTGACTCCAAGGCGGGCCCTCATCACGTCCTCGGCCTGTACGGCGAGGAGCTGCTCGAGGCCAGTCAGCAGGAGTATTTGTCAGTTCGCGCTGCTTGTTGTGGAGGGGAGGCGCTAACCCTCAGGTTAGGCTCTATAAAGACCAACTTACGCTCACCGAACGACATCTCAATACACTCATTGACGACACAGACGAAGCGCTGAAGCTCTTGACCACGCTATCCGAGTCGTTCCAGTCCGTGGAGGCGCAGACGAGCTCGTTCCAGTCTCGGTGTGAGGATCTCTTGTCTGAGCAGCATCGACTCGAGAAGCTGGCGGACGAAGTCGGCACCGATCTTCATTTTTATGCATACCTCGATAATGTATCTAGGCGGCTCAATGCTCCTGGTGCCGGGCGGCTTGTTGACGATGACTCCTTTGCCGAGATTCTGAGAAACCTGGACTCTTGTATAGGCTTCATGTCGCAACACGTAGGTGCTGCTTCTGCTGCACGCTTGGGGACCGATGCTGACGAATGATGCGATCCTAGACCGATTACCGCGATGCCGAGTCGTACCTTGCTCGTTACGAAGCCCTGCTCACAAAGGCACTTCATCTTCTCGAGGTTGGCTTCACCAATCGCTTGGATACCATATCATCCGAGATCTCCGGCCAGATTGTGGGAACAAAGTCAGAGGCCACTCGTCATGCGGTAGCGTACGGTCGTTTTGAAGAGATGGTCCTCGACTCGTACTCCCTCATCCCCAATATTCACAAGGTAGTCAGCAGCGTGTATGATCAATACGGCCTTCCAATCACCGGCATTGCCAAGGACATCTACTCCAACACCACAAGCAACCTCTTCAGCTCTTATTTCGGCGTCCGAGACCGTGACTTGAAGCCTATCGTGCAGCATGATCAAGACGAGTTCAGAAAGGAGGTCAAGGACCTATCTGTTGAGACAGCCTCGAGGAACTATATCAAGCAGAGCTTTGAACGCGCTTTCAACGAGGCCAACCTGTTTGTCAAGGTATTCGGTCTGGATCTGCAGTGGAGCTCTGATCCAAACTCAGCCTACGGAGTCCTCAAGTCTAACCAGAGGTCTCTCGTCAATCCGGTAAACCTTGTGCAGATAGCCGCCAACCTGCAGTCTGCGTTACAAACAGCAGACTTGGACACCATCTGCAGTGTTGTGGGGTGGCTGACCAACGAGTACCTGGTCCTGGACTACGACGATGAGGAATCGCCGTTCGCCCGCCAGTGCCGGGAGCTCAGCGCCAGGCTGCTTGCCGAGCATCTCTGGGTCTTCACAGATAGTGCGTTCGAGGCAGAGATCACGAAGACGGTCTCGAAGGCTGTTGTCAAGGATGAAGCCCTCACAATTGAGCCTGTTGTTAATGGCGTCTCTTCCTCGAACGCCTTGCCCCCTGTCAAGCAGGCACTCAATCTTCTTTCCAAATACGACCAAGCCATGCCCAAGGAACGAAGCGTAAGTTGTATGAATCTTGAACTTGCTTTCCAAATCTGACACTTAGTAGCAAAAGAACAGTCAAGTCATCTTCAAGATCGTGCGGGAAACCATTCAGGTCCTGCAGCGTGCAGAGGCCCGTATGAAGTCTATCAGAGCCGGCACGGATGCTGATTTGTTCATGGTCAAGAATCTGCTCATCATCAAGAACGAGCTTGTTTCCCTCGAAATCGGCGACATCCGCGGTGACGCCGCAGCCATGCAACACTTCGGTCACATCTGGGACAACCTGAGTCCCCAGAGCTGGGTGGGTTTCGTCAGCAACATCATTGGCGGTTCCATCTGGTCGCGCGGCACGCCGCAGCAGCCATCCGTCACGGCCAAGACACTGACGGTCGAGGACATGAGCGAGCAGCTGGACGAGCTGCTGAGGCAGTCCATCGTGGCCTTCACCCAGCGCTGGGGAAAGCTGGTAAACGACGCCAGCGCCCGGAAGACGGGTGTGAAGCCAATCGGCAAGGTCGAGAAGGAGCTAGACGAGGTGCTGCAGCGGGCCTTCAGCAATCAGCCCGAGGTTATTCTAAAGTTGAAGGAGGCTATCCAGATCAACGCGCAAGCGCAAGAGGCGGCGCAAGAGGAAAAGAAGGGAATCAGGCGGTACTAGCAGCTTTTAGGCCGGTGATGATCTGCGATTGATGTGCAAAACCTGCCATGTTGTAGATGTATGCTTTGCTGCTAGATTAGCAGGGTATTGTGAGATGGAAAAATTACGACTGAACAATGACTATTAGAAAGCAAATATAACATGCACTTTGAGCTTCTTTGGGGCGTGCACACTAGGGTATCTTTTGTTCATGGGGTATGACTTCCACCATCCATGGCGGCAATGCCACTTTTATACACCTTTTTACATCATTTATCGAGACGATGAAACCAACATTGACTCGGTCAGTTGGTCACCGATGGGTCCTATGCCTACATCACTGGTTTAGTTTTTTTTTTTTCGTTTGGCGACATAGCAACACCGTTCTACGATTGCTGCCGCGGTGACTCGGGCCTCACCCCCATGGATTCCATCACCCCTCCTGAGAGAGAGAAACCCATACCGGGTGAAGCATCACCACATGGGACTACCCGTGATATCTGACTGCGCTGCAAGCTCGCCGTCGCTGTATTGTAGACCATGTCAACCTAATTGGTCTTGTTTCCGACGCGGGTATCAAACTTTTCCATTGAGGTCCCTTCACAGCTCTGCAGGGTTGACGCGGTTGAACTCGCCGTCGGCTAGCGGGGTGGAGCAATGCTTCGGCTCATGCGTCAGAATTTGGGTTGTTCGGGGCAGTGTGACGAAGCGGTAGCTCGCGGCGATAGAACAGTCGAATTATTGGACCCGGATGTCGAGATATTGCCAATTCGGCAATTCCGACAGTGGTTAGACTAGGCACGGTGTGGTTTTGCATCCAGCTGGGAGGTTTGGGCAATATCGACTATCCTTGACAGGCACTGCTCGACATCTGAGAGTATGTGAGTAACAAAATTCTTGCTATGTATAATCTCTCATAGTGTCTAGCCTCGGAAAATGACATGTGTTTATCATTTAAGTAAATGTCTTCTTGTCCTGAATCGTGCGTATGAAGTAGCAACAGGCGCCAAGCTAGGGAATGGGGCACCAGATAATCTCAACGAGAGAACACCAGTTCCCACATGTGGTCCACACACCGCAAACAGTTCTCTTGACACGCTTCAAGTGATAAAATGCCACCGATATACGGGCTACGGTGTCGCAGCGACTACAACGGCAGAGGGACCTGATTTCTCGACGTATTGGACGCCGTGAGCCCAGCATACACCGCTACTGCATTGGCTTCATTGAGAGAAACGACTGTGGGGGGGAGGAGGGGGGATGTGAGTTTATGCAGGATGGAGTGCTGGCTCCAGCGTCAGTCCTCCACGGCCTGCCCGGCCTGTGCCAGAACTACGTGAATATCGCCGAAAGAGACAAGACATGAGCTCTAAACAGGCGGTTTCAGTGTCATCATTTCGACCTCCCGTCTGGCGCATGGTGGCTACGTGACCGGGGAACAGGGGCCGATGAGGACCGAGATAGACACTGGGAAATAGAGAAAAATCGAAGCAGGTGGAAAGCAAAGTAGCATCCTTGTCGTGCGGCTATACATGGAGTGGCATCGCGAAGGAGCAGTCGGCAACGATGTTGCAGCGGTCCCTGGCACTTCCATATGCGATCGTGACCCGCAAAGCTAATATCAAATGCTACTCGACCCATTAACAAAGAGTCTCGAGAACAATCCGTGGTGAGCCATATAGCCACAACACGCGCCTGAATGTATTTAGCAGTGGGCTGGATGGGGACCAAACATTTATAGCACCCACTAACACGAGACTTTCGGCACCAGCTGTGGCATAGGGGGGGTTTCTTCCAGAGAACGCCATGGAAGTTCTCAGACGCCAACTAATTTTTCTCCTTCTTCTTCCAGGCTAGCCAAGCCTATAGGACCATGGCATGTTCAGGCTCTTCCACTCCGCCAATGGGTCCAGTGAGCCCACCCCTTGCCGCGCGCGGGCCGGAGAACACTCACATCGTTGTCAATCAGGAACCAGGGACCAAAGATGCCACGTGTTGCTCAGGTGAAATCTAATAATATGCCCGTCCTCCGCCGTTGTCGAGGAAGGTGTATTGTACGGTTTATGATGGCACTCAACCCCTCACCAACACTGCTGTGTACGTTACGAATTGGAACAAGGCGGGTTGCCTCTTTCACACCACCGCGGAGGGTGGTGATTACTGGCCAGCCGACGGTTCCGGACAAACTCATACTCCTGTTTCGACGACTTTCTCTGGGAAAGTCTTTCTCCGTCCAATAAGACAAGCGGCTGTTGTTTGACGACAAACCCGCCATATAGAGTTGCAAAGGATGGCTAAGCCTAATAAGCTACCGGAAAAATAAACAAACAAATAAGCGAGCAAGCAAATTTCTTTGCGTCGCCGCCGTGAGGGGAGACCCACTGGGGATGGTAGACTTTCGAGGACGCACGCTTGTGAACCAGCTCGCTTGCTTACTACCTAGGTCTTGTCAAAGTCACTGTCAAGGGCGGATAGAACTCGAGATAGGCTCATCAGTGTTCGGCCCTGCTCTATGGCAGTGGGCTACCCGTCTTCACCGAACCGGTACGCTTCTCATGTATCCCCACCAGGCTCGGTGCTACCCATGAGCGTGTGCCATCTTCAAGTTTAATCTTCAAACCCTACTTGTCTCGGTGGCTTGGCCGTCAAAATGCTGGAGGCGGATGTAGTCATATAAGAACCGGCCCGGCCCGAGCTTGCTCCGTACTATTAATTCGCAAACCCCTCATGTGCTCTTGTATGTAGCCAGGCCGCAAGGACATCAGGGGGGCAAATAGATCCTGGCAAAAGATGCGCGGCTCCTAGATCGCATCGTCTACATCGCGCAAGACGGGTCTCCCTTTGACGCTAGGGCTGAACACGCGAGGGAACACGGGGCGTGTCGGCCAAGATGCACTCCCCTCCATGTCGAGCTGCGTGATGTCCGAGTTCCTGGGCAAGCAGATCCACATCGGTGGCGGGATTAGCGTGAGGACAGGTATCTTAATGGATATGGCAGATCCGCAGTATGCTGAGATGCGAAAACATCGCCACGACCATGGGAATCAGCAACATTGCGCTGTACTGTCTATATCGTGAATTTGTCAAAAAACGATTAGTCCCCCCCCCCCCCCCCCCGGGCGCCCTCGATGACAAGTGGCAAATGGCTGTCTGAGATAGCTGATCAGGGGAATGAGACGAGGACGCGCCGAGACCCTGCGCTAAGGGTCCTGTGTGCGTGTGCGCCTCCGATCCACGCGAACGATGCGGCTCGCAGAGATCGGGGGGCGAAGTTCGATTCGGAGGAACCCGAGGGGTGATTGGCCAGAAACAACTCTGCTTGCCGAACACATGGCCGGACTCCGTCGCTCGGCCTTGGGCGATATTTTATCCACACGGCGGGCCGCCTAGTTTCTTTTTGTTCGGCACCGCCCGAACTACCTGGCCGGCCCCATTAAAGCCGACTACAGCCTTTTCATTCCTAAAGACTTCCAGACAGACGGCCGGACAGCTTGTGACTTGTAAATTTGTTGCAAGGACCATGGAGGATTCGTAGACAGCCAGGGATGAGAATGTAAAGGCGGACCTGCCGCGATTTCTGTCAGAAAGGGACGCTGTAGAAGTGTATGGAATTACCTACCCGAGTGCCTACTTACTCTTCGCTGGATCATGAAAGAGGGCGTAAATGCAGCGGTGCACGAACGAGGTTACCGTGCGTGGACGGGAACGGGGACTGATAATGATCTTCGCATGCTCAGCATTGGGTCAGAGAGGCAAGCCAACAGCGGGGCGGCAACGAATGGATGGAAGGCTATGACATAAGGTCAGCAGGATGTTCTTCCTGTCCTGCCACCTGGACGAAGCTGAATCAGGCAGTGACGTAGCCACTGCAGGGTCGGCCTGGCGATCGGCTTTGCAATCATGGACGAGAGGGGCTGACACTGACGAATGATATGCAGCTTGTGGAGACGGAACCTGGTCCGAAATCTCTAATTGGATAATGGTTAAACCTGGCTTGACAGGAAATGGGGGCTTAAGGGTTTTAGGGGTCCGAGGGAGGGGGGGGGCGCGTGTGCCTGGGAAAGGCCAGGAGATAATCACGAATGTGGCATAGACGCTTATTCGGTTGGCAAGGAGAAAGTTGAAAGATGCGGCGACGAGCCCGATACAGGTGACTTAGTCGCGAGCAGGATGCCGACACGCAATATGGGACCGCAGCTTTTCCTACAGGGGGGTTTAATACATAGCACAAAAAGTGAGCAAAACAAAAAAGAAGAAGAAACAGAACAAGACAAAGCGGTGTGTTGTACTCCGTATTGTCCTGCTTGTAGAATCGGCGATGTTGTTCGATATTGATTTTTAGTGCTTAACAGGGAGACGACTAGACAACTTGGTGGTGTAGGTTTGGCATGAACGGTTGACGGGCGAGGCCACCGGGAGCTTCGATGACACAGCAAATTCAAGATCACCGCTTACGGAATGCGGGTTCGGTCTAGCTGTGTCGCGGGCCATTTTGTGCTCAATCATTGGCTGCACCGGAGTGTCCCCGGCCCCGAGGGCTCTCTGTCGACGAATGATTTTGAGGGAATGCGACATCCATCGGACGACCACGCCGCGAGCGGATAATTTGTGCTCTCCATCTCCCCTTCCCCTTCACCCTTGTAGACGCAGTCGACAGTTGGACAGGTAGACGCTGAACGCGCTGCTTTGCGAACTCTAAGCACCACTGTCAGTTCGTTCGAACCCCAAGATCAAGTGGCTCTACACCGATAGCGACTGAACAGGACGCAACACCACACAGCCTCTATGGGCGACAGGGTTTTTGCCAAATAACAGGGAAGATGATGCCGACACGACAGCTCTGGGGGGAGTGGTTGGGGTGAGACGTAAGCTGTTGCCAGCGTGTTCTAACTCGAGGTACGTATCCAAAGCGGTCCCTCTTGAGGTCGCACAGATATTGGTAGGTAGGTAGGTACATGACGATACTCTTAGCACTGTCGGAGCAGCAAATCCGAACCCGGCATACGCGGAAATGTTTGGGGTGGCTATTGCTAGGGCATCGGACGCCGCTGACATGTATTCCGCTCTGTCTCAGTAATCTCGTGTCGGTGAGAGCTGAGCTCGCCGTTTGTTCGAGGCCTTTTGATCTTGTCGCGACCCATCCAGATATCTCAGCGGCTCATGAGCGTCCAGCAGGAATTGCCACCTTCATCGAGGCGATCAGGCACGTGATTTGCTTGTTAGACTACCTACCTACCTGCCTAGGGAGTAGGTCAGTACCAGATATGTACAGTAGTTTAAGGTGTTGTGGCGTGAGCAGTGGTTGCGTTGCCGAGGGTGGTGGTACCTACTGTTTTTTGATGAAGAAAAAAACCGGACCGCAGAATGAAAGGCTACCGGTAGTTAGTCGTTATTGGCTGCCAGGAGGAGAGGAGACCCCGTCTGCTTGTCGGCGATTGAGAGCAATGGAAGGCTTCAAGGCCTAGGCGCGTCCATCCTCGCTCGATCCCGCCCCTGCCATGCTCGTTCCTGTACGTAGAGGTCGGCGACCAGCCACACCCGGAATTTATTAACCACACGCCCCCATCCCCCACCTTTATCCACCTACAGTATCCGTACCGTACCATGTGCTAAGGTTTTAGTAGGTACGGATACCAAGGCACCTAACTACCTACCTAGGCAGAGACATTGGCAGAGAAGCACGCCCATTCGACGAGGCGGTCCACTAGCCCTCTTCGATCAACTTCGATCCCCAGAACCCTGCCAGGACCTGAAGATCAGACCAAGCAGCTTTCAAGCTGATGTGGGGCCTCACCTGCGCGTGGGGAACTGGCTTGACCTTACGAAACGTTTCGCAACCCTTGGGTTGGATCGAGGTCGAAGTTCCTCCAGACTGTCTGTCTGTATCCGTACTCTGTACTGTGCATCGTATACTGCAACAGTGAAGCCCTGAACATCAGCCGTGTGACTGGGTATGGCGGTGCGCTTGCCTCCCTCCCTCCTTCCACCCCCCCAAATAGGCACTCCCCCCTTGGGCCAAGGGTGCTGTGCCATCCTGACGGATTCAAAGCTTTTACGGCTTTCCGCTGAGCTGTTGCTTCTTGCCCCAACACAGATTGGCCCTGTCGTGTTCGATTTTGTTCGAGGCCGGAGGAGGGGGGGCCGTGGAGACCCGTTCCCATCTCATCTCATACCGCCGGCCACATCTACTATTCCTCCTTCCCACCACCAATCTTACCTTTTCGCCTCTTGCTAGTCAGTATTTTACGGTTTTACAACAGTAACGACAAAACGACAAAAGTCGCATTGATCTTCTTCTATCCCCCCCCCTGCCGCTCGTCGGCGCTTCCCTACCGACACATCAACTGCTACCCGTCCAAACCGACTGACTACAACTCCATACCCTACACGCAAAACACCACGACCCGCCCGCCGCAAACCCCCCCCAAACTGAGCCGACCGTCGCAACGTAGCAACGTCTCCCGCCTCGCCTCTTCGCTTAAAGCATACTCCAAGGCCGGAATTGTTGTCGCGCAACTCATTTGGATATCAGTCACCGTCCTTGCCGTTGTTTGCCATTAACTGACCCGGCTGTACCATCATCGTCGATTTTTGCTCATCTCCGCTCACATTCGGACTGCGGAGACGATTTCTTGGCTGTGAGCCCCACCGCATACATAGCCCACTTCACAACAACCGGCCATTCTACCTTGCGGCGAAATAACCGACCTCGATTCTCCTCCTGTTGCTGAGGACTGAACTGGCCAGGAGACCTTGTTGCGGCTGCACCATTTGACTTGCTTGCTTTGCCTGGCCCCTCCTATCAACCTAGCGGCTCATCCGCCTGCTGTCCATCCGACCGAGTCTTTCAGGCGCACCTGCAAAGCCCTGTTGTATCGCACAAACGACGAGTTCATCGACAGCTGGAATTCCCCGTTTAGAATTGCCTGATGCGCATTGTTTTCCTATCATTGTAGGTGCTACCACTTCACAGTACCCGTTTTTTAACGACCCTTTCGTCATATGCGCCTCCCAACGTTCGATCGATCGATCGGTGCTCCAGCCAATCACAGTTCATGCCTACCTCGACATATACAGCCTCTTACCACCTCGACATCCAAAAGCTCATTCACATTGCTATCAAAGCCAGTTGCTGACTAGCTTTCAACTTACCAGCAGTTCATTCGAGCTAAACACACGTCATCACCTTTAACTGTAGCGTGAGAAATACCAACACGACGGCGACTACTACGCAACCCGACAGTCCAACAACCCCGTCCCGTTCTCGTCGCCCTCCACGTAGCGAGTACGGCCCCAATTCCGATTATCTTGCTGTAGCCAGACAGCATCTTCATGCCGCCATCATGTCCGACGCCCAGCACCCATCCAATGGTACGCAGCCGCCGACGTCGCCGAAAGGCCACCCGTTACCGCGCCGGTCGTCCCCCGAGAACTCTATAACCCTTCGCCACCACCGTTTGGCCCACGAAGCGAGTGCGAAAGCATTATCGAAGCGCGCTGCTGCTGCGGCAGAAACCAGCTCAGGATCATCACCACATCGGCACTCATCTGGGGAGAGCCATAACACCGGACCCAGTGATCCCAAGAAATGGTTCGAGCAAAGTAACGAGAACCCTGCCGTCTTGTACTCAAATGCGATCGATGGTAAGGCAGCGAGTAACTGCGTTTTTCTTGTGACGGTCGCTGATTTTGTTTCTAGTTGACCCCCCATTTTTTCAAAAAGAGAGCGATTCTTCTCATGAAGACAACACGCAACCCACCAGCTACCCCACGCATCTTAAACGTTCCATAGGAGGTACTCTTAAGCCGAGTGCTACGCACAGTAGTAGCGCCGATGATTACCGGAGTGTTATTGACGATTTAACTGTTGAAATAAAGAGGCTCAAGGACGAGTTGAAGCGGTATAAGCAGAGAGGGCCCGAGATGATGAAGCAAGACAGACTGTTTGAGATCAAGGTCCACGGGCTTCCGAAACGCAAGAAGAGGGAGTTGGAAATTACCCTTCGCGACTTCGCATCCGGCCTGGAAAGCAGCACTCCCAGTGCAGAGGCGTCTTCGGGCCGGAACAAAGGTAGCCACAAGGCCCGGCTGGAGTCTGGATCAGGATCAGCTTCAAAGCATGCATCGTCGACGTCAGGGTCGCACTCGCGACCCGTCGATTCTGCATATGCATCGATGTCCACCGGTGCTAACTCGTCTGGGACTTCGCTGGCACGGCCGTCCGCCAGTTCAAGAGCCAAGTCGTCAGAACAAAAGGTGGAAAACTATCTCAAAGACATCCCCGAAGGGTTGTATCCACGCCACATGGTCATGACCGACAAGGACAAGAAGAAACTAATCGTTCGACGGTTGGAGCAAATCTTCACAGGCAGGATTAGTGGCCGGAGTGTGAGCCGGCACCAGCCAAAATCTTCTGGGAACATCGCTTCTTATGCTCCCATTATGGTGGAACCAGCGACTGGGAACACAACGACGACCCACGGACCATCCAACGTCCCTACGGGCTTTTTTGAGCCTTCTCGAGAGGCACGCATCCTGGGGTCGGAAGAGGGGAAGAATCGAGCGAAAGACAATGGATCTACCTCTAACGGTGATCAACTCGACACCGGCGGCAATTCCGCAGTTGCTGGCACGTCACCGCCAGACCCACCATTTCCGGAGCAGCGACCCACCCGGCCGCTGGACCTCGATCCGGATCGGAAGCAGAACCCATCCGCGAATATGGACTACATCCGCCATCTTGGCCTGGCTCCACCCCATTTGACCGGACTCGCGACATACGAGGATGTGTCCCCTGACGCTGACGGCTGGGTTTATCTAAACCTCCTCTGTAACATGGCCCAGTTGCACATGCTCAACGTCGCACCTGACTACATTCGCAGCGCTGTCTCTGAAAAGAGTACCAAGTTTCAGCTTTCATCTGATGGTCGAAAAATCCGATGGCGCGGAGGCACCGATGGAACAAAGTTCAGCAGCGACAGCTCTGGGGAAACCTCTCATACCAGCCGTTCAGAGGAGTCAGATGCGGCGAATGACGAACACACGAAGAAACGCAAACGCCGCCAAGGACCCAAGAGTGGATTGTACCCTTCCTCCGCGGGCCCGAATTCATCGGATCAGTCGAAATTTGACCCGCAAATGTCGTCCGCCGACAGCTTCCACTACAAGCCGCTATTTGTCCACCAGTCATCATCGGCCGAGCAAACGTCTCTCGATGACTCGAACTCTTCGGGTGCCGGCGAAGACAGCAACAATGGGGCGTCGCGATGGGGAAACAGTGGCTCAGGATCGGCCCCTCGAAAGAGACGTCGCTTAGATGGTGCCATTATCTATTACAGTGGCGCCCCCTTCTGTATGGACTTATCCGGCGACCCTGGGGACTTGTCCCCTTCTTCCTACTTGACCTCTACTGGGCAGGAACAGCAGTCGCCCAGCTCGCAAAACTCAAGGCCTGGACCGCAGCGCACGCAGTCGGGATCAGCGCTTGCCTACCGCCCCCTGACAGATGACAAAACGGCATCCAGCGTGGCAGTTGCGACAGAAATGGGCTCTGATGATAGCGACATGGATATTGAGGCCGAATTTCCATGGTCCGACCGGCCTCAAGACCTTGTCGCCAACAGCTTGGACGCATGTGGCCTCGGCGGAGTTATCCCAGACGATCACTTCCGGGTCATCGCCACCACAAGAAGACCCAAAATCAGTGCGACTTCTTCCAGCTCCTCTGGGCTCGAACGCAACGACGTTGCCAATCTCGTCGACAGAATCACGTCTCCCTTGGGATCCACGTCCCGGGTTGGGTTGCTCAAACCCAAGTCAAAGAGCCATCTCCCTGTTACCATCGAATACACGTCCCGATCCATCGAAAAGCTGAACCCTGCGCCTCTACCTCCCCCGGGTATGTACTTCTCTTTTGACAGTGATTCCTCTGGTACGTCGGTCGAAGACGTTTCGGAGCCAGAGGACGAACCGATGGCGTTGGTTGGAAGCTTCGGAGTCCAGGGTCACCCCTCCACAATCGAGAACCAGTATCCTGATGATGTGGATATGTCGAGTGGAGACGAGGAAGATGTCGAGCCGGATGATGGAGATGAGCCGGTGGTTAAAGTGGATGATCACAGCAGCGATGGGTTCGCTATACCCAACCTACCTCGTGCTGCTCACCGCGCCAGCAGTAGCAGTGCTGTCGCCGCCGCTGGAACAGCTAGAAGCCGTAGCAAGAGTTTTAGTGCTGAGCTTCTTGTAGGCACGGGCAGCTCGGTTGCTACTGCCGGTGGAGCTGAGAGTGGCTACAGCAGTAGCCTAGAGGAGAGCGGTTGAATTTGAACTGGAGCCGCGAGAAGTGGCAGCCATGGACGACGGCTGGATTTGGAAGCAGTCTTGGTTAATATGGCATGGATGTGCATTGTAAGGCGCTTGACTTTTGTTCATCATCAGGGATGAATTTGCATAAGAGATATCCCACGGTCGAGAACCGCATATTATTGTTTTTTGTTTTGGTTTGGCTCAAGTACATCAGCACAAACGGAAACCGGTAGCCACTTTACAGCGGGAGGAGTTGTGGAAAAAAGTATTGAGAAGACAAATTACATAAGTTTTCGAGGGCCTAGGGTCGGAAGTTTATGGTACTATGAGGCGGGTTTGTGGATAGCGATGCAGTTTAGCTTTTCCCCTTTTTTCTTTTTGCAACAATTTACAACGATACCCGTTTCCGCCCATACATTGGTTCGAATGAGTGCCTTCCTTGTCTGTACCTGTAACCATCATAGGTACCGACATTCACCATTCTCTACACATACCGCCCTACTAGTAGTAAGGCCATGCATGGCGCTCCCAAGTTTTCCATATTTATTGTGAACTTGGTCTGGACGGCAATTTTGTTTTTATGACAGATTGTAACCAGCACCTCCATCCGGTATCAACGAAGAAGTCTCCGATATCATTTTTTTCTTTTTAACGCGGACATTTCCTTCGTTTGGGGAGAGGGGGGGAGGTAGGCGTCATCCAGGTTCTTGATCTCATACCGACTGTTCGAGCTCTCATGTTGATAGCGAGGCATCTACGGAGAGATTTGGTCGGCTTGAACAAGCACTCGAGCGTACTCAAACCGGTCCGGAATAGTTTGCCAAGGCATCCCCGTGTCCGTCTCAAACCTTTGGCGTGGGCCCCGGGTGCTTCCCACCGACCACCACCACCACCACTACTTTCTCGTCCCCCCTCTCTCTGACGACGAGCAGCGTTGCAGAGCCTCGTGGCGGATCGGATACACGAACGCAAGAGGTTTTCATTGGCCGGACCTGCACGTGGAACCTCACGTTGTGCCATGAGCAAGCAGAGTACGATGTTCCTCGAGAGATGAATGGACCAAAAAACAGATTAGTCCGCGACCAGCATATTGCTCAAGGCTACCTGGCCAAGCAAGCCGTCCGAGCAGGCGGGTCGGCTTCAGATGCTGGTTGGATCGATCTCGGCTTGCTTAAAGCCAAAAAAGCCTTCCCATGCTTGTCGAAGCCCTAAGGCTACATGGCGTCGAGATTCGACCGCGTTCGCTGGTTTGACTCGTTCACAGGATGAAAAGGACTTGTATCAATCAGACTGAACATGTTGTACCCCCTTTTTCCTATATGCCACAAGTTGCTTTGATAGCAGTTCGGATGAGCTTGTTTGTTCCTGAGTTGGAGGCATGGCTGCACAACCCCCCCCCCCCCCCCCCAGTGACTTTCCTTCGAGTTCTTTCTTCCCCTTCTTCATTCTGACAGCTCTCATGGGTGATGCCTCTGCCCCGGAATCCCCAGGACTGATGTGATGCGATGCGACGTACTTGGCTTGTATTCGGGAACCTAGAGCAATAGAACACGAATTCCTGCTGGAGTACGACGGAGATTCTTGTTTGAAAGTGGACAAGGACTTTTGGCCATGGTTACGTTATATAATCGCAATGTTTATCGCCAAGGTGTGTCATCAAAGCGTGTTCTCATTTTCTATAGGTTGTCTATTATCATCATAAACCCTTTACCACACACGCCACACGCTCTCAACTTTTACCGATAACCCGCTTCCCAAAGGCACACACATACATACAACTCCGCAACTGCAACTTCGTCTTGACCAAAACCATTTGGACTTTTTTATGCCTTGGTCAACAAGTTGGTTCCGGTCATCTCCTCGGGCTGGGGCAGGCCCATCGCGGCCAGGACCGTGGGAGCGACGTCACCCAGAACGCCACCGTCCTTCTTCAGGCTCCAGCCCTCGGGGGCGTTAGCCATGATGAAGGGAACCTTGTTGGTGGTGTGGGAGGTCTTGGGTTTGCCATCGGGGAACTTCATCTCTTCGGCGTTGCCGTGATCGGCGGTAATGAAGAGAATGTAGTTCTGCTTCTTGCAGGCATCGTAGATCTTGCCGATAGCCTTGTCAGTGGCCTCGACACCGACGATGGCGGCCTCGTACACGCCAGTGTGGCCGACCATGTCGGGGGGCGCAAAGTTGTTCATGACGAAGGGGAACTTCTGCTCGCCCAGGCGCTTGGCGACCTGGTTGGCGACGCCGTCGGCCGACATCTCAGGGGCCTTGTCGTAGGTGGCGACAGCCTTGTTGGAGGGGACAAGGTCCTGGCTCTCGTCACGGGTCTCGAGAGCGAAGACCTTCTCGACACCGCCGTTGAAGAAGAAGGTGACGTGGGCGTACTTCTCCGTCTCGGCGATGTGGACCTGCTCGACGCCCTGCTTGCCGAGCCACTCGGCGAGGACGTTGCCCATGTGCTGGGGCTTGAAGGCGACCTCGAAGGGGTAGTCAACCTTGTATTGGGTCATGGTGACCAGGGTCCTGATCTTAGGGTAGTTGAAGTCGGGAAGAACTGAGCGGTCGACGTCGCCGAGGAGCTGAGTAATCTGGCGGACACGGTCGGAGCGGTAGTTGAAGAAGAAGACGGTGTCGTCATCTAAGTCACTGTCAGAAACGATCAAAAGATTCAGAAGAGCGAGACGTACCCTTGATGCGGCGCTCGTCGCCACCGACGATGATGGGGGTGAGGAACTCGTCCTTGTCCTTGTCGCCACCGCGGGCGTAGCGCTCCCGGACGGTCTTGACGGGGTCAGAACTCTCCTCGCCCTTGCCGTTGATCATACCGTCGAGGGCAATTTGGACTCTCTCCCATCTCTTGTCACGGTCCATGGCGTAGTAACGGCCGACAACAGTCGCAATCTCACCGGTGCCGATCTCGCCGGCGGTCTTGATGAGCTCCTCCATGTAGTCGGCACCTGACTTGGGGTCCACGTCGCGGCCATCGCCGAAGAAATGGATGTAGACCTTGGGGACGCCGTACTGCTTGGCCGCCTTGAGGAGGTTGTAGAGGTGGACCTGCTTGGCGTGCTGCGAGGTGGAATGTCAGATTCTGGCATCGTTGGGGTGGTTTTCGCCCTGGGGTTGCGCAAGACTCACCACACCACCGTGGGAGACGAGACCGCAGAGGTGCAGTCTGCCGTTGCCGTCCCTGGCGCCCTCAAAGGTCTTCTTGATCACGTCGTTCTCGGCAAATTTGCCCTCCTTGATTGTCTGGTCGATGCGGACGACGTCTTGCCAGACAACGCGACCGGCGCCAATGTTCAAGTGGCCGACCTCAGAGTTGCCCATCAGACCCTCGGGCAGGCCAACGGCAAGGGACGAGGCCTCGAGCTCGCAGTATCCGGTCTTGCTTTGGGCGAAGGCGTCCATGACGGGCGTCTTCGCGTTGGTGATGGCGTCGCCATCTTTGGGGGAGTCGGCTCCGGGAACACCCCAGCCATCAATCACGACTGTAGGAGCGCAAGATCCACAAGATTAGCCAGCCGACTTGGAGATAGAGGATGATGTAGGCAAGGGTGAGGATGTAGTCTGGTTTGGATTTGGGCTTCTTTTGCTGAGGTAGAGAAGCTGCGACTCCTGCGGGAGCTTCTTGGTCTTGCTGGCTAGCCTCGGCACTGACACTGCCATCACCAACACCATCACCGCGGGGCTTCGACGAGGGGTACGGAGGGTCTGGAGGGAGATCTTTGGACGTACTCAGGCAGGCCTTCTGCTCGGTCTGGGCCATGGTGGAATAGGTATATCTGGTGCTATTTCTTTACAGAACGGTGGGGAGGGATGGGAAGAAGAAGAGGACGGTTCTAGTTTAGGATATGCGTGATTTTCCGGGTTTTTAGAGGCGGGTGGTGAAGGTCTCTGCCGGTTGAGGAGATTTGAGTGAATCAGCCAATGTACCTGGGCTCCCGGCTTGGGTGGTTTTATCGGTGTTAGTTTATGGTGGGGGTTAATGGGTTATGTCATGATCGCCGATAATAGAACCGTATGGTACCATGCCGAAATAGCACTGTCTAGATGTGCCAAAAGTGCCGTGTTATACAGTGTGACAGTATAACCAAACGGTGTGGGCTCCTAGATGCCCCTCTGTTGACTTTCAACAATTTTTAGCTACCAATCGCTGTCGCGCTAAAACGCCCGTGAAGCTGCCGAACACGCAAAATGTCTCGGCGGAGCTTCCCCCCCCTGCTCTTAACCGTTTGACAACCGTACCACACGCTGAACATCACGCCAATTGACTTTGACGCTTCGTCCGCTCAACCAACGACTGCGACGACTCTGCGCACGTACTGTGAGGCTGAACAACGACTTGGACATCTTTGCAAAGCTGCCATTGATAAATTCTTGACGCCTCAAGTCCGTATCCAACCCGCGCATAGCACCTAGCTACTTAGCCTCGGCCGAGAAAGAAGCCTCTGCGAACTCCAACCTCCTCGCTCCGTCCGCCTCCCATCGAGAAGAATCACGAAGCCAAGCTTTTCTCCCTCGATCTATTTTCAGCTTGAAACACACACGGCTCTTCTCCCCTCAACAAAATGCCCCCTCACCCCCTCGAGCTCCCTTCCACTCTCTCCCCGGACGCCCTCGACACCCTCACCGAGCTGACAGGCATCCTCACTCGGTTGCGCACCGCGATCCAGAACTCCGGCTCCGTCGGCGGCATCACTGGCGCCACGCCCGCTGGTACCGGCCCTGGCGCGACCCCGAACCCGCTCGGCGCCAGCCCCAACGCCCCTCTGTCCCTCAAGGATGTGCCCGCCCAGACCGACGCGCTGAAGCACAAGCTCCAGCGGGCCCGCACGCAGATGCGCCAGCTCCCAGATATGGATCGCTCCATCGACGAGCAGGAGGAAGAGATAAAGCAGCTCGAGGAGCGCATCAAGATGCAGCGCGAGGTGCTGGACCGGTTGAGGGACGCGGGTGTCAAGTTTGGTCACGAGGAGGGTGGAACGGGCGATAAGATGGAGACGGAATGATGGATGGATGGGTCTTCACGAAACTGTGATCAGGGGATGACGTGTTTTTTTGCCGAATGACTCTTATGATACCCGAAATGCGACTGCGATGATGATGTTCACTTCAAAAGAAGAGAGACGCTGCCCCCCCCCCTCCAACTTCTACGCCTGATTATACACGAATCCATATGAGCCGCCTTCCAAACTCCGTACTAGAACCTTGAACGAAGGAGACGGCCGACCACGGCACCAGGACTGTGACTGGACTGGCTCACTGCTTCGAGACACCCACAGCCTCGAGGATGTCGTGCAGGTCCTTCCCACGCTCGCCTGGTACAACCTTTGTCCAGATCTCGTCGGCCAGCCTCTGCTCCTCGGGCAGGATACTCCAGTTCGGGCTAGGCTCCGACTTGAGCCACTTGAAATCATCAACTTGATCCCACTGGTTCTTGCCAGGGTCTTCGGGGGTGTGCTGCACAAAGGATGAGTACCCGTGTGATGGTGTTTCTTCGCACAGGCAGTGTACTTACAAAGCTGGCCGGCAGCGGCGCGAAGCGCATATTGGAGCAGTCCTCGATGATAGGATGGCTCGAGCAGTGCAGGTAGATATCGACGTTCTTGCACTCGTGGATACGCACCTGCCGCGCGGACACGACGATGACACTGTTCGAAACGCCGGTAATATGCGTTGGCCCAGTGACGTTGCCGGCGACGATCAGACTCTTGTCAATGTTCTTGAGCGCCAGGTTCGCGAACGAGGTGGTGCCAGACAGCGTCAGGGACATGTCGACGACGCACCCCTTCAGGTCCGTCAGCCGCCCGGACGACGTAGCCCGCGACGCCGACGACGGGAGGATGATGTGCAGGCCCTCCTGGCCGAAGATGGCAATATCCTTGGCGGTGGAGAAGCTGGGCTTGCGCACCTTGGTGGTGCTCGGCCGCGCCATCTCTTCGTTGTAGTTCTTGGGGAAGGACGGAAGCTCGCCAAGGCCATCGCTCTCGACCTGCACGCCCGGGGAGGTGGCGGCAGCGGCGGCGAGGATGGGCCCACCGCGGGAGGCGGGCAAGGGGTCCGCGAGAGAGCTTCCCACGAGCAGGCGCGGGTCGTTCTTGGGGGCGGCTAGGTCGCTGGTGACAGTGTTCGCGGCGCGGGGCTTGAACTGGAAGCGTGAGCGGGGTGCGAGCTTCGTTGTGGTCTCATTCAGCTTGTCTGTGAGGGCCTTGACAGCCTGTGGAGTGGTGTCAAAATACGAGTAGTCTCCTGATGAGTGGAGTGGACCAGCTCACCTGAGCGTAGTTGCGCTGGTCGTACGACGGAACAAAGTCGGAGGCATCGGCGACCTCGTTGGAAAGGTTCGAGATGCCGGCGAGAATGTGATCAATGGCATCCTGCCTCTCACCACCGACCTGGGCTATAGAGCCGATGCCGTCGATCTGCTCCTGGAGGACTAGTGCGGGGCTGATCAGCACACCATCAGACGACTCAGTCGGGTCTTGGGTGAACATACTGACAACCTCGTCTTGGAAGTGGCGGTAAAACTTCTCTTTGGGGTCCTGCATCTTGGTTACCGGGAATGATCCTCCACCTGTGGCGAGATGCTGAAGTACTTCAGGCGCCATTGTCGGTCGTGGGTGCAGATATATATATATATATATATATATATAAGAAGACTATGGTTTATATCTCTGGTTTACGAGGTACGTGATAGGACGATCAGGAAGCTCGGGCTCGGGGTTCAAAGCAAAAGAGCCTACCTGGCGTAGGTAGAACAATTTAAATTCAACGGTGCAAGACAGACGTTGAAGGGAAGAAAGTGGCGTGTTCTTCCTGATGAGTGCGGCGAAATGAGCCGTCTTTAAGAGAAGGGGATGGCTGCAGATGGACACCACGCGACTTTTCTTTTCCGATTGCTAGGTACTCATGACAATCTGATCAGTTGCAGGCCTTGGCTCAGTGACGTCGCTAGGTAGGTTGGTGGGGAGGGGTCTAAGAACAATACATGGAAGATCCGGGGATGTCGAGAGGCTCCAAGGCAGGCCGGACGACGTCGTGAAGGAGGGGGGTGGGTGCACACGGTCTCGTCCAAAGTACGGGTACCTAGGGAGGGGCGAGCAGAGCGAGGCTTACTTTCTGGCGCGAAACGAACTACCGAGTCGGACGATGAGGGGTGGGAGGGCTGCAGGATAAGGTGATGGATTCATGTGCTCGGGGCGTTTCCTGCTGCAGGTGAACCAGCTATTCCCGAATCGACAAAGGAGAAAATGGAGGAAGCAAACAAATAAATGGCAGGTTGGCGGGGTCGTCGTGTCAGTCGGCGCGTGGCTCCAAGCCAAGAGAGCGGTTCAGTCATTAGTGTCATGTCGTACCTAGGCGGTAGTAGGTATACTTGATTAGAGAGTACGGAGTACGTACATACCTAGTACCTAGTGTATTTTTCTTAGCGCTCGCTAGTGGGCTGTGGACCCCTGAGCCGGCACGGCTGCGGAGACGTTTTTCCAAGCCGGGGCTTCAACTGCCAACTTCCGCGCTTCTCTCTTTCCGTTTTTGTTTCTTCTCTCTATTATCTAATATCGAGCTCCATGGTACTGTCGCCTAAGGGTTCCCACACCACCGTGGTGATGTGCTGGTGGGACCGTACCAGTACCTACACTACATGCACATCGTCACTTGGGGACTGAGGTGCTTACCTAAGGCGATCCGATCCCTCTTAACACCGCACAGGTTTACACAGTCCGAGACAGTCAGGAAAAAAAACACATTATAAGTAAACACAGTAGAGGAAGGTTTCTAGCTAGAAACACAGTACCATGGGAAATCTCGTAACCGAACCTCCCTCGTCACCCGGGGACAGCGGCATCAACTTCATCAAACTAAATCCACTAAACTCAAGGAGGGGTCTGGCTTGCTTGCTTGCTTGGACGGACGACGAATGACGGACTCCTGCCCCGCACCGGAGCGAACCGATATGCGACAGTCGGTCTGAGGAACCCGTGCCAATGTCTGACGTCGTTTTCATGCAGCCCGGGTGTATTGTAAAACTGGGCTTGAGAGATCTTGGGATGGAGTAATGGATGGAGACGCTGCCTTGTGGGGACTTCCCAACGCTAACAACAACTGTCCTGGCTACACACGGTTGACAAGGATGCAAGACTACAGAGTACACATCCGACAAGGACAGCGCCTCATCCCGCTACCTTGCAGCCCTGGTAGGTAGTTGGTTACCTAGTTAGTTAGTTAGCCGATGACTGGTGAAGCTTCGGGGTAAACGGTAATTATTGGTTCGAATTGAGCCGTCTACTAGGGTTTGCTAGAGATCACCTACCTAGTCTAGACTTCCCTCCCGCACACCAGGTACCTAGTTTACGTCCGTCCTTTAGAGTTTTGGGGTGCATGCTGCGAGCCCATCTCCACATCGTCATCGTCTCTCTGTCCTCTTGTTTGGCCTAACGCCCGGGCATGCAGTCGATGCACAAGATACCGGCTACCTACACGTGTATGGATGCAGCTCGGGACGAAACCACACACAGCATGTGGACGGCTCACACTGTCAACGTGCGTGGATGAGGCACAGAATAGTTTTGGACATCACGAGCCATCAAGGGCAATCAACCATGGTGTGGTGAGAAAACAGCAAACGTTCCATTGGGGTATCTCAAGCATTATCCCAGAGCAAGCACCATAGGAGAAGAATCCAAGAGAAGATCAACACAGCACCCCGTCAGGCGATCCGCCGCCAGACATCCGCACGACCGAAACAAGGTCGAGCCTCTCGAATATCAAGCTTGCACGCGACCCCACGATTCCAGTCTATCTCGCTCTCGAGCTTCTATCGCACTCAACTCGTCAGTGAACTGCTGGAGCTTTCTCACCGCCTCCTCGTTCTTCCGAACCATCTTCTCAATCAACTTCTCAAGCAACGTCTCAACCAAGTTCTCAACCAACTTCCGAATGTCGACATCAGGGTACCACGTCCACGACTGCTCTCCCTGATGCCGCTTCTCTACGTCCAGGTACCGGCCCGCTTGCTCATTCTGTAGCTCCCGCGCGCGCTCCGCCGCGTCAGCCTCTCGGCGGCGTCGCTGGCTCTCTGCCTTCTCCCTCTGGCGTTTTCGCTTCTTCTCCTCGGCGCGGTGTCTCTCACGGGGGGTCTTCTCCGGGAGGTTCCAATCGCGGAGTCTTTTCCAGTTGCCCGGGACGAGGCTGTCCGCGAGGTTGTCAAGCCACCGCTGTTGGAGGGTGCGGTACTCCTTCGAGTAGTGGCACTTTTCCCCCTCGGGGATATCGTCGCCGGTAATGGTCTCGCCCTCGGGAGTTGTTAGGATGAGTCTGGGGACAACTGAATAGAACAGTTCGTCCAGCGAGTCCAACAAGTCATCGGACTCCGCTTTCAAAGTCTCATCCTGGAAGGAGTCCATCTCGCCTTCGTAGTCGCACTGGTCGTATTTGTCATCGCCCTCGTCCTCTGGGACGAGGTCATCATTGCGGTCAATTAGGTCATAGTCGTTGTCGTCAAATGACAAGGTTTCGACGTCCTCTTGTTGCCTGCGGCCATGTGCGAGTGAACCCTGAGCAGGAAAAGTTGGCTGGAACTCGATGACTGGCTCAGCCTGTGCTGAACTTGATGTTTTGTGGTAAGAGAACTTACCCGCGAGGCGGGATAGTGTGGGAGTGGCCCAGGATACGCTCTTCGCGCTGCCTGCTTTGCATGCCGTGCGAGCAATAGAGATTGGGGGGCTCTGAGTGTCCATGGTGTGCTGCTGGCGGGTAGTGATGAACACGACTGCCACGAGGGGACTGACTGGGGTTTGTTGTGATTGTCGAACGAAGCAAGCATTTGGGTATGTGTATGGATGGATGGTGAAGCAGGTTTACTGGGTATGAATGTGTATGCACAGGTTGAGAAGAGGAGTGTAGGGAATGGAGGAGAAACAGGGTTTTTCAAATGACTATTATTGTAAACGGAGATAGCCAGGCACGAATCCCACAGAAAAAAAAGACACCCAGCAATCCATGGATTGCGATACTGATCTGGGTTTAGAGTTGACGGATCCCTGGTTCGGATGGAAATCGATAACGATGAACTCGATTTGCAGTCATCGGCCTGACTAGAAAAGTGAGCAACACCCTCAAGGTGCAATTGAACGAAGGCCATCGGCGGTTGGTTTTCTCGAATTACAAGCGGCGGGCTATTATCCCAATGTTTGATCGAGCGTGGAGTTCCTACTCGTTAACATAGGTAGACAGCAGCTGCGGCTTCATCGATTGTATTTGTGAACCTGATTCGTATTATCTGGTCTGATGACGGGTCTCATGAGACTTATTGGAGTGCAATTTTAACAAGAGTTTTCAACCTTGTTGTCTCTCGACCAAGGGACCACTCAGGGTAGGAGCTCCCACTAGCATGCCGCTGTCTGAAGCCAAGTGAAGTACCTCGAATCTTTTCTTCTTGAAATGCAACAAGGTTGACGTCACTGCGATGGAATCAATGGATTCAACACCAACAGGCTTCGATTCACCAGCCCATTCCGTACATCCTTCACCCAATAATGACCCCATCATCGCCATTACTCGTATGAAAGCGGCTCTGGGCTTAGAAGCGATCGAAAATCCCTAGGGGTTAGCCCGAAAATGGCACGCCCGTACGCCAAAGTACCAGAGGAGATGCCCTGCCAGCCCGATATAGTCGCTCGCTCCCTACAGCGAGATACACTGGAAGCCCTTGAGACCGTCGACCGTCGTCTCCTGGCACGTGACCCCCTTTGTCGATGTGAAGATGATGCTCGCGGTGCCGTTGGTCGAAGCCTGGTAGGTGACCCTGGCAGGAAACACGAGTTAGCCAAATCAGCTGTCTGGCAAAGAGTTTTCTCCCCCGTCGGTTTATGGGGCGCGTGAGCTCAAAGGGGCAAAAGTAATGCCCGCCTTCACTGCCCCAGATGCACGGAAACAGCCCGTTTTGAGATGTCACGGAACGAGGGTCTTGCTTACGAGGTATTTAGACCTTGCGGACCGTTGATGCCGATCCCTAAGCCGATGTTCATTGTGTCCTCGGTGATGGTGAATCCGCCACCGAGGCCGAAGGAATCAGAGCCGGATTGCAAACCGCCTATCATGGTAAATCGTGCGTCAGCCATCCGCTTCTTTGGCATTTCCCGCCGCCTCAAACCCCCCTCTCTCTCCAAACCCATCGCTTCCGTGTCGTGAATGGAGTAGCACGCGCGGTTGACCCCCTCCTCCATCGAGGCGTCGAATCCAAACTCCGAGGGGGAAAGTGAAAAGGGGGGGCAAACTCACCTCCGTAACTCTGGCCCTCGGCCCAGTTGACCCCGCACCCGACCCCGATCGCGCCAAACGGCGCCAGTGTTCCCGCCGCGCTGACTGCGCCCGTTCCCGACGTTGCAGAAACGTTTTTGTTCAGCGCCGTGATATCGACCCCAGTGGTGCTTTGGCGCGGCGCGAGCTCGGCGGAGGCGAGGCCGGCGAGAACAATAAGGGTCTGGATCGAGTGGATCATCGTTTCTTCTTTTCTGTCACAGCTGTCGTTTGAATACGTGGCGCTTCAGGTGATGGGCTGTCTTCCGGATATCTTGGATTTCTGTGGAGTGGTCTGAAGGTTCGAACACGGTGCGGTTTGAGCGAGTGACTAGAGTGAATTGGTTCGACGCTTTTTACGATGTTTGGAGCATTCCCCTCGCAAGACTTGGGCTAACTAGAACTTATATCTGACGGCCTCACGGGTCGATCGGCCGGCCGAGTTTCCTATCTTGAAAGCCGCAAAAAAGGGGGCGGGGATGCAATATAACCGGCCAAACTCTAATCAACAGACTCAGCACGACAGCGTACACGAGCATGAGTAATGGCGTTTTGAGTTTATGAAGAAGAGAAAAATCAGCCTAACATGCGACGAACCTGGTCCCTGCGTCACCAGTACGTCTTCTATTCTCGGAGTTGCCCGACGGACTGGTTCAGATGGTGGGGCCGACACGCCTTTTAAGGCAGCGGTAACATACTTGAAGCTCATCTAGACGGTTGCCGGTAGAATGCCAGTGTGCTTTTGGTAGTCTGCCAGTGATTTAAGCCTATTTTGGAAGGTACTGCCACAACCGCCACCGCCACAGTCCATAACCCATGCGAAAAACGCCCTTTTTGCCGCAAATCCACCATCGCCAACAGACACCCACAATGCATTGCCGGCGAAGTTGCTGCTGCCGCCACTACAGCCGTCGCTGCTGCTGCCATACAGGCAGTATAGGCAGGATTAATTTGGGCTGTAGATGGTCACGTGATATAACGAAATATAAAAGAAGTTTAGACCAATGTTAAAGACGAGGACGGTTCCTGGAACGCATCGTCAGTTGATATGGGACTGGTCCCGAGTGTTCACATTACAAGCCAGCTAAACGAGTCGTAGCCCGTCGTTGTCGTACAGGCTGTGTTCTCGCTCTTACTTCTTAAGGGGGAGAGTCTGGGCCCTACTAATATCTAGACCGTAGTTACATATGATAGAAGAGGTAATAGCATAGCCGAACGTCGCAGCGGACCCCCGGCTCTTAACAGCGATAGCCCCAGGTTCGGCATCGTGAACCGAGGCGCCTTGGCCCGGGTTTCCAGCTACTACTTGCCGTACTTATGCCTTCGGGTCAGTTCTATTACTCACCAGTTCAAGCTGTGCTGCGGCTCATTCGAGTGCGGGGCCGCAGACCCGGACGGCTGTCAATTGACCCAACGCCGTGTGAGCACCAGTCTGGATGCAGGATAATGATACGCTTCGCGTAAGTCTATTCTCAGAAAGCGTTTACACGGCTTTCGCAGGCCCTGACGTCAAGCCAGTTTGTACATGATAGTGAGCGCCTAAGACGTTATCATCATAAACACGTTCAACGGTCGTTCTGAACCTTCCCATCATTCATCCATCTACCCAGCTGATCGCCCAGCGAGCCCAAGCAACCACTCCTGCCTCCTGAGCCGTGGTTGTGCCTGTATCTAATGCCATCTAACTGTGCTGCGTTGTCGTTGTACCATCATTTCCTTTGTTCACATATTCCGTTTCTCGTAACCTGTTCGTCCCAAATGCGCACATGTCAGACATGACCCGTCTAGTCTCTTGATGTTGTAGCATCAAAACGCGTCTACCTAAAAGGGAGGTCATCTAACCAACCCAGACCGTTGCCCATGCAAAGGGGGAGAGAAAGAAAAGCATACAAAAGAAAAAAAGAAAAAAAAGAATAAGCAGAAGGCCCCGATTTGTTCCGTCGAAGAGAGCACTCCACCTCAGACGACAATGGAGTTGCGCGGCTTGGGTTCCTGGTTCTCTACCATCTCCAGGAACCGTGAGCACGGCGGCAGGCGCACCTGCGCCCGGTGTGAGCTGGCCGGCCATTGCCGGATCGAGTCGTAAAACTCGAGGCGAACCGGCGTTGACGCAGAGTGCAGACCGCGCAGGCTCTGCCGGCAGGCCTTAGGCTTTAGCAGCGCGATCCGCGGCGGCGCCAGACTTAGCGGCCGAACCGGCTCCGATTTCTGGCGTCTGCATCGGAGCTGCGTCGGTGGGGACTTGGCCCGCTCTGACACGAGCTGGAGCTTAGGCGGAAGAACCTCCGTCGGCGTGCCGGGCGGCGGGGGCGAGGCAGAGGATACTGAGCAGCGGTCGCTCCCGGCGGCTCCCGACATGGGCGCTGATGATATTGAGGAATCGCAGGCGAGCAGAAGAGACGTGGGCCGCGTGTCGGGAGAGCGACCGTAGCCGTGTTGGAATGGGGGCGGGCCCCGGGCCCCCGGGTGCTCGTCCATCTCGCGCCTAACAACGGCACGCGCTTGGATCTTCCTCTTCCGCGCGAACTCAGCGTTGAGTGAGCTCATGAGCTTCTCCAGGACTTTCCACGGGAAGATAACCGTGCCCGCCTCCCAGGCCCTGCCGGCGGCGAGCTCTGTGGAGAAGAAGCTTGTCCAGGCGCGGGCGTTGGAACATGGGTTGCCGAGGATCATGCCCTCGTCAGACGTCCGCATTCGCAGCAGCAGTTCGGACCGCTCTCGTTTGGAGAAGGGCTGATACGACATTGACGATGCGTTTACCATGTGCTGCAACAGAGCTAGTGCCTCGGAGGCCTTGAAAAACTCGGCGAAGGGACCGCCTAGTGGGAGGGAGGTTTGCCTGTAGCAGGTGATGTTTGGCTGTCCTGACTGGGCTGGGTTGCCTGCCGTCAAGATGAGGGTGACTGCACGGTTGTTGCGAGTGAGAGCGACGGCGTAATTCTGGTGCGTCGAGGACGTCTCCCGGGATTGTTTGTTGGGGGAGATGTCTCCAGATCGAGACATCGGGTCATGATAGGGATGCTGCTTGGCGTCATGGCCAATGGCTGCTGTTGATTCAGCACCAATCCGGTACTGGCTTTCCGAGTAAAAGCTCTGTAGACTACAGCTGTCTGAACGGGAGCGCAAGTGATAATTGCTAGTTCGAACCGGCGTCAGGGGTTGCACGAGCGGCTCCGACGAGAAGTACGAGTCGGCCTTGGTAGGTGGCGTCTCCGGCCCGAAGGACGACGTCCGCGTCCTTGCATCCGAAGGGGTGTCGTGTCGCAGCTCGGGAGTCCGATCCGCGAGTAGGTGAGGCAGCTCTGGCGAGTATCTCGACAGGTCATCGGGAGAGGCCCCGGGAGACGACTTTGCGTATCCCGTGGGGGGTCGGAAACCAAAGACCCAGTTGAGTCTGCTAACGGTCTGGGCGGTGGAATCATCTACTTCCCAAGGCGAGGCCGGCGAGCGGAATGACTCCGTCGACGGCCACTTGGCGTGGGATACTGGCCCTTCGACATTTCTGCGTGGCATGAAAGAATACATGGGAAAGGATGACCTGGTGAACAGAAAAGCAGACGAAAGAGGAAGCGATTTGCTTTTCGGAAAGCAGCTCAACCGTGAGAAAAGAGTGAACTCTGACCGCCCACTGGCCAGCAGGTCTTTCATATATACCCAAGACTTCTTGATGCGATCCAGCCAGACAACCGGTCAAAGGGGGGGGGGGGGGGGGGGTGAGGGGAAAGGGGGCGGTCAGCCAGCTCGACAGACACCGAGACAGGGTGTCTTGGACCTCCACGACAACCAATCTCTCTTGGCCAACATACCTGAGCAGTATATTTCCTTCTCCATCATCGCATCCAACGCACCAACATTGGGAGACGTTGGTAGGGCTATCCTCGTCGATGGCATTGGCAGAGACTCAAGGCCTTCCCCCCACCTGACCGGGCATTTGGGAGACACGACACCATCATGTTTGCTAGTGTGCGTCAGTGTCCCCCCCACAGCCTCGACATCCCATGCCCCTCCTTGCATGCCTCCCGAAGAGATCATCCATCTGCTTATGCGGAAAAGAAAGGTGTGCTCCAATCGGTGGGCCCGGAAAGCATTTTGCATGCGGCTTGCCGAATCATAGCCGCGTGTCAACCGGCCGAGAACTGTGACATTACGGATTGCTTACATGCGTCGCTGCCCGAGAGAGGGAAGTAAGCCGGCCAAAAGCAAAAAATTGCTCCGAGGGGCCAGTGCGTGGTCGGCAACCCGCATGAGAAGCGGGCGGTACGCAGCTCTGCCGCACGATATGTCACTTTCCCTCCCCGACTGCATGGCGCAAACGAAACAAGCCAAGTAATGTGGAGGGGCCAGCAGCAGCAACAACAACAACAACAACAATAATAACCACAGGACGCGAACGGACGCCGCGGTGGCAGGTGGGTGTGCTTTTGTTGTCAGAACAATTCGTTATTGGAATTCTCACCCAAGGCGCGCGAAGAAAAGGCTGGAATGCGTATAGGAAGGGTGGCGTCTATAAGCAACCCCGGGGCGTGCCTCGGGCTTTTCTTCATTGCTCACCGCTGTATGGGGAATTTGTGACATGGCGCAAGTGTCGCGGAAGAAGCAAGCTGGAAAAAGCAACGTAGTCCGTCCAAGGTCGGCCGTATGAGACCTCGAGAGACAGGACGAGACAGTTGCAGACGGCGAATTAGCCCGTGACCAATTGATGTTCCGCAGGGAACGCATGTTCCGTTAAATGACAAGACAAGCCGTAGGGCAGTCGTGGTTGGCGGACGACTTGCGGAGATAGTGACGAGCGTCCTTTGACGTGGCCAGTCCCTGTTAGACACAAAACTGATTGCGGCGGATTCCTGGGTGTCACGCTCAGACTCAGGCAGAATCAAATGGCGACGAGACAGTGCTGCACCACGAAGGAAGTTGCGTAACAACGTCATGCAATGCAACACTGGAGACGAGGAGTGGAGGAACGGCGGACAGGGGGATTGGGGCCGTTCGACGTTGCGCTACGCCTGAAAAACTCCGAGGCGTTGAAGCGATTGGTTTATGAGCGGATGTCGCTTTCCGCATTGCAAGGCACTGCGGGTGTGAGTTGCGAGGGGCCGGTTGCGAGGGGATGGTTATGACTGTGGGAGAAGTGAAGCAATTCGTGACTTGACTACTGAGTACTGACTACTGTACTATACTACCTACAAGGGTATGTACATACCTCTATAGTCAACCCCGACAGATCTCGGCTTCCCAATCCATTTTTAGAACCAAGCCTGAGTTATCGCTGCTTTAGCCTGAGCAGAGGTGATCAGGTGGGTGATCAATACCTGCGCAACCCTGCTATTCCCCTGTGCAAAGCCGACGATAACGAGATCAGCCAAAGTGGCATCAATGAGCTCTTGGACGACGGCGAGGAAACCTGGGAGGATTTTTCTGACGATGAACCTCTGGAGGACATCCTAGACGATGAATATGCGGGGGGTCTCTTATTGAGATTTGAGAAGCATACATTGGATGATTCCGTGAATGATTCGAGTTAAGTATGCCTTTCAGCCATAGACTAAAGCATACTTACCTCAAACATCTCCCCGTATTCCATCCTTATCCAGCACTGGGCCATCAGACCTCTAATCTAAGATAGCATAGAGTTCTTGAATCTGCTGCAGCACAGCTGATCGACTAGTACCGCCCCTGGCCGATTTTGCCTCAACACTCGACTCGTATTCGAACGCCTTTATAATATCGGCTGTAAATCGACCATCGATAGCTTGCAGTTGCTCCAGGGTTAGCTTATCCATCGGGGTTTCCGTGGATTCCGACAATGCAACAATGCGTCCAGAAATGTGATGAGCTTCCCTGAAGGGACATCCATTTCGCACCAGCCACTCTGCAACATCAGTAGCAAGCATTGTCTTATCAAGGGCAGCCAACATCCGCTCAGGCCGCACGGCCATGGTAGCGAAAACCCCGTTGGCAATGCCTAGACTGTCCAAAACAGTTTGAACTGAGTCCAGCATGGGTTCCCATCCCTCCTGAAGGTCCTTGTTGTAGCAAGTTGGCAAGCCTTTCACGGTCTATTAGGTATCTATTAGTGGCTGCTCTTGATCCGCTTTTGATCACTCATGATCTGATATGTCTGTATTTGAACTCACCATCATCAGTCCAGCCATTTGACCGAAAGCACGGCCCGACTTGCCGCGCAAGAGTTCCAGACTGTCAGCGTTCTTCTTGTTCGGCATTAAACTGGACGTAGATTAGTCTTGTGGGGTTGGCTAGGATTCACAATAGATATAACAAACCTGCTGCCGGTACTGTAAGAGTCTGCCAAACGACAAAACCCGAACTCGTGAGTGGAGTATAATATGAGATCTTCAGCCCACCTGCTGATATGGCTGGTGAACATTGAGTTCCAGTTTAGGAACTCGATAATAAAGTCGCGGTCGCCTGAAGTGTTCATAGAGTTCAGAGTGATTCCGCTAAAACCAAGCTCTGCAGCTATGGCGTCTCGGTCAATGCCAAACACATTGCCAGCTAATGCGCCACAACCAAGTGGGCTAAGGTTGACCCTTTCAAAGACCTGGCGCAATCGCTCGAGATCCTGCTTGAACGAAGAAGCATGTGACATTATCCACTGAGCCCAGCGGACTGGCTGCGCAAGTTGTAAGTGGGTGTAGCCGGGCATGAGGTAGTCGCTAGGGATGTTGTTCAGTAAGGGGCTTTGTCCGGATGCGGTGCTAAGCTTACATTTCAGCCTCAGCGCGTTTGGCGAGGACTTGAAGGAAAGCAACGAGTTGGCCGTCGATGTCACGGATGCGGTCACGTAACCACATACGCATATCACAGACGACCTGCTCATTACGGCTACGACCTGTATGTAGCTTGCCAGCGGTGTCCTTTCCGATAAGCTCTCCCAATCGACGCTCATTTGCAGTATGAACCTGATTTATCATATTAGCATCAGGTTAGGTAGTATAAGCTGGGACTTACATCTTCGTCGTTTGGCATAATAGCGAAGGTTCCCTGCTTCCATTCTTCCATCACTTCAAGCAGACCACGTTCAATTGTCTTGAATTCGTCGTCGGTAATAATACCAACCTTCGAGTTAGCCCTAGCGAAAGCGATCGATCCAAGAATGTCCTCTCTATAGAGAGCCTTATCGTATCGGATAGAGGCATTGTACTTGTGCATAAGCGGATCAATCCCACCTATAGTAGGCATGGCAAGGTCAGTATACTGGATCTTGGATCTGAAGCTTCTGTCCGGGGACAATCGAACCTGTGAACCTGCCACCCCAGAGCATATTGGTTGCCGGGGCGTCCGTCTTCTTTGTAGCCATGTTGGAGTATTTGTTCTCGGCGCTCGTCGCGATCGTTGCGTTTGTTAGTTCGTTGCGATTTCAAGCACGAAAAAACCGGTGAAGCCAATTGAGGGTAGAGCGCGTGGATAGCAATTGACATTCAAATTGAGGGACGCGAGTCAATTCGGATGATGTTGCTTAATTGAAAAGATCGAGAATGAGGGCGGGGCTGATCAAGCTCGAAAGCTTTGTTGAGGCGTGACGATGGTTGAGCTCAAGGGCAGTCAGGTAGTGGGAAAAATTGGTAGGACCGACACCGGCGGTGACTCACCTTGCACGTGAGCTTGCACCTAACAGTACCAGGTCAAAAGTCTGTTTACAGCAATAAGGACAGCCAATCAAAGCCTACAGCGGGTGGCTAAGGCATAAGGCCTTTGTGGCGCATTGTGGAGTGACCTCAAGCTATTAATGGATCCTCTCTTCGACTCTTCCTTGGGTTATCCTGTTGCTGTAAACAGACTTTTGGCCTGATACTGTAAGGAACCCTAAACATATTTACATAAGATCAGTCAACCATCAGAAGGCTTATCCTCTGCTTATCTTTACTTAGCTTTAGTTTGGGTTAAAGCAGCTATAGATTAGTCTCTACACTTAATGCGGATTTAGGACAAAGCTCTTGTTGCGGGTGACTATATAGGTATGCAGGATGGCTGGTAGGTACCTATTGATGGATGGTTTTGGTTCATAATTGTGGCTGCTGTAAGGGCGCCTAGCTACATCCAACATCATTGAACAGTACGTACCTAGATGCATATACACTATAAGACAGGTACGTACTCCTACCTACCTAGATACCAGCCACCACAAAGTGCAGTGCAACCTGCCATTCACGCGGTCGAAAGGGACTTGTTGTTTTTGTTGTCGTTGGTGGCGCTGCTGCTGCTGTCCTGTCGGGCCCATGTTCTATGTTCCATCATCTGATGTAGGGCTCGCCGTGGTCAGTCATAGTCATGTCAAGGTCTTGTCAATAAACGCGCCCTTCCAACGGCATGGACGACATGGACTAACAGGTCAATTGCGAGGTCAAATCCTTGAATGACAGCCCAACCACAATCTTGATTCGCCCATTCAGTCCAGCCAAGCCTCGACTAACAGCCCAGGATAACATCAACTCGTCGTTGGTAATGGCTGTGCGAGGAAGTGAGTTGAGGGGTAATCCAACTACACACATTGACGCATGACCGTGACAAGTCACAGTCATGCATATCCTCAAGCGACAAGTAACCAGCATATAAACACCCGAACTACTGTCTGTCGTGGGTTTCGGGGTCGATTGAAAACTGCACACTCGCCAAGCAATACTTCAATCAATAACACATCACCATATCCATTGTATCAACCAGAGTCGTCGCAATGGCCTCCGCCGCTACACTCGTACTTACATCAACGCCATCGATACTTGGTGGCTTTGAACCCCTGTCAAATGGCGCGGCAAAAGCACCAAGCATCGATACCAACCAGACTGACAGCGACGACGCTACTCGAGTCAACGTGGACGAGGCAATCCGTCTGGCCGCCCTCTTCCGGCAGGCCTCCAACCTTCTCGATGCCCAGATGCCTGACTTTAACCACTCGAAAGCTTACACTCCTGACGAGATACTCGCTCTGCCAATTGACACCATCCGCCTGCCAGACGAGCTGCACGGTCTCCCCCGACGGAAATCCAGGCGATCTCATCTAGCTGGGGTCATTGCATCGCTGTTATATCCCGCCACTTATGATGATGCTGTGTCACCAGTCATTCGGTACGAAGCTACGCGGGTGAGACTGCGTGCATGGGTCGCCCTGCAGCGGAAATACGACATCTTTGCCGCCACCAAACGGAACGGCCATAGCTTCCGCGGTTTGACTGGCGGCACTGCACCCGGTGTGCATGCGCCTGTCTGGGCCTCCCGGATCCTTGCCCAGGGCCCATGGGACCCTGCCAAGGCGCCCGTTTCCCTAACTGGCGCGAAAGCCATCCCGATGCCTGTTGCCGTCGCCGTCGCCGCCGACCTTGCCCCGTTCTTCGACCATCTCGAGCAGCGGGGCACCCATGCGCTCGACGAAGGCTCCGCCGGTGCTGCTCTCGAGGACGGCAAGGGCAAACCCTACTACGGTGTTAAAGGCGCCGAGTTCCGCAAAGGTGTCGTCTACGAGGACGGTCGCATGGATCTGTGCAAAATGGCTGTTGGTCCAGACCACATTGGCAACCTGATGGACAGTTTACGGCCGAACCCCTTCGTCCGACACTTCCTTCTAGGCAACAATGTCATTGGCCCGGTTGGGGCTCGGGAGATCGGCCGGTTCGTCCGGGAGCTCCCCGGCCGTATGAACACTTGGTATCTGGCAGGCAACTGCATCGACGCCCCCAGTTTCAAGACATTGGTCGACGCCATGGTCGAGTCCGAGGCAGTGACGAACATATGGCTAAAACGAAACCCCTTAGGTCCCGCAGCTGCAGCAGATGTCTACCGCCTCATTACCGAGACAAAGAACCTACGCACACTGGATCTCGATCAGACCGAACTCGGTGATGCTGGCACCGCGGAGTTGTTCCGACGTCTGGCTGCATTCTCTGTCGCTAACCCCGGCCGTAAGCAACTGCCGCTGTGCAACATTTACTTGAACGGTAACGGCATATCGACCAAAGCTGCAGTTGCGATCGCCGAGTTCCTGGGCTCGCCTGCCTGCGGCATTACCTCGCTCTATTTGTCATGCAACCCCTTGGGCGACGAAGGCACGAAAGCTCTTGTTTCCGGTATCCGCAAAGCCCACCAGCTATCACGGCTGTCACTGCAATCCACTGGTCTAACAGCTGCTGGTGCCAGTGACGTCTTCCGGGCTATCACGACGCATCCCGGTGTGCGCTTCTTGGATGTTGGCCAAGCGTATGCGACCGTCGACCTTGGCCAGGCGTGGAACTATATCAATAACGATGCTGTGCCGTTAATCTGTGAGCTGGTGTCAACAAACCAAACACTCCAGTACCTGAACCTGGGCTGTTGCCCGATCTCACCGCCAGAGCTTCGCAAGATCGATACCGCTGTCTTGGAAAGCTCCCTGCTGTTTTACTTCGCGGTCCCTATCCTTCCCAATGCGAAAGTTAGGGTGCCATCATTCAACCCGTCAGCCGATCATACAATGCCAGATTTGCACTCGTTGTCGGCGCCGACCAAAGACGAGAAGGTCCTCGAAAAGGCCGTCAACAGGCATCTTGAACGGAACGTTAAAGCCACATATGGAGACGACATGACTTATGCCAAGTTCCTTGAGCAGGAGAAACGATGGATCGTCAATGACAAAACTGACGTGCGCAAAATTGATTCGGTGTACCGCAATCGCGATGCCAGCCTCGCTCGACGCAAGCTGCAGGCCCTGGCCAAAGACTGGGACGAGAACGACGACACCCTCGCCCGGATCATGAATGCCAAGGGTCCGTTTTGCACTGTACGTAAACACACAGAGATTTTGACTGAGGAAATTTGAGGAGAGAGGGCATCTTAATGAGTATCAGGAGGGTGGAAACCCTTGGAGGTGTGGACGAGCGAGCCTCTTGGGCCCGGAAGATGGAGGGTTGCATCGGCTGCAATAGTCTAGACCCGCTGTTGAGGATTATAAATTCCGGATCGCTGGCTTTTCTCATCAGCAGATGTTTCTGGTCTATTAGTCTAGTTGGTTAGGACGTCGGATTCTGATGATGACCAATCACTTCCGTAAGCCCAGGTTCGAATCCTGGATGGACCTTTCATTTTGCCGTATTCAAGAAATATGAAGAATCTCTTTTTGTCTCGGCGGTTTTTTTTTCTATTCTCGGAAAATTGCCTAATAGTAATTTCGGTTATGTGTGCATGCATATAGCGAGGGTTCTGTTTAGAAGGAGGAGGGACAATGGCTTATCGGGAGTTCAGACCTAGAGGGAGCTGTAGTCGCGTATGTAATTGTACTAGCGTCTTATGTAAGCTCCAACGTCATTGCTTCGAACGCACACCCAAACACACTTCGATCGATCAACAGTCAACAGATCGTCGGTGGACACACCAATTACGCCCTGGACATTCCCATCGCAACGCCATGCGTTTGTGACTCGACCCCCTCCCCATATTCTTGCTGTGAGACAAGACACGATACTGCTTCCAGACTCAAGATTCGAAGATTGTTCGGGCCCCTCTCTTTTCGCACTCGTGGAACCCTCCCCCATACCTCCCTAATCCATACCCACTGGATCTCGACCTTCCTTCACCCCCCTGCAAGGTTCGCTCCAGCCCGTGATAACCCCCAAAGTTTAATTGATTCGTCGCGCACGCCGGGCCCTCTTCTGCGAGTCCTATCACACACCTACCTGCGGAAGCCTTCCGTCATTTACTCTTTTTCTTTTCTTTTTTATTGTTTAAATTTAGCATACCACGGCGCATGCTCCGAGGATGGCGCCGGTGAAGCGCAAGCGACCCCACGATGAACCCGAACCACCACCGGCCCCCACCGCTCCCGCCGCATTTACAGCGGCACCGGCCGAGTCAACGACGCGTCGCGCAACGCGTCAAACTCCGATTCTGCCACCTCCAATCCCGATCTCAGCCACCACCTCTCAACCCCAATCGCAGTCTCTAGGCCCCGCCGCTGTCGCCGAAGAGAAGCTTCCGGGCGGACGTCGCCCCTCGACTTCCAGACCGCACCTTCCCACCAAGATCTCCGAGACCCCGATACCCATACCGAAGCACCCGTCTTCTTCAACCAGCCATCCTCCAGTACAGCACCCACTACCGCCTGTGCAGCCAACAAGCCAGCAGCCCTCGAGCTCTGTGCATCTCGAATCCCGCGCGACCCGACAAAAACGCGAAAACGCAGCTGACGCTCCTATGATGGCGGCTAAGGAGGCCAAGGAAAACGTCAGGCCGGTGACACTCGTCGCGCCCAAAATCACATACCAAGTGCCGCAGACCCAGCTCCACCGGACGGGGAGCCTCGTCCGGCCCAGTCCGCCTACAGGCCAGCCACCCATCACACAACACTTCCGTCCTGTGTCGACGCGGCCTTACCATACCATCCCCTCTACCGTCACCGCCGTGCCCGTTCCTGTACCCCCGACGCCATCATCGACACCGTCGAAACCCGCTCTCGCAGCGGCAGTGACAGTGCCAGCGGCAGCTCCGAGGACAACAGACAAATCCACGCTACGGACGGACCGTAACATCGACAAGGTGATGCTCGGCAATATCTGCTTCCGCGCATGGTACCCTTCGTACTACGGCAAAGAGGTCCTTGGTGATACCGCAGGCGCGAGAGGCGGGGCCGGGAGCAAGAACTCTCATTCCCACGATGCGGCTGGCGCGCACAACGGCAACGGCGGGGTCGGCGCGAAGAACAGCCACCGTAAGGGCGCCGACGCGCCCATGCTTGACAGGCTCTACGTGTGCCCTGTGTGTTTCAAGTACTCGAAAGAGCTGGTGGCGTGGTGGGGGCACGTCCGCGTGTGCGAGCGCGCGGGGACGGTGCCGGGGAGGAAGGTCTACGTGCACCCACGCGGGAGGAGGCTGGTGCGTAGAGAGATTGCGCGGATGGCAGGAAAGAAGACAAACGTCGCGCCAAAGTTTACTGAGGAGTACGTCACGGACGAAGGGGAATGGAGTGTATGGGAAGTGGATGGGGAGCAGGACGTGGTGAGTAATAACCCCGTCGCCAGTACCTTTCATAGTAAAAGATGCTGTACTGACGCAAATGCTGCCACAGCTCTTCTGCCAAAACCTCTCCCTCTTCGCCAAGCTCTTCCTCGACAACAAATCCGTCTTCTTCGACGTCCGTGGCTTCAACTACTTCCTCCTCGTCTACACCCCGCCTCGGAAGCCCGACAGCCCGGACCCCCCACCGCGCCCCCACATCGTCGGCTTCTTCTCCAAGGAGAAGATGTCGTGGGACAACAACAACCTCGCTTGTATCCTCGTATTCCCGCCCTGGCAGCGCAAGGGCCTCGGCGCGCTGCTGATGGGCGTGTCTTACGAGATCTCGCGGCGCGAGGGCGTCGTGGGCGGGCCGGAGAAACCGATTTCCGAGCTGGGCCGCAAGGGTTACAAACGGTTCTGGGGCGGCGAGGTGGCACGGTGGCTACTGAGCTGTCCCACAAACGGCAGGGGAGGGGGAGGCGACGCCGACCCGGCTTTGCTTGTCGATCTCGAGGACTGCAGTCGAGCGACATGGATCGCGTTGGAGGACTGCCTGGCTACGCTGAGAGAGATGGGGTTCGTCGTGGAGGCTGGCAAGGGGCCCGTAAAGCCGCCTCCGAAGCCGAAGAAGAAGAGGAAAAGTGCCGGCACGGAGGCGGTGGATGGAGAAGGAGACGAGGATGTGGAAATGGAGGAGCCAGAACCCGAGCCTGAGCCCCGACCGGATGTGCCGTGGGTCAAGGTCGACAAGGCGGCAGTTTGGGCTTGGGTTGCTGCGAACGGGATCAGCCTGGAGAAGGTGTGTGATCCGGATGGGTTTGTGGAAGGTTACGCCATCAAGAAGCCGGAGGCGGAGGAAGACGATGAGTGAATATATCCAACATTGTTTGTCATAATAATTAGCCACATTCCCTCATCACTTTTCTGCTTGGGCAGTCGGAGTTTACTACGGCAGTGTTGATGATGCCAAGTTGCCGACGTTCTGCAAGCCGCTCTTTGGCAGGCATGCGATATGTCCAAAACGGAGTTTATCGGATCTGTGTGCCTACCTCTACTGGCTCGTCATGGTTTACCTTTGCCTGGATAACAACCTTGCTATCAATTTATTCCTTGTCCCAAGGGGGGGGGGGGGGTCAGTAAGGTCTATAACGAAAATTTTACTCATAAAGGTGACAGACAACGCCGAGGCTCGTACGCTTTGCGCTACATTCCATTAATCAAGGATGAAAGCCTTTAGGCAGACCTCTATCTAGGGCTTGATAACCCCGAAACAAGATGTAATAACGTGCTCGGCCATAAATCATTCCTTCATCACAAGTTAGCAGGTGTATAGGGAGATATAACCAGACAGCTCCGACTTGTAAACTGACCGACATGGCCTGGTTGGGATCGTGACAACCGCAAGGAGTGCCGAGGACTCGGGTCTTCAGATATGCACCATCAAGGCAAATGGCCGAGACGAAGGCCTAGGAAGACATACCATACCCAGTCTATTTTGAACTGTCAAGTCAGGTATCTCACCATCTTCTTCCAAGTGTCCACCATCCAGAGAGAGTTATTCATGCCACAGACAAACGACCTTGTGGGAAAGGTCTTTGACCCTCGTTGACAATCCTACTTGTAGTATCCCGAGCATTGTAGCTAGATCGTCTTGTAATAGTAACGGGCCTCGAAGTCCGGGGCCAGCAGCACACATCACATGCCGTTGGCCAGTGGTACAGCCGAAAGTTGGGTATCTACGGGCACGGCCGAACAGAGGCCAGAGGTTCGCTTCCGGAGAACAGCATCTTCCGCAACCGCGTTATTGGTTCAAATGGGCCTCCAGGGGTGGCTATCGCTCTAGCCCACTCTACGAAGACTTCTCGCATTACGACATTGTTATCCCCAGCAAGACATCCATAGCACTAGCCGGTGAACTTGCGGGACTGATTCCCCATGGGGAGCGGGGGGGGGGGCCGACATCATCAGGTCTTCCGTTTTGTGGTCTTATGCGTGCGGGTGTCGAGCTGAAGCGTACTCGCCGCAATCACCCGTCAAGCCGGTGGTCCTCTCTGAAGCCCTTTCTCCCTCGGGGACCCATGCTTGGAGGGGAGGAGGTCCCGGCATTGGTGTGTTGGTCGTCCCCTGGCCGTCTTGGGAGATTATGACCGTAGTATCCATACATAGAGGAGTATTTCAGGAAGTCCTGGGTTCGTGCTATGCACGCGGGCTGACTCGCGACAGAGCATACCGGTTCCTCACCAGCCAACATCAAGCAAACAGTCGCCCACAGCACTATTGTGTCTGTCTCGGCGATGGCTGTCATACAACTCATAAGGAACGAACATTTAGCATCTACTTCCTTCCTTCCATATCCAAGTCCCGAGCAATGAATCGCCAGGCACGTCGTCAAAACAAACGAAACGCACACATTCTAGAAACCGTTCCTCTTCCATGCCGTCCCAAAGTGGTTAAAAGGTGGGTCACAATCGTACGTTGCACCAGCCGGTCCAAGAGGGGAAAAAAAAAACAGGTGTGCATGCATGCGCCTCCCAAGGAATTGGAGAAAACATGAGTCCAGGTCTCGGGGGAAAATCGAACGAGACCTGCGTGAGGGGAAGACAGCTCTTTACCTTAGCTCTGGGCCGTCGTCATATTTAAAATAGGATTCCCTGGATTTCCGTGACGAGGATTACTTAAGCCTTTCAACGACATCCCATCCAGACATCGTCAACGATTCAACCCACGATCGCGCGCACTCGGCCAACCCCCCTCCCCGCCAATTGACGGTGAGCACGGAGTACATACACGTAAACGGTGATCGAAAGGGGCGCTTTGCTTGACACGGGACACACGAACTAAGACAGTCATGATGCAATAGCCTGTGGAGCCTCTCAATACCCGCTCACCCGATCGTCTTTCGCTCGTCTCGCCTCGTCTCGTCAGAGGACCCGCATATCTAATCCGGGCCTGGATGAGAGAGAAGGAGAAGCACGGTACCCGCGTTAACAGGAGGCAAGTTGGTGGCACCGTTTCTTTTTGTCGTTTGCTACGGAGTACACACTACAAAACGGTTCGTGGGACGAAGGGGGGGACGGACCGAAGAGCGGGCCAGTCTCCTACCACTCACTCCCCCTACCCCTTCAAAAATGTCAAGATCGAGATCCGAGCGAGAGGGGGAGAAAAAAAGAAGACGAAAAAAATAATTTGAGATGGCAGTAGTGTGTTGACATTCTCGCTCCGGTCGAGCTTGTCGACGCCACCGCGCGAACTCAAGGCAAGCTCGAGATCAAACTTGTTCTAGGCATTGTCCTATTCGTCTCATGTTTCTTTTTTTTTTGGGTTTCCTCCGAGAGACTACCACGGTGAAAGTTTTCGTCCCCGTTTGAAGGCGCGCACGCAACCAGCGCAGAGAGGGTGTGTGTGTGAGCGAGGAGATAAGAAAAGAGCAAGCCGTGGGGGGGGGGGTGGTGCCCTTCGGTGGTGTGTAGGGATGCACGACTCGGAGCCAAGGTGCTCGACGATAAGGCCGCGAGCGAAGCGGAGCACCCACACACATATTTTTCTCGGAGACCGAACCCAAGTCGGCAATGACGACTGGACAATTGGGACCAGGCTGGTCAAGCTGATCAGGCTCCTTGGCCGGCGTTGAGGTCGTGGCCTTATGCCGGAGCCACGGTCACGAGCTCGAGTGAAGAAGGCAGAGAGTATGTCGCCCCCAAGGCCGTCGAGATCGCCGAGCGGTGTGCGTCCAGTGGGCGACGAAGGCCGTTTCTTCAATCGGAAGCGAGAGAGGGAAGGGAGGATAGGGCGGGAATCAAACGAGATGGCGTGGCAAGGAAGTGAAAGGTCAAAAGACAAACCCCATGGGGATGAAGCTGCCCTTCCCCTGGGCCATCCCGCGGTCCAGAGGACGGACGGGAGTCAGGCACACACACCCGCAATAAGCTCGAGGGTTAGAGCTCGCCCAATCCTCACCTCACATTGGCCAATTCGCCTCGTTCGAGATCTCGGGGGAGCTTCGAGCTCGCCGTCCTGAAGTGGAGATTGGGGAGAGAGCATCGCGTGCGTGTCCTAGTAGGACCCGCGAAGCTCCCTCGGCGGTGAGAACCTGGTGTGTTTTTTCCTGTTTTCACCCTCCTCTTGTTCCCTCCCCCATCCTTTCTTGAGGGTTACCCTGTTTGTGAAGAATCCTGCCAGGCCAAGTCCATCTCACTAAGTTTCGTCCATATGCTTTCAAGATTCTCACACAGTTTGTCCCAAGCTTCACTCTCGGTGTCATCAAAGTTTGGTTCATGAGTTTGAGGTTTGTAGTATTTTTACAGAAAAAAGTGTCAGGGCCAGGAGCCACGGGGGGTGGGAACAACCGGCCGAAGCAAGAAAGATCGGGGGAGTGTGCAAAACTTTTTCGCTCGTGATAGTAGTGCGATACCCGCGTCCGCCTGCAACGAGCCATTCTCCATCTATACAACACTGCCCAAAAAAGGCCGTGCGGTCTAAGACCTCTATACTTCTAAATGCCCACCATGCTGTCTATCCCGTCTATTAACTCTGGGCTTGTTACGCAGTGTGGAGGCGGTTTGCCGTTCCATTGCGTAACCAAAGGCGAACCTGTCCCGAGGGGGACCAGACGCGGGAAGACGGCTCCGTCCGAAAGCCATCCCGACCCTGCGCCTCCCCCCAGCTCGCCAGCGCGAAATAAATCGCTTACGTCTGCGAACGGTTGTTAGCTTGGATGAGTTCCGATGAGATATGGATGAGAGCGGGTGATGACGTACGAACTTGGCCATGAGGGCAACCATGAGGTCGAAAAGACCGATGGCCTCGACGAAAGCGAAGCCAAGAATGGCGTAGGAGAAGAGCTGGCCACGGAGGGCAGGGTTGCGGGCAACACCGTTGAGGAGGGCGGCGAAGACCAGACCGATACCGATACCAGCACCGGTAAGACCGATGGCGGCGGAACCCATACCCAGGTTCTTGGAGACCTCGACCATAGCCTGGGCGATCTCAGAGGAGTAGGCGCGCTTGGCCTGGACCTGGGTGAAGACCTTGGAGGACTTGATGGTGGTGGCCTGCTGGCGCTTGACGGCCTGGAGGGGGCTGGAGAAGCCTGTAAAAAATTCGATGTCAGAAGCGGGTTCGATTTTTTTTGCACTCGTCTTCTTCTTTCTCTCGACGACGGGGGACGGGGAAGGCGACGATATCGGAATCGGTGCCGTGAGAGGCCAATTGGGTTGGTTTGTTCAGTTGGCTCGTCGTAGGCGTTGGTCTTCTTGAGGTACCCGCTTACCATTCCCTCCCCATTCTTGTTCTGTCCTTTCTTGATTCAAGACTTACCGGTGATGGTGCGCTTAGGCATGGCAGAGACGCGCACCGCAGGGCGGGCGGCCTTGGTGGCCATCTGAGTGGCGAGTCTGGAGGCGAGGACGCGAGTGGAGGCCATTGTGACTGATGGGAGGGGAGATTGTGGGATAGACGGGTGATGGACTGGAAAGAAGAAGATAGGAAAAGAGGACAGATTGGGATGGAGGTAGGTAAAGTGGAAGGAGGAAGGAGAAGAGAGAAAAAAAAGCTCAAAAGCAGGTTCGGAAGGGAAAAGCTCTCGCTCAGGTGACGGGCAGACTCGGTAGAGAGAGGGAGGGCAGGGGCCCGGGCAACCAACGGGACGGCGGAAGTTGATCCAGCTGGCTCGGCCGCCAGGCCACGGTGGAACCGTCTGGATGAAGCCTCAGGCCCTCAGTCCTTTCTTCACTCTCACACCAACTCACTATCAAACAGGAGAGACAGACATTGGCGAGTACCGTTTGTTCATCCACTCGGACACGCACACCCGTCCCGTCCGTCTACGTCTACAGAGTACATACCGTCTTCTCGCTCGGTGGGCCCCGGCGCGCCGCGCGCCGGGGGATGCGATTCGCAGAGAGCGAGGCGTTCCAATCAGAGCAAGACATGACTGGTGGTTGGCACATCGTGGACCGTCTATCCACCAGTAGCCACAGGGACACGCCCTCGCACCGATCTCGGGCTTTGTCGGGAGGCTGGACGGTAAAGGGAATCCCTGAAAAGGGAGTGTGAGGAGGAAAAATTGGTTGATCTTGGACTTGGCTGTGCCTGAGGCCCGAGGCGCGCCTGCGACTTGTCCTCGAGAGAAACGCCCCCTTGGGCCAGGAACACGAATCATGAGAAGTGGGCTGCTGTATTAAGGCTAAGGAGGATGGGCAAGGTTGGGTCCGTTACGACCGGCTAGCTGATAACCAGACGTCGCAAGCTGAAGTAGGCTCAACGTTTGCGCCAGCTTAGGCTCCGAGACGGACGGCATGAGCATGTAATACTTGCTCGCAACCACTGGGCTGCTGGAAGCTAAAGGCTGAGCATTGACAATGGCCTGGGCTTCCCTGGGGAGAAAAAATTCTCCAAAACATTCCCTCAGGCACCACCATACTCTGTAATAGTAGCGCAATAAGGGGGGAAAACAGATGTATGTCAGCTTTGATATCAAACCGGCCGTGGCTTGCGGTGACCCCCACTCGATACCGTCAACAGCCCCCACTTTGAGGCGCTCGGGTCCAATCAGCCGCAGCGCAGCACTCACACGTGGGTGGACCCGACAAAATAGCTCAAGGGAAAAAAAAAAAGTTGAAAGACACCAGAAAGGAAGTGGATCACGATAACCAAGTCACCAGCTTGGAACGGTATCTTCCCAGAGATAAAAAGTGACCCGGTGAGACCGTTTGCCGTTTGAAGGGGCGATGGCGAAGTCGCTCGAGGTCCTTTCGCTTTATTCTCTCGGCCCCCCCTCCCCCCTCCTCCCGTTTTGCTGCTTGCGGTCGATTTGCATATGATGATGAGTTTCTCCGTATTCCATCTGTGTTCTGTTCTCACCCGTTTTTTTTTCTCTTTTTCGTTTTTTTATTTCACCTTTTCCTTATCAAACTTTTTCGTCGAATCGTCGCCACCAACCATGAGTGTAAGATGGGATGAAGTCAATCGAAGCGCGAGCGCACGCCTTGGCCGGCATACCTAGTTCTGCTAGGGGTGACGGCATACACTACAGCGCGCACACCCCCTCCCATACGCCCCCTACTGCAGGTAGACGAGTGTTACATGAGATCCCGGCAGCAATCCCGGAAGGCTGGCTGGCGTGCACTGGCAGCGACAACCACTGAGCTGAGTGAGAGAAAAATAGAGCGACGGTAATGAGCTGGCACGCAGTGTGCCGTTTGCCAATGGGAAACGGTGTCTCGCTCCTTTGAGCCGACACCCGAGGTTCCAGTCTGAGATTGGCTTGGGTGCGACTGCGACGCCGTGACCGTAATGCTGGTATCCACAAAAGGAGTATCTGCGAGATTGAACCAGCGTCAAACGTGAATCTAGCGTTTCTTAATCCCAGCTGTCGGTACGGTGCATGTACGGTACGTACATATACCAATTGGTAATAATGCATGGGTCCACCATGACGCGAAGCCCAAGTACCTTTTTCGGTTGGGTTTGATCCGCGAGGTACCTGATCCGCCTGAACTGTGTGGCATAAGAGAGAGAGAGAGAGAGAAAAATTTGCATCCTGCCAAGCTGTTCCTAGCCTGCGCCTTAAGCGGGAGAAGAAACACCGACACACACCGTTGGCGCTCACCATTTCTTCCGACTGCCGTTGTCTCTAGCTCTATGCCTGAGGTTAAAGAGCCGCAAAAATGACGCATCACTGTTGTCTCTGTCTCTGGCCCGGCGCTCAAGGGGGCCGCAGCAGCACTGGTGCAACAATGGCGTTTAGTTAGGGGACCAGAAGCCAGTAGTTAAGCTGGAGCTTCTTTTTCTTCTGAGTCGTTAGTCTAGGTCTGACGTTGCATTGATGAGTGTGAAAATAAGCAAACTGGTGGCTAGTTGCTTACAGGAAGTTAGTTGACGAGATACGAAAAAGTTGTTGAGCCACGGGGCCAGCTTGTCGTGATTGATTACCCGTACGTCGATGACACACACACACACACACACCTGGGATTGGGATGAGGGCGATGCATGGCAGTGGATGCATCCTGGCATACCGAACGGTGTGCGTGATGAAAAGAGGCTTTTCAAGTTACTACGTGGTAGGACCGGACTGTCTTGCCCATTCCGTCGCATCGCCTTCCTCTTTGTCCGGGGCCCAGGCGCTTTCTTCCTTCCTTTTCCTTCCCTCCTTCCCCTTTCCGCCGCCGGGATTTCCCATAGTCCCTTTCTTCCCTTCCATGTCTCTCGTCGGTCCAGGCGCCCTCTGGCGGCATGTCGTCGCCTTAGGCTCATACTTATTCCGCGGTGGCTGCACCATCAACCGAAACAGCCGACACGCCCTGCCTAGATGGACGGACAGAAACGGAACTGAGTGAGACGCCACATGCTCTCAAGAGGTTCAACCACAGCGTACCTGCCACACCCCAAATGCTGCCCAGGTTGCTTCTGCAATTGCGGCGTGAAGCTACCGCGGAAATGACTGCAAAGCGCGGCAAGGAAGGTGCAGACGACACCGGGAAACTTTCGGGGCTGCCCTCCAAGAGAAAGCTCACGGGAATGAATAGCATCGAGGAACTTTGCGCCATTCTTTATGGCATTCCTCAACCAAGCCAGACCTCGTCAAATCTCGTCCTCACAGCCTTCCGGATCACACCGAGTCGCCCAGTCACCGACACGAGACGACACAGAGCTACTAATATGTATGATATGGCACAACGCGAGGCTTAATGCGCAAACAAACGTGCATACTTGGCGAATCTCAAATCGCACACCTTCCAATTTACCTCCAGGCATCAATGCATCGAGTACGTTTGCGATCGCCACCTTTGATCTCGACAAACACCCGAGCGAGTCCCTAGAGAGAAAAATTTCCTCCGTCATCTCGGTTGGCGTCAATCGCGCGAGAGAGTGCGAGCAAAGGGGGAACCAGTCCCGAGCCAAGCGTGGGCGAAGCACTCGAGTGTTATTGCGACGGTCCAGAGCTCTGCGCCTGGCCCAAGCTCCTTTCCCGATTCGACCTATCATCGCGGCGCCTCCTACTCCCTTTCGCTTTTTGGCGGCCTTTGATCTCCCGATAACTTCCGCTGCGTTACGGTCTCTTCGTTCCAGTACTCCGTACAGTTGAACTCGATAACCCTCTCAACCCGAATCCCTCTATAACCTTTGCCACATGCCTCAGAGCTCAACCCTTGCGAGCATAATATATCTTTCCTAGGCTGACTGGCGGTGGAAAAAATCCAGCTGTTGGTCTGCACCGAGAGCTGGATATGGGGCTGTGTTCTCGCCGTCCAGGTCAATGGCTTCAAAGTGGCTAGACTTCCATACGCTTTGTCGAACGAGCCCGTCCATATGCAACAAACCTTCTGCTTGAGCATCTACCCCAGATCTCGGCCGCAAAGTGCATATTTATTGAAACGCCCAATCCTCTTTCGCCCTTAGCAGCCGTTGTGAACTCACATACACGATGACGCATCAACATGGACAGACGCTGCCCGCTTCCACGAAAGAAAAGTCTTTGTACTCATCGGGCTCGGGTATGAGGTATACCTGAAGGTCGAGGCACCGGGACTAGCGTCGTGGCTCGTCGAAGTCAAACGTATCCTGGCCGCACGACTTGTTGCTTGCCGTCGGAATCTATTCCCAACCTCGCGAATGCCCACGGTGCCACATCACGTTGATGATTGCCATTTCTTGCTTGACTGCCGTACTCATCAACTGGATCACAGAGCCCCCCAGTCGTAACACATGGAATCTCAATGAATTAGCAGCCAAGTTGGCATGTACTGGCAGGCCAGCAAGAGCCAACCCGACTCTGCACTCTCGGTGCATCTCTGCAAGTACTAGCCATGATCGGGGAAGTCGTGTCTCTGTCCAGTCTGGGGTCCAGCAGGGAATTGCTATGCGTGTGGCAGGGCGTACCATGCCTTCTGGTTTGCTAAATCGACCAAGGTGGGAAGCCCTCACGAGCATGGCGGGCACCCCGAACCTCTGAACGATCCATCCCGCCATCCGCATGTATACCTCCTCGGTTGTTCTGGTGTAGTCCGCCATAACACCATCGGCGTCGGCGCAGGAAACAAGCCCGAATACGGCGAAGAGCTTGTCTCTGGGATCCGTTGCGCGACCATGACGTGCCAGATCAAGGAGGTGAAGGAGGTCGCTCGAATCACGATACGATGGCGGGCGGAACTGCAGAACCGACGGCAACTAAGCATGTTTAGCAGCCTTGGCTTTTCTTTTGCGTTGACGAGCAGTCCCCGCTTTGCTAGTTGGGAGATTTGCACTATGGACCATGGCATGGAGAACTTTCCGCAGACCAGCGTTGCCATCTTAGCCAGCGCAACTTCCTGGAGGACCCAAGCCCTCGAAAAGTACGGCCGTTGCAAAAAGGTTTCCAATGCCACCTGCAGTGGTTGCAAGGGCATGGTAGAAATAGGGTCGCCATGCAGTATCTGGAGAAGCCTCTCTTCCTCCGGTGCCGGTTCTCCCACGTAGATGAGAACATGCTGTGCCCGGGAGAAGATCCGCGGCATCAGTCGCACTTGGTGGCCCCTTTCCTCGGCGTCCTTCTGGTTCATGCAGACGGCATCCATCCAGATGGCTTTCTCAGCACCTCGGCTTCTGACAAGCCGCAGTGCCATCATGCACTTCGGCGTCACGAGAAACTCCCGCCGGTCGAGGGTGATACACTCTGTCCACTCTATCTCGCCGACATTGCTCGCCCACGTGTACGAGATGGCCTCGTAATCGATCATGCTGGCCGTGCTGCTGAAGGATAGGTGGCGCTTGATCCGGTCGTCAAAGTTCCCTGGCAATAAGGTGAGTAGCCGGATATCCGTCGTAGACACCAGCGGCTGATAGACAGTACCGTTGTCGGTATCTGCGTCCTCCGAAGGCGATGTCTCGCTGTCTAGTTGGATGGAGCCGCAGCTGAGGCAGCTGGAGATGCCGCCGCTGGTGAAGACATCCAGGCGCCGGCAGGACGGGTTGTTCCACTTCGTCGTGGTGGCGGGACGAGGCTCTCAAGTGTTGTCGAATGGTTTTTTCGGTGGCGTCTGTTGTCTTGATGGAGTTGAAGAATACAGGTACAGCAGGTGTCGTCAACTGGTTCGGCTGCAGGGGTGACTGTTCTGCACAAATGACTGCCGTCTGACTGAATTTGCCTGGCAAAGATATCCCAAGTCAGCTGCGCGCGTAATAGGCGACGTAACGGCATGGTTATTATAAGGCCGGGGCTTTTCACCAGATTCCATTCTTCGGTGAAAACGACGGTATGCCCAAGTCAGGCTATGAGCGGGGGCCGAGATGACAGTAACAGAAAGACGCGGTGCTCATGCCGTGCAAGTCGGGCAGTGTCTCGTTTCGATTCTGTCTCTGAGCACATTGCACTTGATGGCGTTCAATCTGATGTCGCACTTGCTACTGCCGCCGCTGCCGCCACTACTGTAAGTTGATCTCTGGACATTTCTGGGTCCCTCCTTCATCCCGAACGCAACAACATCTGTTTTCTCCAAAGTTGTGAGCTTAGGGCATGTGCAGGTTAACACATGTGCGTCCCCCATGGTAATAAGTATTCCAACAGACTAGATATGACTCCTAATTATACATGTGTTTGTGGTAAAAGGCCTCCCCATAACTTCATAATGTGATATGCCAGGGCTCAGGTTGAGTTGACGTCTACAACTAGTGACGGGGTCGCGTTGCTATGGTGGAGCATGGCAATCTTGCAGCGGACGTTGTCACGTTGCAGTGCGGTCAGAATTTTGCACAGGAACGCAACAGCATGTATACGTTTGGGGCATATATTGAGCTAATCGTTGAAGAGACTGGGCCGGAGCTTGCAGCTTGTTGTGAGATTATCATACTGACCGCGAAAGATTCCTACAGCATTTATACAAGAGTAGTGTGATATACGTACATAGAAATGCCCAGTTCCTGCCGGACGAAGGCGGCCGGCGCTCCTAGCATAGGGATCATGACCCTCCTACAACCGTCAGAGTGGAATCTCATTTGCAGCTGTCGCTGCCGGGGATAAAGGTGCCATCGGAGTTCTCGCAGCCGCAGTCGCCCGTGTTCGGGTCCCTGATGCAACCGGTGCCGACGCCGCTCTGCTCGCCGGTGCCGCTTGACGCCACGAAACCTTGGTCAGCCTCTTGCTCATGAAGAAGAAAGAAGAAGAAGGAAAAAGCACCCGACTTGACCGTCGGTTAACTCACCTCCAGAAGAAAGTCCAGCAGTCCGCGTCGGCAAGCATCTGGGTGGGCGCGTCGCAGGTGTACGCGGAGCAGGTGCCGTAGGGGGCGCCGTGGCTGGCGTCGTACTGGTGGTCCGTCTCGAAGACGGCGAAGGTCTGGGCCTTGCCGGTGCGCGTGTTGTGCGAGCACTCGGCTGCCTGGATGGCCTTCGAGACCTTTGTAGCGCTGCAGGCGTATTTCGAGGGGCACTTGCCCTTGGTGTTGGAGGTGGCCGGCTCGAGCGTCGCGTCCGCGAGGGCGGATACGAGGACGACGAGGAGGAGGGAGGAGAAATTCATGTCTGGGGAGTGGTTGTGTAAGATGAGGTATAGTTGGCCTGGGGGATGTTTTTTGATGGAACGAGCGTTAGTGGATGATGGTGAACGAAAGTCCGAGTCCCAGCCCGAGAAGTTACAGGAACGAATGGGATGTCGGGAAACGAAGTCAAGCTCATACATGGCAGGGCGAAGCTTCTTATATCCTTGAATGTTGGTTCTTTTCTTCATCTTATCCGTGGATGCAAGCGGCTGCCCAATGTTAATTGCACCTGGGGCGCCCACGTTTCGGACAGATGACGATGACGGGCGACTGGACTGTAACTCTTCCGTCGCCCGCTTAGCGGCACGCATGTCCCGGCGGGACGGGAAACATCCCGGTCGGCCGTAGGTTCTGGACCATCCGAAGGACTAGGTCACATATAAATTATAACTCTCGTTGTCTATCCGTACTTCATGTCTAAGCTAATCGTTGTTTCCCTGTCCCATCCCACTTGGATCCCCGCAACGTGGACATTTTTCGCGATGAATTCTGGGGCAGACTTGGCCACTGCACAGACTCCTCGTTAATAGATTCCGCCCTCATCCCCGCCTGGCCCAGTGTGGACCGAACTCGAGGAAGACAAAGACGAGGCCTCAATCCCAGTTGGATTTTACTACGTGTGAAATTTCTCGAGTCCAGCGTCTCAGATACAAACAGACCGCCCTCTGTTCCAACGCTGGGATGGCCGCAGTGGGAAGTACCTACAGCAGAGGTGCCAGGGGTCCAGGAGATTAAAGGCGATCAGCGGGGCTTCCCGCGGCCTGCATCGTTACATCCGCAGGGCGGGGGATTCCAGGTCGTTTGGCAAAGAAGCCCGAGCTGTTCGACGACATGTAGAGACCATAACCAGGCAAGGGTCCTGCCAAGTGGTTAGTGCAGATGACGACGCCTCGGGAGATTGATTGCGGACAGGGTGAAGATGGGGGTGAGGTTCTCTTTGGGCAAGAGGATCGGCCAACGAAAAAGCAACTGCTTGGCTCATACTAAAGACCGGAGATACGTGAAGAGGAGGTCAACTGATCCAAGCATCGTGATCATCGAATCGCTCTCCAGGATGTTGACCGTGTTGTTCCTGATTACACGTGTGCTATATTTGTGGTATTATCAGAAGCTTGATGCGCCACCGAGTTGGGTTGAAACACAGGCTCTGAAAACATGGCCATGGTTAGGCCTCCTTGGCATTATGGACTGCTCGCAAACCTCATCTACATCTCGTCTGTGACGGGTCTACCTTTGCCAAAAGTCTGCCCCCCCACCCCCCCACCCCCCAGCCTCCCCTCCTCCCTTTCACTGACACCCGTCTCTCACCTCATATCCAGCATGACGTTATTCCCCTTCTCACCCCTCGCGAATAGAGTAATGTTCTCCCCCACCACCCTCCGGATGTTCACCCTTGTCTGATCAGCGCACCACGCGAGGTGCGGCGTCAGCGTCAGGTTGACGCCCCGCGCGTCCTCACCCAGCAGTACGCTGTCCCGTCCGCTGCCCGCCGGCTCGACCTCGAACACGTCGGTCGCTGCGCCCGCGATCCCGCCGGCTCTGAGCGCCGCCAGTAGCGCTGCCTCGTTGACGGTCCCGCCGCGCCCGACGTTGACCACCACGGCGTCGGAACGCATCAGCGCCAGCTCCCGCCCCGAGATGAGGTCTCTCGTGTCCGGCGTCAGGGGCACGACGAGGAAGAGCACCGTGGCTCGGCGGAGGACCTCGTCGAAGGGGACACGGGGGATGGCGGCGGCGGCGGCGGCGTCCTTGCGTGCGGCAACGAGGACCTCCATGCCCAGCGCGCCGCACAGCTTGGCAAGGCGCTGCCCGATAGGCCCGTAGCCGATCACGCCCGCAACCTCGTTACCGCAGGTGTGCGGCGGGCGGCCCTCGGCGTCGAAGAGGAGGGAGGACATGCTTCCCTTGGCGCGCCAGGGGTTTGTGCGCGCGCGGTCGTGGTCCATCATTGTGTTATGCAGGGTGACGAGACGCCTGCGTGCAGAGAAGTACTGGAAGGTGCACCGCCTCTGTCAGATCAAGTCCCTTTCAAAATCTCGTCTGGGCGGTCCAGAGAAACGGTGGACCCGACGGTGCGGAAGCCGACAAGGGATTGCCGCGAAGAAGAAGAAGAGGAGGAAAACGACGGACGAGAGGGAGAGGAGACTCACCAGGCCAAGGGCGTGCTCGGACACGGCCTCGACCGTCGCGTGGGGAGAGTACATGACGGTGATCCCGCGCCGTCTGCACTCCTCCAGATCAATGTGATCCGTCCCCGTCGTCTCTGTGATGACGCACTTCCTACACGACCACCACCCACAATCAGTCCCCCGTTGTTCATCCCATCACAGTGCTCATCTCATTCACCCTCTCGCCCCTCTCCGTGGGCGGCCCCTCAAACGCCAGACATAACAAGACCGGGAAAGGAGAAACTCACAGGTATGGTGCCTCCCCGAGCGTGTCCTTGTTGACTGGCACAGTCGTCGTGATGAGCACGCTCGCGGGCCACGCCCTCGCGGCCACGACACCGGCCTCCGAGGGCCGCGTGTACTCGTAGCCGATGACCTCGTGCGTCACGGAGCCCATGTCGACGTCGGGGAGGGCCACGTGTATCGTCTCGAGCTTGACGATGACGTGGTGCGTCGGCGAGGGCAGCCGGGCCGGCTTCTTCACTTCGGTTGCGGGGTCGGTCGCCATTGCGAGATGGTGTGTGTTGTGTGTTTGTGCGTGGCCGAGGGGGGGCTTGGCAACTTCCTGGGCTTCTGTGCCTCAAGTTTCCATGAAGTGGTAACTTGGCCGGGTCTGAGAAGTCGTAAGCAACTGGGGGATTCACGCTGAACGAGATGCTCTTGAGGGCGCGAGTATGCGTGCTATATTAGTGAGAGTTGCCATGGGACGAACCCTGAATACGATAGGAGGGGTAGAATGCGACGTTGGTTCATTAATCCACCCTCCTGCATAACAACCATGGTCAAAGGCGTCTCAAGACGTGGGAAACACACTTTTGACATGCCATCCCCCAAGGAATGACGTTGTCGAGGTCTCCGGTAACTACTCCAAGAAGAAGGAGAAGAGCCTCAAGGGGAGGGGGCGTCAGGATTTTTCTACCGGGCCCTCTTGGCCGTGTTGACGTTACTTAGCGCCATGCAGCTCCGCAAACATTCACGATAGGAGATCGGCGGAGCTAACAGACGGCAAATCGGCGGGCGCAACAGGGAAGACCCCACGCTTGTCCGCCGCAGGGCGCGGTGTGGGGCCCGGGTTTTTGACATATCCCCACCCTTAACGAGCCCTTCCGCACCTTGATAATCGGTTCGTAATGAGGGGAGAGACTTGGAGGAATCGCATAGGTATTGCCCCTGGGAGGGGGGGTTGGTTACCGGGAGGATTTCCGCCCTCTCCCACGCACTATGTGCATGAGACCCTTGCCAAGATTGTTGCTCCTCGACATGTAGGACCATAAAACTCAACACTTGACTGCCGGGCTGATAGGGTCTTCTCAATGACTCTCATGATAAGACATACACGTACCTACATGTGCAATGTTGAACGTCTGCTCTCTGGTTTGCTTTTGTAACATATCCGGCCTTGTATCATATCTACAGCCAGCCGGACTATGGTCAAACAGGCGTCACCATCTAGCCTCGGCAGTAGGCAACGCTAATTATCCGTCAATAGCCAATGCTTCTTACTAAGCTTACCCTGCACTAGACATACCCCCGAATCAGCCAACGTCTCATTTCTTGAACGTGGCAGTCCTCTCGCCTCGCGGAGGTACAGCCTTCCTTGCACCCTTTGGTGCATCGTCTCCCGTCTTAGCGTACGGGTCGAACGTCGGCTTGACGTTCACCTTGCCGCGGTTACCCGTCCGGTTTGCGTGGAGCACAGACGTCGCCTTACTGTAATCGAACGTCTCCTCCTCGTCGCTGTCGCCAGATTCCGCCGCAGCATTCTCTTCCTCGGCCTTCTTCGCATCCTCTTTTGCCTTCTTTGCAGCCCGTCTCGCCGCCTTCTTGGTCTCCTTCTCGGCCTCCTTCTCGGCCTTCTCCGCCTCTTTCTTGGCCTTCTCGGCCTTCTTAGCCGCTTTGCGTTCCGCCTTTGCCTTGCGGTTGTTGAGTGCCGACACATATCTTTCCAACTTTTCTTGCTTGTCGGCAGCGATGCCCTCCGCCTCCTCAAGCTGTGTAGCGTCGGCGCCGTCGTGGGCGATTAGCTCGGTTAGGCGCTCGACCTCGGCCTTGGCCTTCTCGTATTCCTCCGTGTAGCGCGCGACCTTGTCGGCCCGCTTTGAAGCCACCATGGCCTTGCTCTCGGTTGAGGTATGCTTGCCCTTCTTGCCCTTCTTGCCCGAGCCTGGCTTCTCCAACACGATGTCGATCGAGCTCGCTCCAGAGTCCGAATCGTCACTGGCGTCGGATACGTCTTCTGTCGGAACCTTGCGCTTGGTGCCGGCCTTGAGAGTGAATTCCTCGTCCACTTCAGGCTCTTTCGGCTGAGCAGCAGCGGCCGCCTTGGCTTCGGCCTCGACACCGCCTTGCATAGCCACATCCTCCTGAGCGGCTGCATCGACTGCCTTTGCATTCTGTACAAATTTCTGCCACGGGAACGTGACGTACTCGCCTAGGCCATTAGCCGCGGCCGCAGCCTTTTCCCAGGCAGTACTGAGGGGCATGCCGCCGAACAATTGAGATTGCGTCAGCTCTGTAGGTTCCAGGGCAGCATCAGCCGCATCTTCGCTGACGATTTCTGCCAAAGGCTTGGTCGCAGCCTTGGGAAGCTCAGACTTGAAGAAGTCAAGCAGCCGCGGCTCGTTGATGCCCTGTTCTCTCGCCTCTTGGTAGCGTTTCCATATTTCGGTAACATTCCGTCTTGCGATGAAAGCATGGTTTGGAATGAGGGCGTGGAGGGCCTTGGCGTCAGGGGGCATGTGTTTTGCGATGTCGCCAATGATGGCATTGGGCATGACGAACGGTGTGCTCTCGTCTTCTCTACGTGCCACTTCATCCCTCCAGGCCCAGATGGCTCTGTAAACAGCAAATTGTTGGCCCGAAAAGGGCATGGGGTGTCTGAGCAGAGTGTTGTACCAGCCCTTGTTGCCCTTGCCCGTCTTGGGGTCGAAAGTTTCACCTCCGTATCGGCTCAGGGAAAGGGTCTTGGACTTTTGGAGAGTCGCCTCAATATAGTCGGTGCTGGGGTTGCCACGGTCCGACTTCATCACAAGCTCATTACGCATCTTATCGTAAATGTACAGGAGGTAATGCGTGTCGGAACGAGCGTAGTAGAGCATCTCCTCGGAAAGAGGGCTATGTATCATTAGATCCAAATGTCACCACAACGAACAATTACTTACCGCACTCTCCAGTCGGCCAGTTGGTACTTCTTGTCGGCGTCAAAGTTGACAAACTTCTTTAGCAAGAAAGCCAAGCTCTTTTGCGGGTAATGAAGCACTTCGCAAGCCATGCCAGTGTCGAAGAGGCCGTTTACGTACAGGCCGAGATCGCGCTGCAGCCAAACCATGTCCATGAACGCGCCGTGGAAGACCTAGACTCACTATGTTAGCTGTGTTGATATGTCGAGATGTGCGTTTGCAAACCTTGATGATGCTGGGATCAGCAAAGACCTCGTTAAGAACCTGGAGTTGCTCTCTCCAGGGTTTAAGAGTGTCGACGATCCAGTCCTTCTCTCGCGTGCTAATCTGCATGAGTGAAGTGAGTCCAACATAAGTGCGAAAGTCATGATGCTCCAGGTCGACAGCGATTTCGTTTGCCTTCTTCAAGTCCTCCAGCATCTCCAAGACACCCTCGTAGGTATCGACGTAAGTGGCTTCGGTGGTTTCGACAGGTTGCCAGGGGATCGGCTCGGCTTGTTCGTAGACACGGTCCGGGTATTTCGCCTCGAGAATTTCGGTTTCGTAAGGATGTTTATATCTAATTCGTCCGTCAGTACTGTTGATCGACTGCAGCGCCTTCATCCTTGCGCGTGACTTAGATGCAGCTCGCTTGGAGCCGTGGAACCGAGGAAATATTAACGGCAAGAAATTGGAGTAATCGTACTGAATGAATCCGTCGTCCGTTTCGCTGGTTACTAAGCTCTTCTCGAGCGGAACTGTGGCGTGAGGTTTCTCTGTAATGATGGGCTTCCACGTGGTATTGTTGTCGACTATACGAGTAAAATGAAGCTGGGGTTTCGTAATGTTCGCACTGCGGATGACGGTTCCGGTCGTCTTGGGCTTTTTAGACTGGGGAGTCTAGATAGTATCAGCACACGGAGTCTGTCGTACGAAAGCCTGGAGAACTCACGGCATCGGTGGCTGGCGCATCCTTTCTCTTCAGAGCCCCGGTGTATTCGTCAATGGAGGTGTCGGCCTTTTCGAGGACCGAGTCGACTATGTCCACGATGCTCCGCCAGCGCATGTCGACGTCGTCGGCATCTTCGAGTTCGGGCGCATTGAGGCCGCACACATCGGCAGCGGACTTGAGGAGGGACGTCGACAGTTCGAGGATGCGGGTGGTTTTGGCGTCGAGGTCCTCGCCGATGTTGGGGTTGACGGCGCGCTGGAAGGGCAAGTCTTCGGCGGAAACGCGGTTGACCGACTTGACGGTGGCGAGGAGCGCTGCTTGAACTTTGTCCTGGAGGGACTTGAAGTCCTGAGGAGACGTCATTGTGTCGGCGCAGCTGTTTGGCGGGTTTGGCGGAGGCTGTCGCGGGTTCGCGCTGCGAAGTTTGTCGACCGATCAAAAATTATGCCCGCCTGCAATAGGCCCCCCCCGGCCGATAAGATAGTGAGTGGTGCGCTATCGATAAGAGAATGAGAGTGTGTGGGATAAGGGACCTTGAAAGTTGACGAAGGCGCTCTTTGTTTTGTTTGGTGGTAAAGGGGACAAGAAGGCAATTCGGCGTATGGACAAAACTTGGAACGTGAATGGATTTGTAGATATTTCGAGTCCACGACTACCGGCTGCTGGTTTCTGACATGCGAGGGCGTTGAAGTTTGCTGAAGAAGAAGGCGGGTGCTTTGGCCGAGACGTCGTCCACTTACAACGGTTGAAGCCACGGACCTTAGGCACATAGGCTCTTCCCCCTGTGACCATTTTGCCTCCATTTCTAGTCGCAACTTCAACCTCACCCTACAGCTCTCCGCGCCTTCCGCCAACAACACAGCCTATCACCATGTCTGCCTCTCTAGCGCCCGAATGCAACGAAGTCAAAGAGTATGTGGGATTCAAGACGGGTATTGGAGAGACTATGCTGACTGTAATAAACAGACGCTACGACACATGCTTCTTGAAATGGTACAGCGAAAGTGAGTGTGGTCTAGATTTACCCTCCAACCCCCCCCACCCCGCGTCACGGTATCAAGGTTAGAGAAGGCGTCTAATATATACAAGAGTACCTTCGGGGGACTGGCACGGATAACAACGAGTGCGCGGATCTCTTCAAAAACTACCAAAAGTGTTTGACGGTGAGTGTAGATGGCATCAAGAGGCTGGCCGCAGTGGACTTTGTTCCCAACTGACGCCCACCAGGTCGCGCTCAAGGAACGCGGAATAGACAAGCTGTTGGACGAGGCGCGAGAGGACCAGAAGGACAACGATGCGACGTACATGGGACGTAAATGTGAGTAGTCATCTCAGACAGCGGCGAGTGTAGTGTGTGTGTGTGTGCGTGTGTGTGGACAGGACAGAGTCTGACCATTCTTGCAGGAGGCATGGGGATTGCAGTAGCACAGTCACGTATGGTGGCTATTTTGGCGTTGTTTTCCAGGGTTGCATTTGTTGGGCGCAATGTGGCAGTGTAGAGACTGCAATCTCATTATATGCCCCATTCCCTTGATCTGATCCATGATGCGTGTTCAAGCCGACAGAAACAGTTCCGTGGTTGCCGTTTTTTTTTTTTTTTTTTAGCATGGTGAGGCAGTTAGTCAGTCAGTCAGTCAGACCGACCAAGGGCAATCCCTATGGCGTGTGCTGATTGCTGAGCTTAAATTCCTCCAAGAGTTGGTACTGGCGGTGCCATTTAGAATGCTAGGAACATTTGACAACGAGGCTGGATAGGTACACAGCGATTAGGGAGGGGGGTTATGGTAGGGAACAGGGAGGGGGAAACATTGAGATCATCGTCTGGTCTCCATTGACTTGATGCACTCGCTGCAAAGGAGTGTCTAGCCCGTTCATCCACAAGCCGGTCATGGTCATACACTATTGATTGTTTTCCTATTCAGACGCAGCTGCTAATCAACCATCCAGATACGGCGATTACATGTTTTCTCTCCTTCTGTCATGTCATCCCTCATTCATACTTAGGTAGGTAGGTAGGTAGCCAGCGATGCAAAAACTCTGAGATGAAATGGGAAGGCTCAAGAAGAAAAAAAAAAAAAGAAGAAAAGAAAAAAGCATGGGCCGCAGCGGCTCACTGTTGAATTTGTGCCAGGTTCCAGACCGTCCAACATCCCCAGTCTGAGAGGGTAGGGTGTGGATCTCTGGCACAGCGTGTCCCTTAACACACCTTTAGTGGACGCGACCCGCTAATGAGAAAGCGCATTGCCCACCAAGGTACGGAGTAGGTATGCTGCAGTCAGCAGGCAACACATGCAGAGAACCAGGGGGGGGACCGAGATTCCCCCCCCCCGATCACGACCCGACGTCCAATAATTCGCTGCCGTGCCAATTCCCAGAATTACCGCGTTTCCTCCCCGAACGAAGCTTGTCCCTTGACTTGCCTTGTCTTTTGCTCTTCCACCTTCAACAACCGTACACCTACCCGTCGTCTCTCTCTCTCTCTCTCCACGTCACTTCTCTTCACTCAGACAACCGCGTGCGCGCGCAAACCGCAACACCAAAGCAGTACCACCACCACAACTTCAATTCCTCGTACCGAGTGGGTTCTCATCGTCCTCTTCCAGCTCACGAGAAAACACATAGATTCAACCCCACGACCCCCACGATACTTTCAAGCTCTGACCCCTTGTCCCCGCGCCTATCCCGCCGTCCCAGCCGAGTCCGCCAGTCCGACATCTATCTCCGCTCCCTCAAACTAACTATCAATCTTGGCGACAAGCCTCGGCATGCACCGTCCAAGGGAATAGCGATTCTATGCACCCCCTCTCTGTCCTCAGCCTTGGGATCTTCGTCGCCGGCTACATCACCGCCCGATGGGACCTGGTGACACGCCTCTATGAGCTTGCCATATTCGCTTGGGACTACGGAGTTGTTGTGCGTTCCTTTTCTTTATCTTTTACCCCGGCTGTCGCTGTTGGGCCCTTTTGCGCCAGCTGTCTCTAACCTCCGTTGCTCTTAGACACGCGCCGCCAAGGGCTTTGCGCTCCTGACCTTCGTCTACCTCCTCATCTTTATCCCCGTGGAACGTTTAGCCACCAAGGAAGCGAACCTGGTACGACGCAAACCTTCAATGCCCACCCCGCTTGAGACATGTTTCTTTTTTGCACAACTACTTGGGACGAGCCTGTGGCTAATGACGGCACCCGCCATAGCACCCTCGACCCCCCGGAGCTGGCGTCTCGGCCAGAGAACAGTTGCGACGGAGAGGGTCCTTCTAAGCGCCGTATTCTGCGCAGCGCTCGGCTGACATGCCAGAAAATGACGGTTTAATGAGGATATTCTGGCCGACGGACATCCAGCGCTCCGACCTGCCTGGCGTTGTTGTGGGATGGAGGAACTCGACCCTAGATGTCTTCGTCGTAGCCATACTCGACGATGTCGATGTCAGCACACCCCTAGAGCGCCAACCCTCGCAGCAATTGACGAATTGACAGGCCGGCCATGTTGAATTCGCCCTCAAAATCGGCACCCTCTTCCGAAACCCCCCTCACCCCGTAAACAGCATCTACGAACGGTGCGGCCACGGAGCGATGCATGTTTTGGGTCTCACCAACCCTAGCGACGCCGTCGTGCTCGACCCCTCTCTGTTCGTCGCGACGACGACCCTGGCCGGTGTAAAGCCCCCTCGAATCACTTGTGCCAAAGCCTTGAGCATACAAATCATCCTCTACGACCGCCCGCGCCCTAACAGAATGCAATACATTTCGCTCAATCCTATCTCGCTCGCTTTAGGAAACAAGGAGGCTCCGGGCTTACCACCGACAGAGCACATGTCCGAGGAGGAGAAGCAAGAACTAAAGATGAAGGAGCAGAAGAGGAAATTGGTGGAAAAGCTGAAACTCCACACCATCATCAAGCGAAACCCCTCGCCAAAAGAGAAGGCCCTGCCGAAAATCGTGAACCAAATCAACTGGTCCTGGCAGCTGGAGCAGCTTCTGCAAAAGAACATCTCACGGATCGGTACCAGGCCCAAGCGGACACTGAGTGTCTCGGAGCGGGTAGTGGAGAACGTGACAACAGTGCGGAACTTCGTCTGGGACCTCCTGATCCTATACGTGCTTCCGCTGGTCCAGTGGGGATTCGTGTATATGCTCATGGGCCATAGAGCGGTTGCCGAGCTCCTCCTTCAGATTCTGGAGTTTCGACTGAAGGATAACTACCTGGCCCTGAAGGACATCTCGGCGACGGCGCAGCAAGTAGAGATCCGGCTTCAGCAATTTTGCTACTGGCCCATGCAGTATACGACGTTGCGGCAGCGTAAGAACGATTGGGAGAGCGTCACGACTAGCCACCCCGACTACATCCGTTTCTACAACAGCCTGTGGCTCGTCGCCAATGATGTTATCATAGGCATCGCGCTGGGTTCCTACATCATCGACAATGCGGACTGGGCCGCCAATGCAATCAGTGAGCTGTTGAGGGTGTACACGGTCGAGGCGCTGCAACGAAGCATTTCTTGGCTCATGGGCTGGCCTGCGGGTCTGAAACTGAACAAGGAGTTGGCGTTGTTTCTCGGAGATCTGTTTCTATGGGTCATCGAGTATTGGTCGAGTGAGCTACCTATGTCTGAAATGAGTGAACCCAACGCTAATCCAACCAGACTGCATCGCAGCCCTTCAGCCAGTTTTGCCTCGCATCATCTGGTTCATCGGCTTCTCCAGCTTCGCCGGTGCCAGCATGCCTATCGCCATGTTCTCGGACCTGCTCTCTGGTCTGACAATTCACATCTACTCCTTTTACCTCGCGTCTGCTCGAATCTACCACTGGCAGCTAACGATCCTCATCTCGCTCTTTCATCTCTTCCGCGGTAAGAAGCACAATGTCCTCCGCAACCGCATTGACTCGTGCGACTATGATCTGGACCAGCTCCTTGTCGGCACTATCCTCTTCACCCTGCTCTTCTTCCTCCTTCCGACGGTGGTTGTATTCTATCTCAACTTTGCCGTTGCGCGGATGGTCATCATCTCGCTCAAGGCCGTTTTCGATACACTTCTGTCTTGTCTAAACCATTTCCCCCTTTTTGCGCTGATGTTACGGGTCAAGGACCCGAGACGACTTCCAGGTAAGATGCAGTCTCTATCTCAAATGGTGGTTTACGACTGACATGCCATAGGCGGCATTCGTTTTGAGCTTCGAGATACCCATGATTATAGACTTAGTAATACTTCCAACGAACCGCCTACCTCTGTCATTTACCTCAAGGTTAGCCCCTAACACTTGAAGTCACATGAGCCTCAAACCTAACCCTCGCAGTCCATACCCCTCACCTTCCGAGCCATGTTCCACCAGTACTTTCAGATGGGGAGCCGTATCCGCAAGCACTATCTCTCCCCACGGGTGCTCCTCTGCCTGCTGACGGGCCAATTCGTCCCGCCCCTCAACCGCAAGAACCTGTACAGCCTGCAGTACGGCATGTTGCCTGCGCGCCGTGCGAGCTTCCGTCAGATGTGGGACGCCATCACGGCAACGCAGCCGTTGAGCAAGCCCGTGCCATTCGTCGTGAACGGGAGGAGATATCCCTCGGGGCTTGGTGGTGGGGGGCGAACGAGATACCACCACTAGATAATGAATTCAACGTGTTTCTTTCCGCATGCTGCATTGCTTCTTTCTTTTCCGGTGCGAGGATCTCCCTGACGACCCTAGTATGTAACTTAGTTCCAGGGTGTGATAGTGCTCCTCTGTGGTGGACGCCTCGACTGCCGAAAGGTTCATGGATTCGACCCAGCAATGGCGTAGGATACAGCATTAATATGTGTCATTGACCGACAAACCCGGTGCTGTCCAAGTTTGGAGCATCACCCCGACCTAGGTAGACGAGAGATGAGCCTCTTATTGTTGGACTGCCATGCGGATTGGCGAGTGTCTTGAGCCCAAGAGGGGGCCATATGCCAAGACGATGCGGCCCCCTTGCACCCATCGACATGAATAAGGTCGGACTGCCCTATGATATGCCGTCACCGGGTCGAAGTACCGTGCGGATCAGATCAGCCTTAGTCGGGTTACAGTTTGACTATACGTACCTAGATGACTTGTGTTTCTGGAGGACGCGCTGACGTACACCGGGGCGGGGAATGTCTTCCCGCGCCGGGCGCATCCGCCGCTTGGCGGGGCGGGGCGGGAGGACAGGGAGGAACGAATGACCTACCCGCAGATTACATTGCAGGAGGATCCGCGGGACTTTCGCAACGAGGGATGAGATGTAATTGGATCTTCGTCAATGTCCATCGCAGTTTGTATGACACAGCAAACTCGGGCGTCGCAGGGGTTCACAGGAGGAGGGGTAGGGAGGGCCTTTGGGTCATCTCGAAACACCACGAGACGAGAGAGATGAGATACCGCAGAAGGCTTGTGCCGGGCGTAGAGGAAGCTTGGGGGCCGTGCAATTATCACAAAGCGAACCCAGACGTCATGAATAAAAGCAGGAAAGGTAAAGGGGTTCGACGCTAATGCCCCCCAGGATCGCCGCCCCCTTATGCCTAGGACCTTGGCTGCCGATGTACCCGCGTATCAAGCGGTCCATTGACTAACAGATCCCCATTGATTCTAGTGTTGTGGATATAAGAGACTCTCATGACGTGGATGGATAGACTTTTTGGCTCTCCCTGCGTGCTGATTGGCTTCTATCACAACCCATTTCCATCGTCAATGCAGATGGGGATGTGTTTTAAACAGCATGACGCTGGCCTACCTTGTACTGTTACCAAGACCAGTTGCATCGTGGTGATGACTCCTTGCAGAAACAGCTTCTTGACTTTTCGCCTAGTAGAGGAAGGGTTGTGCAATACTCTTGTAACTCACCAAACACAGTAAACCACTAGGATAGGCAGCCTGTGGTGTGGGTTGCCGTCTTACGAAGCAGATGTACCGGGAAAAACAGTGTATTAGAGACATGATGTGCATAGAAGAAAGCCAATAGCTACAATATATTGTTGTAAAAATGACTGAATAATGAACAAGTCTGTTTGAGAGGTAAACTTCCGTCACAGTTGCAGCCGTAGCATGACAGGAGCAGTAATAGACTGATACTCTTACTGGACTTTAACTATAAAAGCTCTTGCATCGTCCCCCGCTCGCTCATTATATTTCCCCCTTCCCATTCTCATCCGCAACGTTCTGTTGAATCTGATCGTAAACCTTCGTGCTTTAACATCCACCCGGGTTCATTACGCTTCATCTCTGAGCAATACAGTCCACCACTCATCCGAAACCTCTACCAAACATGCTCTTCAACAACATTGCCTCCGCCGCCGCCGCCGCCTGCGTGCTCCTCGTCCCTTCCGTCCTGGCGGAGGTCAGGCTGCAATGGCACCCCTCGGGCAGCTGCAGCACCTCTGGCGGGCCGCAGAGGGTCTACGGTACCGGCGTGTGCATCAGTCTCAGCTCGACCAGCAACTCAGTCAACATTCTTTCTCGCCAAGGGTCCTGCAACCGTACGTACTGCCCCCCCCCCCCCCCCCCCCCCACCACCACCCCGCCTATCTTTTCAGCGACTGCTGCTTCCCCAAGCCTATCCACCTTGGAAATCCTGCTGACACAACCTGCGTGCGCGACAGTGGTGACATACACCGCCAACGGCTGCTCCGGTGGCCGGAGAGTGTTGAACAGCAACGGCTGCTGGACCCTGAGCGGTAGGAACTCCGCGCGGGTTGAGTGCTGAGTTCTGGGCCACCAGAATCTGTTCAGTCCAGGCCAATAGAGTGATGCGTACCTTACGAACCTCTGACGGAAGTCCTTTGGCATGTTTTTCTTCGAGCATAACACTCGTTTAAATCCTTTACGATATATTGAGGCCAATCATTACAGTATATAGATGCTATACAATACACTCATTCGACATGTTTATGAATCTCTATCGATGACATCACACGTTAAACTCAGTAATGTAGAGACAGGGAAGCATACAGAGCCCGGGCGGCATATAATCATGTGTAGTAAATTTCTTTTCTCTGGCATCGTTCCTCGGTCTTTGACCAACTCGTCCTGAATCAACATTCAAACTTACCTGTCCAACTCGACTATAAAAATATAATTATACTAGCGGCCGCGATAGTCAGGCAGGCAGCTATTCACTCTCGTTTGTAGGAACTTGGTAAGGAACTCTTTTACATCAGGCGACCTGGGATGGGGAGGAGGCTTACTCCATACCGAAGTAGCCTATCACTGTCACATCTCAGCTTTTTCAGAGAGGACTGAGAGCACGAGAATTAGGTGGAAGAAGGGCCAACCTTTTACGAATTCATTATCGTTAAAGAAGGACTAAATTGAGCGTTCTATTGGTGGGCGAGAACATTGGTATCAACAAGGACATTCAGAGTCGACAGTGAGTCGTCGACTACGCTTGTATAATAAACATTTGCCAACATATGAGCTGAGATATGAGACGGCAAGAATCGTCCACAACCAAGATGTCACGAGATATACAAGCGTTAGCTAATGCCCCGTAACAACGGCGTCGTCTTTTGTTACACAGCACAAGATCTTTGTTAATGCCGACCCACATCCCGGTCATATTTGTACTTCCAGCTTTCCTTTCTTTTTGCACCGATGCAAGGGGTGTAGAGCTCGTCAGTGAACGATTGTAAGTTTGTTGCATCACATGCTGGGCGCGTTGCACAAATATCAATTACTCTGGTTGCTTATTATTATCGTCTTTTCATCGACATTGCCACCCCTATCACTCCCTTGTCCCTGCTCTCGTTGCTGATAACATTTGGTCCTCGGATCGTTTTTCTTTTCTTTTCAAATTTCGAATTTGTATGGAAGAGAAGGGCCAGTAGGAGGATATTTGATAGAAACACCCAATGTTTGAGAGGATGGCATCATAAGGAAGAAGGCACCTCCTGATAACTGTGCATCGTGGAAGTAGGTAGGTATATGCTGACACTAGGAGATGGGACGTGCTCAAATAAGGAAAGACTGATTGCTTTTTGATTTGTAATCGTTAAGTGAGAAGTTAGGAAGGTGGCAAGTATCAAAGTTGAAATTCCCAAAAAGAAACATCGCAGGCGGCGGCAGATCTGCTTCAACTAGGGTTTTTGAACACATCTTTATGTACAAATAAAGTGCTCTTCGAGTTTCGCAGATTACCACTAAGGACAGGAAACCGAGTGAATATGCAATAGCGTAGCAGCCTGTCCCTCCTGGCGTGTTTTCAGGTTGTAATGCAACGTGGACATGCACCTCATCACGATGGAAGACAGTGATAAGAACATGCAAAGAGGACACAACCACTACGCAATCCCGATGGCATGGGAACGGGGATTGCAGCGTGTATCGTTTCCGGTAAACGATCGGAGATTCCTGTTTCTGGTTTCGTTTGAGTCCCTTGTCAATCGTCCCGCAATGCCGCCCCCTTGGAACGATCCTAGGACACCGCGATCTTTTTGGAGTATACGCACAGACGTACCGAACACATGGAAGAGCAAGAATTACACGTTGCTAGACATACTGCAGTGGCTTTCCCTTGCACCATTTGAAGTTTCAGTCACCGTAAACGCGATATCGGATTACCAGAACCTGTTCCGCGACCTTGCGCCACAAAATTCAGGAGTCCCACTTGGCGTTCAACGACGATGGTGCTTTCGCAAGAGCTTTGTTTCAAAGCACCACAAAATGTCACAAGTGACGGACACGAAACCTCCATCTAAATAAAAAGGCGGGGTAGATCTGACAGTGAAAGGCGTCTCTAGAGTCTGGAGAATGGCCAAGGCTTGATAAATACATACGGTTTCGCTCGAAGTTTCAATTCTTGGTTGGCGGTCTCCGCGCGCAGCGCATGACAGCAACCATTCGCAGTTCCATAATAGCCCACTCCCTGCGCGACTCTCAGCAACGGCAACCCTGCACGCTTGCCACCTTCTTACAGCCTCGCCCCGATTACCGAATTGCAATGACTCCGGAAAAGCAGTACGCGATTCCAAGGGGAGCTACTGTCCTTGTGACGGGTGCAAATGGCTTCATCGGCTCCCATGTTTGCAATGAGCTACTGCAATTAGGGTTCAGGGTCCGCGGAGCTGTCCGTGATGTGGAACGCTGCATGTGGTTATCAAAGGCTCTAGAGAGCCAGAATCCAAAAGGAGGGTTTGTGTTAGTCTCGTTGCCTGACATGGAGAAAGAAGGGGCTTTCGACTCCCTCGTTGAAGGTTGGTTCAGAGTTGTCAGACTCGACTTATCGGTAGAGTCCGTTATGCATTCCATATATATACTGACGATAATCAGGGGTGTCTGCGGTAATACATGTTGCCTCGCCGTTTTCTTTCAGTTCGAACCCCGAGAGCGTCATCCCCAGCAGCGTCAATGTGGCAATCAATGCTCTCAAAGCTGCCAACAAGTCCCCGAGCGTGAAGCGCTTTGTGTTCACCAGCTCAGCTGTTGCTGCAGCCCTACCCAAACCAAACATGAGTGGGATCGTGGTGACTGCTGACAGTTGGAACACCCATTCAGTTGGGATCGCGTGGAGGGAGGCACCGTGCCACCCTCAGCGGGCGTGGCATGTGTACGCAGCTAGCAAAGTTGAAGCAGAAACGGCGGTGTGGAAATTCAACTACGAGAACATACGTCGCCGGTATGATTTGGTAATCAACACAGGTCAGTCTAGTTTATCTCAAGACTTTGTGGCCTGGCCGGTCATTAACTTGTTGGTAGTGCTCCCTGGTACGAACTTTGGAAAGACCCTTGATGTGGTCAACCAAGGTCACCCTTCCACATCGTCATTTATCGAGAGCCTTTGGAATGGGACACACTTGGATCGACTTGCATCTATTCCCCCGCGTAAGTTGCCTGTATTCATAAATCTCCCTACTCGGTGCACTGACACAGAACTGAAGAGTACTTTGTGGACGTCCAAGACACTGCCCGGCTCCACGTGGCTGGGGCTGTGCTCCCAAACGTTAGGAACGAACGGATTTTCGCCTGGGCAGACACATTCAACTTCGATACAGTCCTCGGGATTTTGCGAAAACACTTTCCCGAGAAGAACTTCGTGGATAACTTTCACCACTATGAAGAGACGTCCACCGCATCTGAGCTCCGGTCGCGGGCGTCGGATCTACTGAGGCAGCTAGGGAGAGATGGCTTTGTTCCTTTGGAGCAGAGCGTTCTTTTGAACATTGAGGACCAAAATATGGCTTAGCCTCGAACCATTTCGAGCACAAGAGCAATCCTCACAAACGTCTAAAGCTGGTTGATGTTCGGTTTTCTACCTGGTTTACTTGAGTTCAACTGGCCAGCTACGAAGCATGCCCAGACTTCATTACATGTATATATTATCCGTACTGGATCTACATATTTCATTGTTCCTGTATAGCTTGAACATGAGGCCCGGTCTGGTTCTATTACTTGCGCAGATCCTCTGACCCATTAACACCCCATCCTGGAGCCGTTACTGAACAGGCCTAACGTTATTCTATTGGCCGCTTCACTCACACGCATAGATGTCATTCCACCGCGCACCAAACGCTATGTTGTTCAGCTTAAGTTCAGAGGAGCTGAATCGCTCAGGACTTCAAAACTCTTATGCAATGCTTTGTGCAAGCGAAGCCCCCCCAACGATACCTTCAAATGTATCTTCCTATAAATATACCTTACTTGAGGAAGTCCACGGACTAAATAAAGCTTCTTTATGTATTTCTAACTTAGAAGGTAGAACAGTTTCACATCTGAAAGTCGTTGGCACCAGACACCTGATATCAAGCCATTCACTCAATGAAGATTCACATCCACTGAGCCAGCTGTAACCCAACTATTTCCGGATTAACATCACACGGTTGATGTTAATTCGGCCATTGAAACGAAAGAAGTATACAGAAAGTGATTCGAATACAGCATCGCGTCTGTTCAATCATAGGGTATCTAGCGACTTCATTGAAGATTAAAGAATACGCCATTGCACCAAGATTCTCAATGGCTCTTAGCATCGACTGCTACTGGTTGTCTTTCTAGTTTTCTGTGCAACTAGAAGGGTATCCGGATTCGTCGATAACCCCCTGTCCAAAACAAAAGTAGTAGGTGTTCTTGCTCTTATCAAAAGCGAAACCAACATCTCCCTTGCCAGCAACGCTTTCCTATTGAGGAAGAAAAAGTGTTGTTAGCATACAGTACAGCCCAAGGCTCAAAGTCCCGGGACTATGTTTGCAAAGCAGGAAAACGGGAACGTACCACAAAGAGAGGGATGCCGGAGAGTGTCGAACAGTGGCCAGACGCGACATTGGCGGCGCTATCGTCCTGCTTGAGCCCCTTAGGACCCACGATGGCGTTCTGACATTCGGTCTCCGAAATGGTGGCGGGGCCGTTGTCAGTCTTACAAGTCAGACTCTCGGGAAAGCCCAAAAAAGTCTGAGCAGAGGCGAAGGCGCCCAGATTCATGAGTAGAAAAGTCTTGACAAGCATGTTAACCGAGTTCGAAGATATACGGTGGAAACACGAGTGCGAGTGGTGTATGGGAATTACCGAAGGGAAGGCTAGATGCGGGGATATAGAATCTGCTAAAGAATGTGGGCTTTGCAAGAGAAAATAGCAGAATTTGAGTATAAAGTGCTGGGAGCTGTGAGCTGAGAATAGGCGATGATTAGTGCGGAGACGAGGTTATGTATATCCGTGAATCCTGCTTTGCCAGTTTCTTTCATCAGTGAGATCATGGTGTTGTACGAGCAATTAAATAGGTCTGCGACAGTCCCCTTGCAAACCATGGTGGGCCTATGCAAAGAATGTAAGTCCGTTTACAAATTATATATTACCAGCTTTACTATCCTTACTGACATGGGAGAGCTAGACAGTCGCTCGCTATCAGTTTGTGCGTAATATCTAGGCCAAATAATCCCCCATGTCAAATGTGTGGGTTTGATTGCTTAAATCTGGGCACTCCTTTTGTACACACCCCGATCTTGCACAGGGTCAAGACAGATCTCAGAACAGTACAAAGACTTAGTCCCATAAGAAGATTGCAATCAGTTTTGAGTGGTCATCTTATAACCTGTATATTCGTTGTGTTACAGTGCTAACTTTTGCAATAAGTCTGAATGGTTCGAGATTCGATATTTCGGCATTTAATTACCTGATTAGTAGAAGTGGGGGTGACTGCTGTTAGGTGATCTATCCGTTACCGCAATCTCACATTTAGAGTTCACAAGCGTGGTCACGACTCACGTTAATTTAAAGCCATTTCCGAATCAATATATCCAGAGACGAGACGAACTTGGTGAATATAGCCGCACGTACTTGCTACCACATTGGGCGGTTGTGCTACAGATTGTGTGAATTTGCAGGTTCCCGCACTCCTCTCTTTTTATTCCAGTAAGTAGGCAGCCACGAAGCTTGATCAGCTCCGCGTCGTCATATCAATCAAAATGGGCATGTTACTGCACTCAGGTTGTCTCGTCACCGACTAGGGGCCTTTGAGTACGTTGCTTATGGTCTCCAAGACGGAAAATTGGCAGCCGAGTTGCTTCAACTGTTGCGCAGATACCGGACCGGGTTTTCCATGCGGCCAGTCGCGCATTTCAAAACTGCATCAGCTTTGCGTGCAAGTGAAGCGATCCGATGCCTTATATACGTACCTGCGGCTGTTATACTGGTTGCAACCCTCGCGCGTGTTTGTAGCCACCCAACTGCAGTGTACATGTAACCATGCCAAGGCATTGAATCAGGATGGGCTGTGTACGGATAGGATAGCCTTACTCGTGACACAAAAATAGGCTGTAAAACATTAGAATTCTCTTTTTACATATTACGTATAGTGATGTTTCATATTCCGTGCATTTCCTTCTAATAAAGCATTATTGAGATACTATACACACGATGGGTCTGAAGCAATGTCGCAACAAGAGCCTTATGGAGAGTAAAAGTAGGCTTCTGTCCAGAGTGCCAAAAGCCCAGCTGCTATAAGGCCCCGATATGTGACTTTGTGAGGACGGATGCTCTCAAGAAGCCAAGATGAAGACTTGGCTATTGTGGGACGATCATCTAGGTCCTGGTCAGGCCTGACCATATTCTTTGGGGAGCGGGGATTGGATGAAGATCAGGCCCAGTACGGTTGCTATTGAGCTCTATATCATGCTGGTCGACACTGAGGGATGCTCCGCTTATTACAAGTCCCCGGAGAGAGGACTGTGTAGTATCTATCTGTAACTTTCTGCTTGAATTGCGGCGATTGCAGACGCAAGTGTCAAACATTGACCTTGTTGACAAAAAGGTTTATTAGCGAAACACTTTCTGAACCCTCTGCAACTTGAACCGCCCTAAGTTGACTACTCATAGGGTTGGTTGTTGTCACATCATCATTGGAACGACGGTTCGACGTCGTGACTCATGCCGCGTACCTCACCCTCAGGACAATATTGATTTTTTTCAGGTAAGTTTAACTACCGAACGAACTCTGCGATATATTTGAGCGGCCCTTAGTCTGAATAATACCAACAACATGACATAAGGTACGGCTTCCATGAAAGAGAAACGCTTAGCAAGAAATGTTGAGTCATCTAACACGCTTTTCCGTGGCTTCAAATGGGACTATTTTGCTTGTGGCTTGACGATTGTGAGCTTACCATCCTTGTCATAGAATATCGGCTCGAATCTAACATTTCTCAGGTAATCGGTCCCGTTACTTAACGAGGCGTCGTGGAAGAAGAGCCACCACTGGTCCTTGTACTCGAGAATGGAATGGTGTGTCGTCCATCCGACAACCGGCTCCAGGATGCGTCCAGCATACGTAAAAGGGCCAAGCGGGCTTTTGCTAGTGGCATAGACGAGGTAGTGGGTAGTTCCAGTTGAGTAGGAAAAGTAGTAGGTGTCGCCCTTCTTATGCATCCAGGGAGCCTCAAAGAAACGGCGGTCCTGGTCGTCAGCCAAGAGAGGCTTTTTGGTCTCCGGATCGAGGATCTGAAGCTCTTGAGGCTCGCCATCGAAGTGGTGCATGTCGTTACTATTGATCTTGGCGACACGCGGGCCGAGAGCGTAGACACCGGTGCCGTTTGGAGCCAGATTGCCTGCCCACGAAGCGTCGTATTTGTTGTCCTTCTGGTAGCACTGCAGTTGACCGCCCCATAGACCCCCAAAGTACATGTACCCTTGGCCGTCATTGTCGAAGAAGACCGCGGGGTCGATACTAAAGCTGCCGGGGATCGGCTCTGGGTCCGGCGTAAAGGGACCTTCTGGCTTTTCGGAAACGGCAACCCCGATCTGAAAGAGATTCTCTTTATTACGGGCAGGGAAATAAAGGTAGTACTTGTTGTTTTGGAATGCGGCATCAGGGGCCCAAAGCTGCTTAGAGACCCACGGGATGTCCGGGACGCTCAGGGCAACACCATGATCGGTGGCGGGGTCATAGGGGTTGAGTGACGAGGTACTGAAGATATGGTAATCAACCATGTCATATTTATCGCTGCCGTCATTGGAAACCGGTACAGTGCTATTGCGATCGTGAGAAGGGTAGACGTAGACTCTGTTGTTGAAAACATGGGCCGAGGGGTCCGCCGTAAAGATGGCATTGGTGAGTAGCACAGCCATAGCGAACGAAGAGGACACGGAACCCAAAAACACGTGTCGTGCGAAACGATGAGATACAGCAATGGAATGAACAGTTGTTCGTCAGCGAGAGTTTGGGGCAAGATGGTTTGAGCCAAAAGGAACTTGTGAATGCCAGCTAGAGCTACTTGTGAATCAGTTCAACCTCTTTCCAGCAGAATGCTGCGCCGGTGGAGAGATATTTATAATTTTCAACGTTGTTGGTGATGCTTGAATGACCGGATGCGAATTTATCCAGCGAATTTTACCGGTGAAGTTTATCTTTATTCATGCTTTCCGGCCCTCAGGCCATGTACACAATGTGTACAGGGCGACAGCGTGGCTTTGTTCTTGATCGACAAAATGATGTCCACACCAGAGCACTATCCCATTGAGTGCCGAGTGACCTCACATAACCTCAGACCAATAAGAGTACAGCAATCCACGCTGAGGGTCCAATAGCTGTCAGTAATTATTTACATAGACCCATTTTTGGGTTATGTGAGGTCACTTGGCACTCAATGGGATATACGCACGTTACCATGTGAGTTTGCCAGTGCGCTATGATAATCCGCGACCTATCAAATGTCGAGAGAGACTGGCTATGGTCCGACTAATGAAGGATATATCCAACCAACGGAAATTAGCACAAACCTTGGTTGTTTTGTAAATTGCAACTCCCTGCCTGCTACCCATCAGCCTCCGTGTGCGGATACTGAGATACAGCTCAACCTTCGTAATCTACCGGTATGCTTTTTCAATTGTCGTAATTTAGATCAAGGTTCAATGGCCACTGAATATCATCGGGTTTGATTGGTCAGATTCAGAAAACGAGTGAAAAACAAACTTCCCAACATTGCAAAAGCCGTCGCTTTCGGACCCACTGTCGGCCGTCCCACGGGACTATGGAAGCAACCGCAGCCTACCTCCATCACAAACGATACCTGTCGGTATACCACAGAAGGAAGGTGGGTATGATGAACTAATCCAGATGAGACAATATAGCCCTGACTAGTGATAACCGAATGTTCCACCAGAATCGCTGTTGGCTATAAAGAATAGCTTCCGGTAGCCTTCCACATCTGTATCCGCTGTGTGTAACAACAAGCTTTAACGTACAAGCAAATATATTCCTAAGCGAGAAAGCTTGTCAAAGTGTTTCAGCAGGCATAAAATGGGAGCGAGTTGCACGTGTATTTGCATATCCAGGGTACCCGGGCTTGCCGCCGATGTTTAACCCGAACCACCCGACTACTACCCCGGCCCCGATACCACTTCTACCATCGTATTGTTCACCTCCGCTTAACGGAGCAGCTAAGGTTCAATGTTTCCGACCCCGATTTATTGAGATGTTACTTAGCATCTCAGAGCTGAACGGTTTCTGACCTACAGGTTGCGGTCTCCGTCATCATAGAAACCACTCATATTTCGTTCCTTCGACGCGATGGGTTCCAAACTTTGGCCATAGTACACTCTCAACTGATTCAATTCCTTTTAATAACACGGGAAACAATACGGGCAGAGATGGTGGCTACTCTCGATTATGGCTAGCGGGACAATGTAAAACACAAAAGGGTAGGAAAACTCACGGCCAAGGTAGCAGGCTCGAAATTTCTTGTTTCGTTCCCCTGCTTCTGCCTTGAAGATTTGGGAGGGATATGGTTGCTTGGCAGGTGGCATAGCGGGATGGGACTTCAAGGTCGGGCCAGAGGGATCAAAGAGTTGGATGCTTGTGAGTTGGGGACGATCAGATGACAGATGGATGGGCCGTGAGAGTGTAGCCAAACAGCTACGGCAAGGCCAACCCATAATACCGGGTCTAAGCTACAAGCTATACGCCACACCCCAAATGTTATCTATATACATCTCCAAGCTAATTGAAGCCAGCGGTGTTCCGTCAGTTTCCCATATTCATCCTCGAATCAAGCCATTCGCCCCTTTTGCGCGGTTTCGAGACTTGGCGAGCGATCCGGTTGCACCCAAGTGGGTTGTGACAGCTTCCCGTTGGTGAGTGCAATATCCTGGCCTACGTCTTAATCGACTTGGAACAATCCGTGCTTGGGGGCGCCCCCCAAGTCTCATAAATGTGGCGGCAGAGTTGAAGAACAGCAGTGCTGAATTGGTAACCTCCTCCTTGTCTTGCGCTATTTAGTACATAGGGCCATGCGAACCCTCGGCCCAGCCCAACTCACACATACACGTCCGTCGCCGTCGAGCATCCCTCTCCTTTTCTCCAGAGAACAGGGGGCCCGGACCTTTCCGCCAACTGGCAGACAACACAGCATGCGTGCCCGGGTACGAAAAACATGTCTATCACACACCAGTTATCAAACCCCGAAGGCTCCTTTCCGCCCCAGCGCCACCCTCTTCATCGAGTAACCAGATATAAAGTCCCGAGATGTTTCCGGGCCACGTGTTTGAATTTGTAGTACGAGTCGGCAAGCACCGAAAGAGTCGACATTGCAGCAGTGAAGTAGCGGATCGCGTTGTTATTACATTCCATCAAAGTCACCACCGAGGTCATCCTCGTCCAAATCTCCCTCCTGTATCTCCTTAGCCATCTCCCGCTCGCGCTCACGGGCCTCCTGGGCGTTCTTCAGTTCAAGACGGTGCTGGTTCATCGGGAAACGCATAGCCTGCACAAGATAATGTTAGAGAAGTTTTTGGAATGAAGTTATTTATGTGCGTGCAACTCACCTTGACACTCTCATCATGCAGGGCCAAGCACGCGCGGATTCTGTCGTGAAAAGCTTCGCCAGGTTCCCGCGTAGCATAGACATCGCCGACCTCCTTGCTCTTCATGTAACCATGCTCGCGGTCGAGGGTAGCCTCGATGACTCCGTCACGGATGGCCTTGGCGACGATGTACTCTGCCGACTCTTCACTACCAAGATCGAGACGAATACAGATATCACGGAGGGAGATGCGAGAGTATGATAGAGACATCATGCGGATGCCAGTCTTGATGACGTTCTGGCGCAGACGCAGGATAAGACTGTAGGTCCCGTCCCGCCGGAAGGTATCGGCGTGATCCGCGATGATGGTCTCGAAGTTTTGGACTTTGCCGACCCGGACGGCCTGAACAAGGAGGAAGTAGGGGTGCAGCGAGAGCTCGAGGGTAGGTTGGCGGAAGGTGGTTCGCTCAGGGATATCACCCATCAGAAGCTCAACGACCAACAGAAGCTTAGTAGCCGTCTGAGAGAAGCCCACTGCGCAGGCGCTGGAGGGCGCCTTTCTTGTCGCAGCCGTAAGGTGCTCGTGTGCCTCGGTGTATCTAAGCTGAATGGCGCGGATGCGTCCGAGGTAGTACAGGAAGCGGGCGACCTGATTATTGGCAGCGTTCTCGGGGAACTGGGTGTGGGAGATAAGCAAGTCGGCTTGCGCAATGTGAGACGTCAGCAGGTAGCTGCGAAGCAGGAGCACAATGACCGAAGCCTGCGTGTCGATGTCCTTGCGGAGGACGGCAGTGCGCAGAGCGGCCAGCAGAGTGGGACGGATGGCGACAACCGGGGACTGAGGAGAGGGAGGCTGAGGGGCGAGGTTCTCGCAAAACATTGAGTAGTAGAAGTACACCTTGGCAGAGAGGGAGTCTAATGTGCGGCGGTTGAGCGTGTGGATGCGGTCGATGAGCTGCTTGGAAAAGTCGGCTCCGCGCTGGTGCTGCTTCGAGTCGTAGAGGTGGACCTGAATCAAAATGCCAAGGAAGATGTCAATCTCGGGAATGATCTCTTTGACCTCTTTCTTCGGGGCGCTCTTCGCCTTGGCGGACTCGCTGTCGACCTCCATCTCGGGTCCACTGGACTTGCCGAGGGGCACATTCTCGTGGCCGACAGCGATCAGAAGCTGCTTGGCGACATTACCAGAGGTGACGGTCGCGGGGAAGGTCTCAACGATGGCCTGGGCAATGATATCGGGGGTCAGGCGCTTGCGGATGGTGGAAATCGAGCGCAAAGCCCGGAGGGAGAATCTGGCGTCGAAGAGGGCAACTGCGCGGTCCAACAGAGCGAAATTGCTCTTGATGTCTGCAGCAAAAGCCACCGTTAGTATCGAGGCTGTCACGGAAGCAAGAAACTTATGTTGGACGCGATCACTCATCACGTACCAGCCACAGCCTGCACCACAGGGTCGACCTCGACCTCTGCGTCATCCGCCTTCTCCTCATCGCCCATCGATATGTCGCCGTCGGCGTCTGCCGGAGCAGCGGGCGCCTTCTTGGAGGGAGGAACGACAACTGTCATCTCCTCGTCACCATCCTTCGCTGCCTTCTTGCCCCTGCTCTTGGCGTCCTTCGACTCGGTGTCCTTGTTGTTGCGGACGCCGTTCTCGAGGGGGTCCTTCCCGCTGCGTGAGGGTGTTTTGCCCGGCATATCTGCTCAACCGGCTAGCGGTGGATATGTGTGAGAAGAGGGTGAGGGTGCTGCTGGGGATGGCAGCGACCGGATTCGATCGTGGAGTTGCGCCTGGAGAGTAGGGTGCGCGTTGAGTGTTTGGTTGAGATGCAGAATCACCGTCACGTTGCTTAGTCGGGGCCAGAAGGTGAGGGAAATGTCAGGTGACACGAGCGTCGAAGGAATCAAGCTGGAGGGTGGCTCGGTGTCGAAGCTCTACCGGGGGCGGATATCGTTGATGGGAATGGGTAGTTTGCTGTTTTGGCCGTTTGCCTCGTGATGCAGGAAGGTTCGATGGAGGGAGAGCTCAAAGATTGAATACCTGAGGCCCAGGTTGATGCTCTCAGGTCCTTGGGGCAATTGCTCAGTCTGGGCAAGTACCTCACGCCCACTCCCACCACGCTAACCAGCAGCAGGTCACGGTATCATGATGTGGGTCAGATACGAGTCAGATACCGCCGGATGTGCATGTGAGGCTATGACGGTGGAGGTACCTAGAACGTACCTTCTCCGAGCAAGTGAGATTGCCGGGTGTACTGGGGGCATGGAGCAAGCCCCCAAATGCTGAGGAGGGACGTGTCCCAGGCGGGAGTGACGTTGTCGATGCTGCCTGCCTGACCTGGCTCGCCGGCTGCGGTGGCCTTTTTTGTGCTGCATTAATCCGTAATTGTGCAGGAATTATGTAATTGCTCGCAATGGTGACCGCCACCCATCAAGTATTGAGCTTATCCAGGTCAGGTTCTCGACTTTCTCTTGGTATTAAAAGCAACTGGTAGTTAATAATATAACTTTTCGATCAGTTTCCGTCCTATAATTCCAGGTTTCCTCCATGCTCGATTTTACATGAATGCTTTCTTCTCATTTGCGTAGGACTTGCTGTCTTCGTCGTCACAAGACTTTTTACAATCCGAACCCGGAACCAGCACCAATTGCATGTTTGCCTGGAACACTCAGCTGAAAGCGGATTGCCGTCCTTGTCTCCCTTGCTTTGACAGTTTGATAGCTTAGCTGGGCGGCTAATCATCAAAGCTTCGTTCGACAATATACGTAGCTACGCCTTCGATGACTCAGCATGGATATAATTCAGTTGGCTGATGATGGAAGACTTTGCTTATCATGAGATGCAACAACAGAAGGCCTCATTGAGTACGTGATATCGATTTGGGTATAACATAGACAACCCAAGAGCCAAGCTTGAGAGCAGCCACGTAGGGTTTGGGCTGCTCTGTTAACCTGCCCATAACGACCCTACCAAACGCCGCAATTTTGCTTTCCAGCCCGTTCCATGTGATGCCATTAATTCCAATCCGTCTACCATCATAGGGCAAATCTCGTCTTGCTGCCTAGGTGTAAAAGCCTAATCCTTGTGTTGAATAAAGTTAATCTCGACCTGGTCCGCAGCCGAAAGGTCCATCTCATCCCCGCCACCCACAGTCGAGTATGGCAACAAAGCGGGACCGGTGGCTTGATTTGGGGTACTGGCCTGATTCTGTGCCTTCCTGGAGGGCGATGCGGCTCTCTTGCGCGATCGAGGCTTGGCTTGTACTCTACTGTTCGACTTGGCAGGGGAAGTGTCGACGTCTGCATCCTCGTCCTCTCCCTGATTGAAACGGACGTTCTTTGCAGAGGCCGCCTTCGTCTGTGTTCGCTTCTTCTTCGTAGCCAGCTGCGGTTTCTCGGTGGGCTCGTACTACTCGCCCTTGCCAGAGGTGACCTTGGCAGCCTGGATAGCGCTCATCTTGGTGATCCAAGCGGTCGAAGGCTGAATCTTGCGGACGGTGCGCAGCTCATCGGACGAGTAGCCGGGAACGCGGATATTGTAGGTGCGTTCGAGGACAAGTTGGATGTCGCGGATCTCGAGAACTTTGGATCCTCGCTCCTTTGCATTGCGGCAGGCCGTCTCAAGGACGTTGTCAACGAAGCTGTCGGCCATGGCCAAAACGCTCTGCGAATCTGTCAGTATTCTCGTAACTGGTGGGAAAATCACTCGAAAACTCACCTCTTCGACCTCAGGGGTCAGCATGTTGACCTCCTGGCCCTCGGCATTGCCACCACAGACCTGCCGCACAAGTTCGTCCAGCTTCTTCTTGCTCAGAACATGGTCGCCCTCAGCCTCATGGACATAAGCGGGGATCTTGGCCATCGCGGGCTGTCCCATGACGCCTCCGGCAATGCCGCCACCACCTGTGTAGGTAGGACGGCCAGCGCCGGCGCCACCAGACATGGCGACTGGTTGAGGGACTGCAGTGGCTTTCTCCGGGAGCTGCTTGGGGATTGGGAGCTTGGATTGCAGCGTCTGGGTCGGCTGGGTAGGATGCGCCTGTTGGTGCGGAACGGCACCGGATCCCATGACGACTTGGGCATGAGCGCCAGCCGAGCCGGGTGTGCCGGTGGCCTGCTGCTGCTGCTGCTGCTGCTGGACGGGCATGGTCGAGGTCTGCGAGTTCATACGCTGATTGGCGCGCGAGACGGCGGCGGAATGGCTGAGGGCTTGGCCGGGACCGGGAGGAACGGCTGATTGGGGAGTCGCAACACGCTGGGTAGGAGTGCCAGCTGAAGGAAGCCCACCACCTGCAGAGACAGAAGCTATGACAGTATTAACAGGGGGAGGGTGATGCTGGCCTTGCGGCATGGTTTGCTGCGGTGCGGAAGCCATGCCAGATTGTGCCTGGGCAGGCTGAGTAGTGGTCGGGGCTTGGGCCGAGGGAGTGGAATTTTGGCCTTGAGCTGCTGCCTGTGCTTGGGCCTGTTGCTGCTGGTGTTGCTGTTGTGCCTGCGCTTGTGCCTGTGCCTGTGCCTGCTGCTGCTGCTGCTGCTGCTGAAGTTGTTGTTGTTGGGCCTGTTGTTGATGTTGTTGCTGCTGCTGTTGAGACAACTGCTGCTGTTGCTGAGGGGGGGTGCCGCGACCAGCAGCTGCGGCGGCCATCTGCTGGTTCTTTGCCGCCTCAATCGCAGCGTTGACTGCGGTCGTGGGATTCTGCGCGTTCTGTAGAGCGGGAGTGCCTTGCGTGGTCGGGGCTGGGCTTGCTTGACCCCCAGCAGGCTGCGTCGACGGAGGCTGCGATGTTGTGAGAGCCGGGCTGTTCTGCTGCTGCTGCTGGTTTTGTAGTTGTTGCGGCTGCGTCTGGGGTGCCTGGTGTTGTTGCTGCTGGGAAGGAGGTCGTGGGGTCGCAGCGGCCGCACTTGCCGCAGCCGACGCCGCCGTTTGCCCCGCTGCCGCAGCAGCTGCAACGGCCGCTCTTGCCTTATTAATGCCCTCCTGGCTCTTGCGGAAGTTGGTCACAAAGCTGTGCGCCTCATTGTACATCTTCTGGGCATGGTCCCTTCTTATCTGAAGTTGTTTCTGTTCATCTGCACCGAGCACACCCTTTTCCTGTTGGTTCTTGATGTGCGCATCGATCCTCTTCATCTGGGTCCCCTGCTGGTCCATCTGCATTAGGGCGCGTAGGTACTTTGCCTTGAAGTCATTTGACCATCGGAGCGCGCTCTCTTGTCCCTTATCGAGGATCCCTTGAGGCGGGTTGAACGTCATCTGTCGGATGTGCGCAAGGATATGGTCCGGAAATTGCGTCGTCTGGGGCGCCTGTTGGGGCGCGGCGGAAGTTGGCGCCGGCGCTGGGGCAGGCGCTGAAGTCGGCGCTTGAGTAGGCTCTGCAGTCGTTGAAGGGTTGCTCTCGGTCTTTGGTTCCGACTTGACGGCAATACCTCCGGCATTGCCTTGATTGGCGGCCGCAGTCTGCGGCTGCTGCTGGGTTTGTTGTGCTGGAGCGGGTGCCTGCGCAGGCTGGCTCTGTTGCTGCTGGGCAGCTGGTTGGCCTTGCTGCTGCTGCTGCTGCTGCTGCTGCTGCTGCTGAGCCTGCTGTTGGGCCTGCTGCTGTTGCTGGACCTGCATCCTCCTCTGCTGAAGCTTATTGATCAGCATCTTGGTGAAGTCCTGAATCTTTTTCTTGGCGTCCTGGTGCTGTGCAGATTCCTCGGGGTGTGTCTCGTAGTGATTCCATAACTGGCGGAGGCCCCTCTCGTACTTGGCTTTCTCTTCGTCATTTAGGATCGGAAGGTTTCGCATCATCTCCGGTCGGTACATGGGCGGCTGTCGCGCGCCAGGCACGACTTGGCCGGCCATGGGGTTCGTCTGGGCAGACTGGCCCTGATTGTTCATCGCAACGGTTCGATCGCGAGCTAGTCACGAGGGTTGGAAGGGGGTCGCGGTAGTTCGAGGCCTCGCCTTTTCGACAGGGTGAGGATTGCAACGGATGCACAAAGCGTTGATTCTTCAAGAAAAAGTCTTCACGAATGTTGGAACTCAAGAATGATCGGCAGGGCTGGCTTCCGGTTTGATGGATGGGAAAAAGAAGGCCGAAGAGTGCGACGAAGATGTCAGAGGTGTAGTTGCGACAAGGCACGCGTAGCTGGAAAGTTCCGTGTGGGGTGTGGCGGTCATCAGTGATTGGACAAGAACGCGCTCGCTCTTCCGCTCAGGCGTGTCTTCGCCATCAAGGCGGGAGACCCAGTTCATAATTCAACGTTGTTTTGCGCTCACCCAAGTCAGGCCAACCCTGTTGGGCAGCTTGTGTGAAGAACCTCTCAAGATGATGGTCAGCCAAGAACGAGATGAAGTTTCTGCATCTTCAACGCTCAGAGACCACCCAGTTTCAGGCATTGGCTGGGTAAAAGCCAGACTTCATCTCGGATGGCTTCTAACGATTCAGACAGAAGCCCATCGCAGCTATGAGCCACCGTCCATCTGCCTGACGATGATTGAAAGTGTCCTTTCCACAAAACAAATAAACACATAATCAGACCAACGCCAACCAGCATGTTTGTTCCTCAAGGGGGTACTTTCATAGTGCCCAGCGACCAGCTGACCCATGCTCACCGATGAGCCTTCATGGAGCCACATGCCCCGGGGTTTCTTGACGTGAGCAACTTGAGAAGTGACATGCCGTCATTTTTTCTCCAACGGCGGCAATCATCTTGATCCCAATATTGCATCTAACATCCATCACACGTAGTTTGACAGGCAGAATCTTGAGCAACCGGCAAGAAATGTCGTAGCTAGAGTCACGTCGTCCGCTGTGGTCCTGGTGCTTCTCCGAGGGAAACCTCAAACCCAGTTGAGTGAATCGTGTTGGCTGTGAAACTGGCAGAGCCTCAACCCAAGGCGGAGAGCAGAGTCCAGGTTTCTCCGCAAGAAGCAGGCTTCTCGAACAAATATGGACACTCGAAACCACCCACCACCGATGGGCCACACGTGGAGTTAGATGCTGCTGGCCTTCCTGCGGGAGAGGCCCGCCGGACCTGCAGATGAACGGGCCCCCCCTGGGCCCTTGGGCTTCCTGCTCTGGCGTACTCCCCAACGCACACTTGCGCAAGTTGACGATGCAATGCATATAGTCGACTAGGTACAAGAGGGGGGATACGCCCTAACCCGGAAGGAAGACGATGCACTTTTTTTCATATCAATTTTGTAATCAAGCATGCCGTCAGCTGGCGAAAACTTAAAACTTCGGTGTTTAGAGTATGGAAAAGCCGCGGAACGTTGTATGAATGTGAGGCTTATTGATATTGGATCTCGTCGAGGGATGGCCCAAAGTAGTTTCTATCAGACCAATAACAGTTTGTGCTCACGCAGTCGATGATTTCTCGTCAAGGAAGATGGCGATTCCAAGAGAGAGCAAATATGATCGGGCCGGGTCGAGTCTGATTGAATCCGACCATTTCCTCTTGAAGGATCTTCCTTTCGGGCCTTGAGCAAGGGATGAGAAGAAGGACTAAGAAGAGGGAGGGGCTGGGCTGTCAGCTTTGGGCTGCAGGGAATGACGCCCAGCCCACACCTCAGATCCTTGTCTTGTTGCGAAAGGCCCTGCTGCTGACCAGCAGCAGGCTGTGAGCTCGCCCAAGGGGATTCCGGGGTCATGGGCATGGCACGGCATAACAGTGGTGATGTTGATAACATCCCAGCGAAGAGGTCTGTCCCTCTGTTGGCCTTGGAGACATGATGGCGCGCTTGCATACCAGGGACGGACCGGATGGGAAGAACAAAAAACAACAAAGCACAGAGGCGGCAACTCCGTGTCGGGTCCCGACGTCGTGTGACTCCAGTTCGCTTCCGCCTCGCCTTCTAGAAATGAAGCCGTCTCTTCGCCAAGCGAGGGAGAGAGAGAGAGAGAGAGAGAGAAAGAAAGAGAGAGAGAGAAGGAGGAAGGCTGATCCGAGGTACGGATAGTTGTCGAGAAAACCCGCTTGCCCTAGGAAAGTACATCGTACTTGCCGAATCAGTCCACTGCTGAGCGTGCCTTCCGTGTATGCATCCTGACCGCCTTCTCTCCTACGGTGCGTTCCTTCTCCACAAATCCGACCCGGCCACGAGCATGACAATGCTGCGTTGCAGTCCTGCCCCTCCATGCAGTCTTGCCCCTCCATCTCAATTTTTTTTTCTCCCCCACGCATTCACTCACTTCTACTCCGTATGGTAGGTAGTACACTTACTTACCTACCTCTACAGCCACGGCGGCCAGTCAATCGACCGACCAGTCTCGCCCTTTTACACTAGCTTGCTGTAACCTGCACCTCCTGGTGGCTCCAGTGATCCCAGCTCATCCTTCCATTCCTGCAACGTCCTGCAACGAGTCCATAGTTAGGAGACCTGCATGCCGTCGTCCGTCGTCAAAGCCGCCTCGACATCCTCGTTCATTGGGCACGATTGCTGATACCCAGTCCGCCCTCGCCTACATAGTACATAGCACTCCTCTTGCAGTCTATTTCCCGGTTTTGGCAACCCATCCACGCCTATCACGTCTGGTCCCGTATTGACGGGCACCACTGGATGGACCGCCGGATGGATAACTGTGGCTGAACTCTCTGACACATTCCACACCATATCACCTACCCTCTCTAACGAGAAGCAGACAGTCTAGTCAAGTTTCTCTCGTCCAGTCTCTGGGAGCCACGATGAGCTATCGACACGGGATACAAACATGGCCGTTGATTGCGTGACAATGAGGCTTGACCCGTGGACACTGAACCACCACATGTTTTGGCCTTTCACGACACGAACACATGCCCACCCTACACCAGATGTTTGCCATATGAGGATCTTCTATCTTTCCGCGAGCAATTACCACCGTGCTTGACATTAAGAGCCGCCATCAATAGCCATGAAAGCCTGATAAGGTCGACTATGCCAGACAAGCCAAGACAAGGCTTGAGCTTCTAAATTGAGGAGGAACAAGAAGAGATGTAAAAAAAAAAAGGCTTAAACTAAGAAAATAACCAACAAGCATAGGCAGGCCGAGTGAGAATCGCGGCGATCTGGCGTTCAGTATTCAGCCACACACACACACACACACACCTCCATTACCCCTCCTTCGCATCACGCTTCTCACCCCACCCCCTTCTGTGGGATCTCTCTTCCTCTCGCACTGGACTCCGTCACACAACACCTTTCGTTACCGCCCCAATTCAGCCCAGTACAGCCGAGCAAACCTATTCGAACTTCAACCCCGTCATCCCATCCCACCTGCCGCTGCAGTACCCGCAAATGTGCGAGTGCTCACTGCGCACACATGTAAATCTTTTTACTCTCTCGCTCTCTTTACAGTACTACCGAGCTGCGGGAGATACGGGTAGACCGGGGTATCTGCTGGAGCATTGCTGCCCAAAGTCCAACTTGCGCCCCGCGAGAATGCGAAAAAGAGGAGACCGCCGCCGACCCCAGCCGCCGTGCCACACAAGGCTTTTTGCCTCTGATAGGAAGACATCCATGAAAAAAGAGTTACAGCATCCAGCGGCAGGCTGGGACTGTAGGTACTCCGTCCTACTGACTGGCGCCAGCAACACCGACACCAGCAGAAGCACTAGCGTCCACGCACAAATTCCGGAAGTACCGCTGCAAAATGGTATTATCTGAAAAGAGAGAGAGAGAGAGAGAGAGAGGCTCGTCTAACCCCCGAACGGGGTCTCTTGCTGCATGGCATGGCACGACATGGGTGAGCATGGGCATGGGCATGGGCACAGCTGCAACGTACATGTGCAATGCCTTCTTTTTATTCTTAATTCTCTCTCATCCCACACATCCGTTGACAATCCTCTTCCTCTTTCCCCCTTTTTCTTCTCGTCTTTGACACAGGTCTACTTCCAAATTGACCGTCACTTGTCTGGCCATCATTGTACGCTCTCCAGTTATCCTCCCTGGCCTCCTTCGCTCCTCGGCATAAAGGGGCGATCCGCGGGGATTTACTGGGTATATCAGCCATATATACCTATAAGACCGGACTGTCTGGTTGCGCCTTCGAATTTCTCGGCTTATTACGGAGTCACCCAGCAGCCTTTGCGATAGTCGAATCGAGTCAAGCCGTCAGACGCCTTCACTCACCTGCGATAGTCTGCATATCCACATTTCAGGATCCTGGAATCACATCACAGACTGGCATTCTCTTTCGACTGTCCGTTCCTTTGGCTGTTCATTCCACTTGAAATCGCCAACACACATCACAACAGAGATCTCTCGCTCTGGTTTCTCTCTCCTGCTACTGCGGCATTCATCCCACCTTAGCTCACCCCGGCAAATTCCTGAGCCTCTCTTTTGATTCAAGTCCCCCACGCCTGCTTTGGACTTTTTCTCCGACCCCCGCTTCTTCCAATTAGGTAGCTCGTCGAGGCCAGCAAGCACTACGAGAAGTCGCCTGGTTGGAATTGCTTTTTTGCTCGTGTGCGTATTGGTTGCGCCGCCGTTCCTCTCCTCGGCCGTTCCGCATTGCAACCCTCGACTACTATACTCCCCTCATTAAGGCCGTCCCTTGTCGCCCAGGAGAAATCCCGTCCTATCGTCACCGCCCGCCCGATTTTCGTGGTCCCCACAGCCGGGATCCCGCCCATCACACCCCCGAAACATTCTTCTCCACTGTCTCTCCCTCTCCCTCTCTCTCTCTTCCACTCCCTCTCGTTGGCTTCGGTGACTACCGGCCAATTGGGAGCTCGGTTGAAGTTCGAGAAGGACATTCGGGGCTTTCCATCGTTTGTCCGCCACTTATAGTACTTGGCTTCCATTCCTCGAAGGGTCCTCCTCCTCCCCCGTTGCGTCGCTGCACTCGCGCATTCGGGCTGGTCCTGTTCCACCGTGCGCACTGCTCCGTCTTCCGCATTTCTCATCAGATCTATCATGACAACCTACATCCGCAGCCGAATATCCTCTTCTCCTTGCCGGAGATTCTTGCTCTGGGTGCTGACACCTTGACTAACTGTCATCGTTCTACTACCTTCCACACAACCCAATCGAATCATTAGCTTTGTCCACTGGCTGACGCTCGAGGAAGCTGATCTAATCCTTCCCCCATTTCCCCGCCCAATTCACTTTCCCCCGCAAGACCGGAACAGAATATCTAGTCCTGCACCAAAAACAAGATTACTAAGATCAACGCCAACGGACAAGGACTGTCGACCTACGATCCACTGCATCGGGCACTGAGCCTCATCGGCAAGAGACTCATTACTAGTCTTCCCACTTGGTCAATCGCAGCCCCCATTGTCAATGCCTCGTCGTAAAGCACGACCAACCACACCCAGCATGATGCTGGATCCTCTGAGGGGACCAGACTCACCGCCTCAGACCCCTACTTCTACCACACCAATGATCAACCACAAGTTCACCACACGACCACCATGGCACAACCACAGTCGTTCGACCTTGTTGGAAGACTCTGGCATTCAGCCTACTGGCAACGGCCATGAATTCAGCTTCACGCCATCTAACCGTTATGCTCAGCTGTCGCCCCGCACCTCATCCGAAGACTCCGTATCAAATGAGGACGACGAGGACACCGAGTCTAAATCGGAAGAAGATAAGGCAGTGCAAGTGGTGACCAAAAATGACGAAGATGAGGAGGAAGAAGACAGCGACGACGAAGAGGAAGACTCAGATGATGACGAGGAGTCGGAGGACGAGGATGACGATGTTCCCATGAATTTCCCCTCTTTACCTTCGGCACCGATGCTAGCGCCGATGCCTGCTCCAATGTTTGTCCCGGGTACTGCGAGGATGGCTGTTGACGGTAGTTCTGAGGAGGAATTGGACGACCAGGAGGACGATGACGAGGAAATCGAAGAAGATGATGATTCTGACTCTGCGTCCGAATCGGAATCGGAGCCTATAGTCACCCCGCCGGCCCAGGAAACTCACCAGGAAAGACATCCTGCCACTGGCACGACCGCCGCTTCCAAGGCCAATTTCACCCTCGAAGAACTTTCCGACTTTGATCCCATGGACCAGGACCGCACAGGCACCATCGCACCCTCAGGCTTCTCCTCTCCAGCCTCGGTCCGCTCTCGTTCGCGAGCTCCGGCACCCAAAGAGTTGCCTCCCGGCCTGACGCGCAAGATGCGAGACCTGAACTGTGGCCTCTCTAGCTCCGAGGACTCAGATGAGGACTTGGATGAAGATGAGGCAGCTCACCGCGAATTTGTTCGCATGCAGAGAGAGCTGAGAATGCGCAAGCGGAGGTCTCACGGCTCAAGCATCGGCAAGCGCACCATCTCGGAGCGCAGTGACTCTGACCACGACGACTGGACCCCTCTCGATCCTGACGCTGTCGGCTCTAGCGCCCGTAGACTTCGACGACGAGTCGGAGACCGGCGTAGCTTCATTCATTTGCAATTCCAAGACCCGCCTCCCGCCCGCATTGACGAGCTCGAAGAGCCTGAGAGCGAAGTTGAGGGGACATTCATCTTCTGCGACAGCGGCACGCTGGCACAGGAGCTCCCTTACTACTCCATCGAGATCATGGAGTACTCGACCCCCAGCCCATAAGCCGGGATAGATTGCCCTCAGCGGCACTCACTATACGTTTTAGAACAATGCATGAATGGCAACCATAACGATATACCGCGTTCGGCCTGCAGTGATCTGCATCCCCTATGAAGGGGCAGGTATATATCGACGCACAGTGACGATTCACGACGAACATACGGAACATGTATGACTGCATAGATTTACGATGATGGCTTGATGACCGGCATTTCAACTTTTTCTAAATTTTCTATTCTTGCGCGTTCACGATGTGGCACCATCTTGTCTCGATTGATACCTCACCTAGATTTTCATGGAATCAAGGGGCGATGCCTTGGGAGATTGGCACGGCGTGGATAGCATTACGTTTGATGCAGAGATTGGTGGTTTCTTTGATGATAGACTTGGGTTTTGCGCAGAAGAGCCTCATCGCCCGAATCAAACTCCCACCTGTTGAATCATTTGCCCGGGATCCCATGTGTTCATAACGTGACAGCGAGTGGTCAACCCATGGCTACCGTTCCCCTTAGCTTGCCTATGGCCCGCCCCACGCCACATGGCCGTAGCGCGGAAGCATTGACGGGCGGCTCTACCTTGGGCGGGGGAGGCAAAAACTAGACGAGCTCACGGTCCCCTTCAGTAAGGCGGTGTGTTTGATAGCACGATGCTGGGGGCGATGGGCGATGACGTGCAGCGTACCGCCGGTATTGGAGGAGAGGTGGCAGGTACGTGTGCTGGTGGGATCACACCGGGGGGCCAGGGCCGTGAAGGTCGAGATCTCGGTGTCTATGCCTTCTCTTATTGGATAACATCTTTATTTCGGGTATCCTTACTGGACATAGTCTCGACACACAAGCTTGGAGAGAACAAGGCGGGGGATGGCGGCACACAGCATGCACGGGGGTCGCACGTGCTCGGGTGAAGACGGCATGTCTGCCCTCTGTCGACGGCTCCGGATAGGGTCTCGACCGCCTACTGGACTGGGTTGAATCCATTTCTTATCAGCCATGCAATGTCCGCGTAATGGTGGGGAGAAAAGGCGCGAGACGGGGAACCCGCCGCCCGCGGGTTCTAGGGCCGGCCGGAGGTCGAGAGGGATGTTGGAAACGGCGGTCAGTGGGTGGCTGAGTTGGGGGGGGGGGGGGGGGGGGGTGGGGGCGTTCTGGTGTGGTGCTGTTTTTTATTTAGGGCCAGCTGAGCGGTTAGCCTAGTGCCGCCGGCAAGCGAATGGATGTTCGGATGCCACAGACTGACGGCTTTGCGCGGAGGGCATGCCACTGCGCCACAGTGGCACGGGGAGCAGCGGGATATGGGTCTTCATGGCGAAGCTCGGGTTACTAGGAGAACTCGGACGTGGAGGTCAACGGTTCATAGGAAGGGAGATCAGCATGCCCCGTTCAATGCTTTTTCGAACCCAAGATGGGTTACGAGTAGTCGAGTACATACTGTTCTAGTCGAGTACATACTGTTCCAGTCGAATAGGCTTACTTACCACTGGTGACAAGCCTGGGCCACGGAACATACGATTCGGTCTTGTTATCCAGCGTCCACGTCCCGCTGAGAGACATACGATGAGTGCGCCGCACTATCCGGACACTTTCTGCGCCTCTGTCTCGTTTCCATGTGGAAACAGACTGGGGCTTGGATGGGATGTCGTCGTGGGAGCTATAGGGGTTCGGTGCAGCACCTTGCAAAGAAAGGATGACAGCGGCCGAAGCTCGCCAAGAGGCCGGAGGTGGTAGACCCGGCAGCCAGGGTTGTACCTGATCAAGGTAATTACTGCTTTCCTTGGGTGAACTTTGATTGCTACTCTGGGTGAATAGTTGGAAGGTATGTTCCTCGTTGAGGAGACGACCCAAGGATTTTGCGGATCTGTGCCGGAATATTAGAGCGGTAGATCAGTGCAATTTCTGTCTAGATTCGAAAATAATCTCCATAACTTGCAGCCAGGAGACCTGAGCCAAGGAAGAGGGCCCCAGATCCTCTTGTCTCTTCAGGGGCAAGTAAAAGGAGGCCAGGCAGTCAGTACCACCAAGGTAAATATCTCGGAGGCTCATCTCATATGAGGCAGCGAAGAACCTAGTAAGCTTCCAATCAATGATAGCAGAGAGCTAGTAGTTGAAACTCCCGTCGGGAGACTGGCACGGCCTGGCAATAACGTTGCGAGGGAGGGTGTTGTTGTAGCAAAGCACCGGATCATGCCCTCGCTGCCTAAAAGTTGGTCTCTTCAACTTTCTCAAAGCTAGGGCTTCGATAGTGCAGCCAAACAACAATGTTGCCAGTACTTTTGATGGGGCGTCGTGACGTAGAAAGACCTCTCCAGCTCCAAAATCCTAGCGATAGCAGTGAGAAGAGCTGGCCCATTGTTGAAGAATCCCGTGCTCGGTCCGCCCATGAATACTTGCTGGAAGGCTCGGCGTTACGGGCCATCAAGTACATGACGGGGTATGACGTGGAATCAATCGTCAGAAATTCGACCAGAGCGCAGTTTCCTCAAGGCTCCGACCAAAGGAAGCATTATGGCTATTTTGTTTAGACAACGTTTCTCGTATGAAGTACATTTCCCCAGGAAGACACCACGTAAAGCCCACAGTCCCGAAACACAATCTTGTAAAGGTGGCCTTGATTCTCATTCCGTTGCTTTGAGAATTGGGACGCGTTGGGCTTGAACTACATTGAATGTGCCTAAAACAGCCACGCAAACCCCTTGCGATAAACCTTGGCCAATACACCCTTCTTCCCAGGAGCAGCCTCCTTTTCTCGCCTCTCGGCCTCGAATGCCTCCCTCTCTTCAGCCACAGTCTCACGCGGCACACCTGTTACCAAATCAGCCGTGGCTGAGCGAACACGGCGGGTCCTCTTCAAGAACTTGAATCCAAATATGCACGTTAGGTACACGGGGATACCAATGTACTGCACAATGAAGTTCTTATAATCAAAAGAACCGACAAAGACCTCGACGCCCTTGGTAAGCGTCAAAATGATGAGGAATCCGACAGCAATATAGGAACCCCAAATTCCCAAAGGAGCACGGTAGGGAATATATGCCGAATCGATACCTTGGGCTTCGCGAGCGCGGCAAAAGAAAATGTGGGACACCAGAATAGAGATCCAGGTCAGCAAGCCTGAAGAACGTGTTAGTTTGTTTTTTCTATGTTTATCTCCGCCACAAAAGCCGACTTACCAAAAACAGTGACGACGTTGGTCAAATAGCCAAACACTGCTGCGGCGCCGGAACTGACAGACATGTACGCCAAGCAGCAAAACGCTCCACACAAACCTAGCGCCATGAATGGCACGCCGGCTTTGGTGGTACGCGTAAAGATACGGGGGGCTTTGCCATCAGCAGCAATGCCGTACAGCGTACGGGAAGAGATGTAGATATCGGAGTTGGCGGCCGAGAACACAAAGACGACGAGGCAGCCATTGATGACGTGGTCGAGGCCCTTGATCTTGGCGATAGTGATGGCGACCACGAATGGCGAGGCAGCGGCGCTGGTCTTGGCTGATGCGGCGAAGACGAGTTCGGCACTGTTGTAAGGGACCACCATTCCCAGCAGGAAGACGGAGATGACATAGAAGAAGACGATGCGCATGAATGTCAAGCGGACAGCCTGTGGCATGCTGAGCCGTGGGTGGCTGGCCTCGCCTACTGTCACACCGACAAGCTCGGTTCCTGTGAAAGCGTAGACGGCGGCGACCATGGCGCTCCACACACCGAGAAGACGGCCTTGGGCGCCCTCGACCTTGTACGTAGCAAATGCACCCGGATCGGACCAGTATCGGAATCCGGGACGGTCGCCAGTGGGGCCTCCGCCAAGGGCCAAGATGAACAGTAGCAGGATAACCCCGACCATGATGACAACCTTCAAAGAAGAAAGCCAGAATTCGAACTCGCCAAAAGCCTTGACGCTGATGCTATTTATCAAGAGAATGAGAACCAGGGCAATTGTGATAAAGACAGCCGGGTTGACGCGTTCGCCAACCCAGAACTTCATGATGAGAGCGAAGGCAGAGAGCTGATTGGGCGTTGCCAAGAGGTACTTGAAGAAGTAGGTATAGCCAGTTGCGAAACCAAGTGCCGGGTCGACAAAACGTGTTGCATAACCACCGAAGCCATGGGATAGAGGCATGTATGAGATAATCTCGCCTAGGGCGGCCATGACGAGGAAGACGAGACAGCCGATGATGGAATAGTCGATGAGGATTCCAGCCGGGCCTGTCTTGACGAGGGCAGAGCCACTGCCAACAAATTAGTTGAGGTCCACGATCTCAAGATAGAAATTTCCCCTTACGTTCCAATCAACAATCCTGTTCCCAGAGCGCCGCCAAGCGCAATCATCGTAACATGACGGGTTTCGAGACGCTTGTGAAGCTCATGGCCAGGCTCTACGTTGAGGTCCTCGACTTGGCCAGACTTGGCACTCTGTTCTAGGGACAGGTTCTCCAAGCCCGACGGGCCCTTTTTCTCTTGGTCCATGATTGTCGTTTCCGAAAGAATGGATAGAGAGCAGAAGATGAGATGTCACGGTTCGCGAGCCTACAAAAAGGACCGCAAATTATTTGAGTTCGAGGTAATGACTAAGTGGGTGTAATGTGAACTCTCTGGCTCTGCAGAGTTCAATTGATGACACCGACGCCGACGCCGACGCCGAAAGCCCTATAGTTTCTAATTCACGCCAAGGCCAGGCCCTCAGTCAGGCGACTCAAGCCCGAGCATCCTCAACTCGGTTGTTATCTTTACCAGCTCGTGGGTCCGGGGTAAGTGGCCCGGGGGTGGATACCAAAACGGAGGAAAACGCGGGGCGGGAAGTGTTCAGATCCGCTGGGCCGCCTGTTTTCATATCTGACAACTGACGGAGAGCACTCCAGCGGCCATGCCCCTATCAGCAGTTGTATCTTTTTTCTTGGAGGGCGTAAGGCGTACTCATAATTCATAGAAGATACTGCAGTCCGGCTTCTTCTAAACGTGAGTTGTGTGTGTGCAAGTAAAGGCTTACTTAGACTAGAATTTAAGGTTTCTCCTAGCAACCTCTAATTATAAAGTATACCCTCCTAAATTAGTCGTTTTTATTAGCAAATTAAAGCAGATTATACTTATTAGATAGTAAGGATTATAATAGTTAATTAATTATATTATTATATATATAGATAACTATAGTTAAACACTATAGAAATAAGGAAATCCCCTTATTTCTTAGTTAGGAAATCCTAGGCTAATCTTAGCTATATTATTAGTAAAATTACTATTAAAGTAATGTAATTCTACTACCTATTTCCTAGTAACTTACGATAAGATAACTAAATATTTAATAGTAAATTTGTATATACTTTTACTATTAGTTATTACTAAGGTAGTAATATAGTTAACTATATATATTAATAAGTAATAATAAATAATAAGAGGTAAGAACTAGTTTTAAATTATATATAAAGAGGAAAACTATTATAAGATTATATAGTAGATTTACTATATAATATACCTATAGATCTAGTATATTAATAGTAAAATTACTATAAAATCCCTTTATAGATCTAGAGGATTTTATAGTAAATTAGCTTTAGTTATTCTAGCTATTACTAGCGTTAGTCTATACTACTAATATTTAGGTAATAATTAATATTATAATACTAGTAATCTTTTAAAGTATTATAAATTACCTTTATTTTCTAGGTATTTATAAAGAGCTTAAAAACATAATAAAAATAAAAAGCTAAAAAGAATTTAATACTTTTTATATATATAACCTACTATATAAATAAGACCTACCTATTTACTTATATCTTTAATTAACTATTATTTACTAAGTACTTTAGTACTTTACTTAGTAATAACTTTATAAATCTATTTACTAGTGTTAGTTTTACTAGGTTAGTAATATAGTTAACTATACGTATTAATAGGTAGTAATAAATAATAAAGGTAAATACTAGTTCTAAATTATTTATAAAGAAGGTGACTATTATAAGATTATATAGTAAATTTACTATATAATATCCTTATAGATCTAGTAAATCTATAGTAAATTAGCTATAGTTATTCTAGCTATTTTAGTATTAATCTATACTACTAATATCTAGATAGTAGTTAATATTATAACACTAGTAACCTTTTAAAGTGCTATAAATTATTTTACTATCTAGTTATTTATAAAAAGGAATTAATAAGGAGGTGTTACGTTTTAATATAAAGGCGTTACTTTTATAAAGGTATTACTTTTTATCTTCTTAATTAGCTTAAGAAATTAGTAAATCCTTATAAAAGTAGTAAAAATGATTTTACTAATACTTTTACTATTTTAATATACTATTATCTAATTAGCCTATATAACTATAAGAAATAGACTTTAGAAGAAGTCTTCTTTATAGCTATAATAAATAGGCTCTCTAAGAGGTAATCTTTATAGCTATAAAGATTACCCTTCTTATAGATTCTTTTTTTTATAGTTATAAAGATTACTTTCCTTATAAAGCTTTTTTCTTATAGCTATAAAGATTACTTTTCTTATAAAGTCTTTTTTATAGCTATAAATAGTATCTTTTCTTATTTAAGTTTTATAAAGGTATATTACTTATTATCTTTTTTTATATATCTTTAATAAGGCTATATAATTAAAAAGCCTTACTACTTAGTTACTTATTTATAATATAGTAATAAGGATTTATTATTACTACTAACTATTTCTTACTAACTTTATATTCTTTAAATACTAAGCTAAAGTAGCTATTTACTTATATAACTTTTTATAGTATTTCTTTTACTTAAAACATTAGACTAGCTTCTTTTTTATTACTAAAAAAAAGGTTAAAATTTAGCTTTAACTTAGTTAACTTACTTCTTATATAAATCTAAATAAGGTTAACTTATTTTTATTTCTTAGTAAATAGCTATACTTCTTATTACTTATACCTTAACTATTAGAACAGGGTAGGATTTTAGGTTTTCTTTAAGTTACTTTTATATATATTTTTCTAGCTAGTAGAGCCTATATTATCCTAATTAGGACGTTAAATACTAATTAAGACTAAGAAGATAAATAAATTATAGAATTTAATACTAATAAGTTACCCCTTACCTTTAAAACATAACTTAATTATTATAGTAACTAAATTAACTTTATTAGTGCTTTTATTCTTTACTACCTTAATTAGGTCTTACTAGCCTAAATTAGTAGTATATCCCTTATAAAGGTGTAAGTATATACTATAATCTATTATATATAGGCCTTATACTACTTAGTAATAATAGTATTACTAACTAAGATTAACTACTAATTAGTAATAGACTCTTTTTTAATAACCTTAGCCTTAATTAGGCTAAGGGCTATTATTTTAAAGTGTTATTTTTACTTAGATAAGGGTTAGTAAGTTACCTTTATGTTTATAGGTGCTTAAGGTGCACTAGTAATAAGGCCTTAAGTAGTATAGTTTAGTTTAGTTATATATATACTAGCTATTTTACTATCTTATATATTAACTTCTTACTTAGTTTTAATAGTGCCTTATAGTAAAATTAAACTACTAATCTTCTTATTACTAATATAGTAGTAATTCTTAATAATAAAATAATAACTAAATAATAAAATTAACCTAAGATAAGTAAGAACTAATAAAACTAAAATAAATAAAATAAGACTAACCTAATTAGATATATAGATATATATTTAACCTTAAAGAATATAACTAAATAAGAGAAAAAAAAGTAAAGCTTAATACTATTTACTAGTAATATAGGAGATAAGACTAGACTTCTATACGCTAGCCCCTTCTTATTTATAAAGAACTACTACTTACTATATAAATAGTAATAAGAGATATTACTATTAAAGTAAGGTAAGGCGATTAGCCTAGAGTAAGGTAGTATACGTACTTAATTAGAAGATCCTAATCCTAATTAAGTATAAAGATATAAGTTAGCGTTAATAGATTTAGAGATAGACATATAGAATTTATTCTTTATACTTATACCTACCTTCTAATTAAACTAAAGCCTCTTTATAATTTACTTTAATTATAATAATATAAGATAATTAGAAGTAAATACCTACCTAATTAGGGCATAATTATACTTAATCCTATAGTTTAACACTTATAATTAACGTTAATTCTAGACAGATTAAGATAATTTATACACTAATTAGTAAGGAATCTTATGTTACTTTTAGTAGTTATAGTGTTCTATATAGTTACTACACTATAAGAGTCCCTTATACCCTATACGCTTTTAATAGTCTCCCTTTTTAGAAAATTAACTATAGGTTTAAACTAATTAGAGGGATATCTAGTTAAGTACACTAAGTAAGTTATTATAAAAAGTAATAATAATAAGATAATAAGATTATAAGAAGTAACTAATTAAAAAAATAAGGAAAACCTTAAAAAAATAATAAGATAATAAAGTAATAAATTAGTAACTTAGATAATAAAAATTACCTAATTATAAGACTAAGATAATAAGTTAGAACCTTAAAGGTTACTAATTTATAATAATAACTAAGATAGATTATAAAAATACTAAAGATTAGATAAAGCTCTTAAAGGTCTTTATAAGTAAGGTAGTCTATTATAATTAGTTACTTATAGTTAATTAATATAAGATAGTACCTTAAGAATTACCTAATCTAAAGGTATAAAGCTATTAGCTTTAGGACTCCTTATAAGTATACTAATTTAAATAACTATTATAACTTTATAAAAAAATTATAATAGATTAAAAGACCCTCTCTATTAAAAGTTAGTTAATAAGTTTAGCTAAGGCTAAAGATAATTATATAAATTCTACTAATTAAAGGTATAGCTATAGTTTAAATAATAAAATAAGTTACTTTAGTACTCTTAAGAAGAATCTTAAAAA